CAAACATAAAGGACTAAAGAACAGTGTACGTACGCCTGAAAACATCGATCGTGTAAGACTATCTGTGGAACACAGTCCAAAACGTTCAATCCGAAAACGAACCAAAGCGTTAAGAATTTGTAAGCCATGTTTACTTCGAATTTTGCATAAAGATCTCAATCTTCATCCATACAAAATTCAAATTGTCCAAGCACTGAAACCATCAAACATCCTGGCTCGTTTACGTTTTGCTGAGACCCTGCTTGAGAATGAAATCGATGTAACACAATTTCTAGATGTCTGTTCAGTGGCAATTATAGGGCCCTACTATTTTGAAGATGAGAATGAGAATGCTGCTTCCATTAACTCTGTGCGTTATACCGATATGATAAAACAGTTTTTGAGTCACCGCTTGAGCAGTAGGATTTGTTAATGTTATACTGTATTTTATTTAAATTAAATTGGCTTTAGAATCATAAAGTATTTTAACCTTCTCGCTCCCGGGGACCACCTTGTATAATTGTATGTCTTATATTATTCGCTGTTTTTTGAATGATAAACAGTTTTTAAATAGACAAAATCATGTTCTCTTATAAAAAATAAATTATTTATTAACGTGCTCTCATTCTAAGGCAATTTTCACAACACTTTTCGTCTACATTATACATGAAGACAGAAGTGAATTATGAGTTGTTTGCAAAAAGTATTTATACCAAAAAAATGTCTTGTGCATGTGCACTGTGATCTAGCCTAGAGCAAGCCTATGCGAAAGCCTTGCAAACACTGAAAAAACAAATTATCGAAAATGAATAAAAATTATTATCTATTTTTAAGGTAATCCCTTAAACCTTAAACAATGAGCCGTACTCATAAAACAAAGGATATCCTTGTACTTGCAAATTTTGAAGGAAATCCTCCAGATAGTATTTATAATAATTTGAAGTAAATGCTTTTGCTTTATGAGTATAAGCATATCCTTCAAAACAGTGACATAAGTAAAAGGCACTTCAAAAAATTTTATCGGTTAGGCGCTGTAATACTAACTGTTTGCTCACTGCGCTCGGTATATAGTTCACTTCTTTCTTCTTGAACACTACCAACCTGAATGGAACCTCTAATTTTCTCAATTGTAGGATTACAGTCACCTTCCATAGCTTTCAACAATTTTCTTTCCCAATCTAACAATTTAATTGCTTTGTTATCATTTATTTTTAGATCTGTTTTTTTCTTCAACTTTGATTTGATGTTGTTGATTTTTTTGATAAGCCCTTAGTATCTAATGGTTTACCGAATGTTGATTCGTATTTTTTCAACATCTTATTCAAGGCATCGTCCTTTCTCATTTTTATTTTTGGAACTTGTGACTTTTTTTTTATATCGAAACAGACGCGCAGGCGGAAGCCTAAATACCGGAACACCGCGGCTGCTATGATGATCCCAAAGACATTTTGTTAATACGATTTTTGAACTGCCTAAGGTTTGTAGAACTGGGAAAAGCTTCCTCCCGTAGATTATTCCACAATCTAGACACCCTCGGGACAAAGGAGCGGTCGTATCGGCCAGGTCTGGATGTACGAAGCTTGACACGGTTAGGATGGGACGCCGAAGTCAGGCGGGTCTTTCTGGCAGGCACATCGCGCGGCGGCATCATGGAAAAGAGCTCTAAGGAGCAAAGCCCGTTGGTGTAGCGATAGAAAAGAGCTAGATCGCCGACGACCCGCCGGTGCGAAAGAGTCCCGAGACTATCTGTTAGAGAAGAGTCATCGATCAGTCGGACCGCCCTCCTCTGGACAGCATCGAGCATGGACAATGTAGTCGGGGCGGCAGCACCCCAAATGTGTGAGCAATACTCGAGGCTAGGCCTTATCTGGGCCTTGTATAGAGTGAGAAGGTCATGCGGAGAAAAGTACTTCTTAGCCCTAAACAAATAGCCTAGCTTTTTCCCAGCAGCTGCAGCTATTGAAGAGATGTGTTCGTGCCATATCAGGTCCTCGGTGATCTGGACTCCGACCAGCCGAAATGAATGGCTCTTTGGTAGAACTCGACCGTCCATCGAAACTGTATGAGCGCTAGGACGCTTTTTGTTCGTCAAAGTACAGTACTGTGTTTTGGAAGCATTGAACTGTACAAGATTGTTGCGTCCCCAAGCAGTGATAGCCTCCAGGTCTCTTGTCAGAGAAGAAGTCGTCGCTAGTCTTCTGTTTTCCAGCTCAGCGGCAGAGATCGGCTTGTCTCTCTGAATTCCTGCATGTAGAGTGCTGTCATCAGCGAAGCTGTGGATTGGGTTGATCGTGCAGGAAAGGAGGTCGTTGATATGTAAGAGAAACAGTGTTGGAGCCAAGACCGATCCCTGGGGAAGACCCGCGTTGACGTTGTGGGATGAAGAGAAGAATCCGTCAATTACGATGGATATCTTGCGGCTAGAGATAAAGTCAGCCACCCATCTGCAAAGCTTTTCTGGGAGGCCGTAGGATGGAAGTTTGCTTAAGAGGGCAGCGTGCCACAGCTGATCGAACGTTTTCGTGATGTCAAGAGCAACGACATGAGCCTCACCATGAGACTGGATGAGTTTACTCCACAGTTGCGTGACGTAAGCTAGGAGGTCCCCTGTGGATCGTTGGTGCCGGAAACCGTACTGCCTGTCGCTAATCAAGCTGTGACGTTCGAGGTAGTCCAGAAGCTCGCGATTTATCCACCTCTCCATCACTTTACTTATAACAGAAAGCAGAGCTATAGGCCTGTAGTTGTAAGGGTCGGTCTTAGATCCTTTTTTTGGGATGGGCTGTACATGAGCAAATTTCCAGTTTTCTGGGAAGGTGCCGGATTCATAAGATATCTGGAAGAGACGCGAAAGAGCTGGAGCAAGCTCCGCTGCACATCTCTTCAGTACAATGGCAGGAATCAAGTCCGGACCAGAAGCTTTGTTGATGTCGAGCGACAAGAGCACTCGTCTTACGGTCTTATGCCTGAATGTTACCTCCCGCATAGTGTGGGGAACCCTTTGAATTGACGGCACTTGGGCGTTGGTGGGGACGTCCATGGTGGAGTTGGCAGCAAAGATCTTGGCTAGCACTTCCGCCTTGGCCTTTGAGTCGAATACAATAGTTCCATCCTGACACGTAAGTGGTGGAAGGCTACTGTGTGAGAAGTTCTTTTCAATCTGCTTGGCCAGCGTCCAGAAAGACCGACTGCCATTGCGCTGCGACATTACCCTGTGCCTAACTTTTATATCATGCTGGTTTTTGGCATTGCGAACCGCTTCGTTATATTTGTTTCTGGACTCGACGTCGGCTTGTCTGTTCTCTACAGTGGGGTTTTGTAAGTAGGTTCTGTGGGCCTTGATCTTCTGCTGGCGAGCAGTGTCACACGATTTGTTGAACCAGCCGTTGTACCCTGGTTTCGGAACTTTCACTGTGTGAGGGATGTATTCCTCCATTCCGACGTGGATAATTTCGGTTATTGAAGAACAGACAGTCGACGCATCCGCGTCAGTGAAACAGACATCTCTCCAAGGAAAGCTAGAGAAGAAGTCTCTGAGCCCCTCCCAGTCGGCATGTCCGTAATGCCAAGTTTTGCGGCCTGTACGAGTTTCTGCTGCTACAGCGGCTTCTGACCGAAACCTAACCTCCACAACACCGTGATCTGAGTTACCCAGGGGGGACAGGACAGCAGTGCTGTAAGGGGCAGGATGCGTGGTCAGAAAGAGATCCAGCAGGCTACTGGCGTGTGACGAGACGCGGGGGAAAAAAGTAGGGCTCGTCACCAGCTGGGTCAGCCCTTGAGTACGAGCGAACGCTTCGACTGCTTGCAAAATAATGGGAGCAATGGCAATTTCATCTGCGATGAACTGCAGGCCGTTGCCATTATTTTATATAGTTTCCTCATCACTTGAGGATGACATGCTTATTAATTTGACAACAAACTATATCCAGTAAAAATACGGAACGGTCTGTGTAAGCTCTGCAGTACAACTGTCAGAGATGCTGAGTGAACGAACTCCCACGTCAACTACAAGCTGGAACAAGTCAGGACATGTCGCTCAAGATACAAATACCAGTGAACTTGTTACTTCTTCTTGGAGGATATCCTCGCGAGTATAAGGTAATCATTATGAATATGAAAACAAGGATATGCTTATACTTCTACCGTTTTCTCCGAAGCAAGTCCTTATACTTTTACCTTATGCTTCCGAGGAACTGCTTCTCTTTTATAAATACGGCTCAATAAGTCGGTTATGGAATCAGAATTTTACTTACACCACCTTTACCATGGTAGACTATTAAACTTGAAGTTTGTGATGTTTCGATACAACTTTTTAAAGACAAAATTGGTGAGCTTCTGTATCATCCATTGACAATAAACAAAGAGACAACGAATTTTCAATTGGTGTAACTTTAAATTTGTGCAGTTGCCTGTACACCGTGAAATGAACGGGTTACTATGTTTAGCTTCACTACTTTAGATTACTATTATTCAGAGAGGTTTTTGAATAAGATTCCACCTATTACCCCAATTGGAATATACGATGTTTGTGAACCTTGAGGTTCTGCCAGTTAAAATGTAGTATCAGTTTTTGCTAAATTTTGCAAACTGTCAAGAAATACACTGCCATGTTATAACAGGTGGTCAGAAACGGTTATTCAACTTTTTCGAATTTGCCCTTTGAGGGGACTTAAAATTCTCTTCAGATGCCTTCCTAGAGACAAGCTGATCTCTGATTTGGGCTCAATGATCATGAAAACCTATATGACAGATGTTCCGACTCGAATTAGTCCTTGAAGTGACATTCAGATGCTTTTATAGTGACTAATTTCTTCTTTTGAAAATGTGATTGATATGACCTAGAATGCACTCAAATAAACACGCTAAGCCCAGATTTGAAATCAGCGACTCAAAAAACTCTATAGCACTGTAAATAGTATAAATGCCGCATACCTTTTTGTTTTTTGACAGCTTTTCGGTATTCTGGACCATAGTGTGGCATGATATTTTCTTATTTTGATATTTTTAATGCTACATTATGTAATGTATAAAAATCTCAAATAATCAATATATTCTTTTTTCGCAAAAATAAAGTTTATCATACGTCACATAAATTTACTAACCTCGTAAGGCATAACATTTGATCGAACGTAGATACTGAAATCCGCAGACTGGTTTGTTTCTATAATTTATTTTATGTTTTGATTGGCTACAACAATTTCAGATAGTCTTAGCTATTTTTTGGATATGGTGAGGTAGATTCGTTTCTTCTACAGATATTTCGAGCTTCTTCACTGCATTTTGTGTACGAGCCTGCTGCTTGGTTCTGTCGTTTGCGATCATATTTGGTCTTGGATATCCCACCCTAGAAACAAATAACCAAGTGACTGCTTTGTTATCCACATTGTCAAAATGACAAACCTAACTTTTACCTAAAACAAAAAAATTATGTCAAGTAGGTTGATTGCACTTCCTACGCAACGGCGTCATCAGTACATGAAGGATTAAGATCAGCACAAGTTGAACCCTTTGAGATAAAAAATAATTACGAACATGTACAATTGACGTTTTTTTTTAGATCTGCCTCCGATATAAAAATTAAAAACTTGACTGGCGGACGGAAGGCCTTAGGGTACAGCCTAAAGGTGATTAAAATATTAAATCGAATTTAAAAATGAACAATTTTTTGTTATTATAATCCAGTGCAACAACGTTTTTGTGGCTTTGTCCGTCTCAGTGGCGGATTTAAGTAATGGCAAAATGGACATTGCCGCCTGGGCCCCCCAAGGAACGTTGGTCACAGGGCCCCCCAGCAAAATCAGCTCTAGTGTCTGTATTGTTCAGTGCGTCTGCATGTAAAATTGATAAGATGAAATCAGAGTGTTGTTATATTCTTTAATAACCATCTGCGTAATGTTTATCAAACAGCGCATTAGCATTCAGTTTGAATAAGAAAATTTCCCTTTCATTTCTTAAGAAATTTTTTGAAAACTGACCGAATGACCCTTCTATTTCTCAGGGAGTAGAGGGGTTATTTTTTCATTTTGTGCTTACAGTGATATATTATTACCTACAGGTATAATGTTCAGTAAATACATATCTTCGTGGTATGAATCAGCCTCTCTCAGTCTAATAAAGAATCTAATGCGTCCATTACAGTCTTTTCATGCCTTCAATGCTTATAACCATAAACTTTTACAATGCTGTACATTTTTTTGTTTGATGAAGTATCAATTTTCTTCGTGATAAGATTGTGGTAGAAATTTTTGAATGTATAATCAAATGCATTGAAGATGAAATTTCAAGAGTAGGAGCTTCTGGCGAAGATATAATGAATGCAAGATCTCACCTTTCCTCCATGAACTGGACCTTTTTCCTTAATTTGTTATGGTGGCATTCAGTATTGAACGTAATGAATACTGTGCAAGTTCAAGTGCAAAAGAAAGAAATAGACTTGATGATGGCTCAAAGGTGCATTTCAGCAGCATAAAAAAAATTAAAACATTTGAGGAGCGAAAGCACATACGATAATTTTGTTCTGAAGGCTAAGAATAAATGGGAAGAGATGGAATGGGAAAATCCTGGTTTTCCCATTGTCAGAAAGAGGAAAATCAAATAAATTTTCGACGAAATGCTGCTGATTCGCCACTGGAAACACACGAAAAACATCGAATAAATTACTAAGAAGTTTTGGATTCAATGAGTAACGAATTGCAAGAACGTACTGAAGGATTTCGTGAAGTGATTGATATGTTTGGTCAATCTAAAAGAAAACGAATTAGAAACCAGCGTCACTAATGTGATAGAAAAATATTCAGAATTTTTCACTACAGATCTAAGATATGAATTAGCCAGTTTTACAAGCATGTGTTTTTCGGAATTTCGTAATTTTACTAATGGCAGCCCGCTAGATTATTTGAAGTTCATGATTGCAAACAATTTTGTAGACACTTTTCCAGAGAGCTGCAGATTATTCAGATTGTTTTTGACTTTGCCTAGTTCAGCTAGTGCTGAACGTGTCATGAGATCTTTGAAAATTATTAAAGAATACCGTCGAGCTTTTTTGGCTAAACACACACTCAACAACTTCTCTATCCTCTATATCGAAAGATCAGTATCTAATACACTCAATTTGGATTCTGAGACGGAAATTTTTGGCGAACGAAAAGCAAGACGTGGATTCAAATTAGAATAATTCTGCTATTATGTATTGAATAACAAATGTTTGATCTCACAGTCTCTACTTGATTCAGGTTATATACGTATAGACATATAGTAAAAAAACAGAGGTAATACTGCGCAGCAGCTACTATTGTGTATATAATTGTAAGCCCCTGTTGATATGTGACATCCCTATTGCTAGCAAAATCTGTAGATCGAACTTTATCTGGATAATTTAGATGGATTTTACGTTATCGAAAAATTTTAGATCCGCCTGAATATTGACAGTTGAATTAGCTGTTTTATTGGCACGTTGAAGCAGCATCAGATTAACTTTTTGAATCAAATTATTATTAAAAAACTTTTTGCACTATCCATGAGCTTGTTTCGGTTACTTGTGCAGGTCTTTTTTCTCTCAGTTGCCGTCATTAATTTGCAAATAGCGATAAATATGAAGAATATCACTTTCGCAAATAGTGCCCAGTATATATCCTGTAGTAATGCACGCTATTTAACGTATTTTAGTGTTGTTCACAAAGTTTGTATTCAACGAAATATTAATCATAGCAAACATGACAACAACTATCGATCATATTTGTTTTTTTTTTCTTAATTAAAATTTAATGCAAAATCTATAAATAGCGTGCACTCCTTTGACTCGACGCCCTTTACTTATCGGTAGCATCAGTGATAACTTTTAAACTCTATTATGCACAAGAAGGTTAATTTACTTCAAAAAATTACGATGCGCATTACAACCTGTTCCGTGCCCGTACACACTATTAAATGCAAAAATCAGGCTGGTGTACGATTTCACTAACATGACATTACGCATTAAATTTTGATATTAATTTCTGAGTTATCATACAACTTTCAAAGTTTCCATTGCCGTATTTTATTTGTCAATAATTGCAGTAATTTATGTTATTCGCAAAACAGTTATATTGCGCACTATTTGTCGTCTTTCCCTGATCATACCACTGGCAGAACATGATTCAGGTTTACTTTTTTTTCTGTACGGAAAAATTCCAACTTTAGGAAGGTTCTGTTTAGTCTACGGACATTACACCATAACTGAAGTACATTACAGTTTTTCTTAGTTTTTCTATCCTGCTATGATCTGAATTTAAACCTATTGGTAAGTACCTTCCATTCTTAATAGCGTAAACTTCAAATGCTTCGGCTAGCTCGGGGTTTATGTTTTCAAGAGGCGTATCACCTACTCTTATGAAAACTGGGATGAAACCTGCTCCTGGAGAAACATTTTGCTTTGGTACTGGAGTACAATCTACAAACAAAATAAAACAATGAAAGGAGATTAACAGATCCACGATTTCTAGTTGATAATTTATGGGATTTATGTCTGTACAAGGACGTGTCTAGGTAAGGGCAGAGAAACTTGAATCCACGTCAATTTTGATCTTCAAAAACCGTCTGCTGCTTTCCCAAATAAGAAAAGAAATTTTATTGGAAGTATCCGGTGCGTTTTTTGCCCATTGCTTCCTCCCCGAAGCTTTCTAGCAATGGATACATTCCGACTTTTCTTCTTTTTTGACCAACTTTCTAAACGGTCCTGCGGCGGATTTCCTCGAGGCGGGAGGACAAATGTGAATTTCACGTCTAAAAAATGCGTAGAAAAAATGACGATTATGGAGAAAAATAACTTAAAGATCAACGTCTCTAATTGTGGATTCGTTTTTTCAAATAAAAAAGTCCTTTCGCGTAAAAAAAATGTGGGAACCATATTTTTGAAGCAACCCTCGTATATGGGGTACGAACTCATCTCTATCATAAATGTTTATAATTACAAACAATAGTGCAGATGTTCACATCTTTATATTTACCTACTGCTTAAGGAACTTCGACTTATTAGAAAGTGTTAGATATTCTACAAACAACAATTAGAAGAACTACAATAGTTCTACCGACAGCTTATAAATAGGATTCCAATAGAAATCAGATAGACATTTCCCATTTGTGAGTAAATAAGAATTTTGTGGGATGTATTTTTAACTTAATTATGACTGGATCTATTTTTATAAGATTTGGGGAGAGGTATACAATGACGGTAGATGAATGCTATATGTTTTTAGACGTCTGGAATTTGATGGTGGAGAAAGTAGAAAAAAAAGGCAAAATTGATTCAAAAAAACAAAATTATTATGTCATATGCAAGCTTCCCTTTAGCAGCAAACACATTTTTATGCGAGACAAAGGTAATCACAGAACGGTTCTAAATTATACCTAGTAATAAAAAATTACAGATCTTCCAAAGTTGAGCACAACTCAAAATATTTGCCATTCCAAAGATACATTCAAAATTTATACTTATAATAGGAGTTCGGCATTTTTATTCAATGATATATTCCTTTGAGGTCACACAAAACACCAAAAAGCACCAAAGCTATGACAGTGTTATTATCGATAACATATCTCTGTACAAATTTTTTCAATGTCGATAACACCTGTTGCTGAGCTTACGCGGTGTCAAGAAAGTAAGAAATCATCGAAGAGCCACAAATAGAACGACGGACGTGATATAGAGCTCATAAAATGTGCATCCTAATAAACGGATTCAAATGATACATCTCAAGCATCTGAGTTCTCGTAGTACAAGATTCACTGTTTACAACACCTTGATGTCATTGAAATGTAATGACTTCTTCCAAAATAACCTTTCAGTTCAACCACTAGTCTAGAGCACTACTGAAGTAATGTAAATTGAGGACTAGTTTAATCCGAAATTTTGTAGGTATATCACGAAATGATGCCAAATTTACGTTTAAAGTCATTTTGACATAATTATTGGCCAAATGGCAAGATCAATATGATTTCAAACGTCAATTCCATTTCGTACTTTTATTAAAGTTACCGAGGCATCCGAAACACCGATAAAGCTCCCTCTCATGAACACCTGTGCTCATAAATGACTTGTAGGTCGATATGCTGAATAATATCACTTTTCACTTAACTAAAACTACTTCCATATGCACATATATCAACTATAAATTACACACCTGCACTCTTGAGGATCACCACCACTGCCGCCACTAATAGCTGGACGAGTAGAATTGCTGATATCATTCTCGATAGCAAGAACAGAACCGCTTAGAAGAATAAACTGGTTGCGCAAGAATCCTCGACCGAATGTTCTGTGAGTCAGCGATGATGGCTGGTTTTATATTTTTTTGTTTTTTCTTATTAGCGGTACAGCATGTGAAGCATAAGAGTGCACAAGAACAGGAGCAGCACAGTGCAATACCTTCTTAAATAGCCTGAAAGACTGATGGAGAATGGCCCCAGTACATTTCGCTTTGTCACGAAGTGGATAGTTATCCTGCCAGTTAATGAGGACGACATAACAGTTTGAAAAACTACTAATACAGTGCAGTAAGAAAAATAATTGATCCATTCCCATGACCAATCTCGTCCCTCAAACTTCTCTTAGGTGGGAAACTCCATGGCCACTCTCCCACTAAGACTTTCACTCATTCTGGCGTTGGTGCTTTATACACTGAGGAAAAGTTGTCAATTAAATAGTTTTTCTGGAAAATTTTCATTACCTGAAATACATTTTTAGTTATTCTAAGTAACTAAATTATTCGGTTTAATTAAACTTAATTTAATGGAACCAGCTTAATCGAAAGTAATATACTATTAAACTAATTTGCCTGGAACTATCAAACCATGTACCTGTTTAATTAAATTGTTTAATCAGTCTAGGTAATTTAGTTTATGTGAACAGGTACATTTAGACCGATTAAACATTGTAATAAAAACAGCTAAACTGTTTATTTGAATCACGTACTCGGCAGGACTTGGCTCTTCATCTCAACTTCATTTGTGATTTTCGTGACGAGCTTCGTATTCGAAAGTTACTGTTGTTGGTGTTGGTGAAGTGGATCAATTATGGTTATAATATTTTTCGCTCCCACTGAAACACTCTGCCTGTGTCTAGATTTAACTAGGCAAATACTTTTACTTACACTACTTAAACAAGTTTAATAAATATAATTAAATTGTTTTACTTGGAGCAGGAAAACTCATAACAAAGGTCATTCATTTTAAATAAATTGGTGTATTCATCTGAGTAAATGATTTAATAAATTTAATCAAGTTACCTTTTTATTCAACTAAAGTAGTTTTATAGATTAAAGTAAACTGTTTTAGAAACCAGAGCCGAATTGAACTAATTAAACTTGTTGGCTGTCACATATTTAATTATTTTTTAAATTGACTTGATTAATATTTTAATTGGATTAAGTTTTTCTCTCAGTGTAGATACATGTTTGGCTGTTAGATTTAGTTGATAAGATGTAAAACCAATATTTCGAAGAAAATAAAGAATACAGAAAGACAATGCATCAAGAATATTGAACAGACAAAAGTGTAGCAATTTTTGTTATGTGTTCAATTGTGCAATGACTACAGAATCAAGCTTATTCGACTTATGTAACTTCTGGGCTTGGAGGATCATTCTAGTCGTCATAAGCGTAATTTTTTTGTCTTTTTCTTGCGGATTTTCAAAAATCAAACTCCATCACCTATTGCCGCCATATTATATTGTCGTGTCCTAAAATTTGTTAAACAGTGTAAGATGTTCTGAAATATAGGGACATTTCAATTTGATGTTTAATTTTTTGGTATCCTGATATTTTCCTCCATGAATCAATATTTAGAGATGTATGTTTTCGGTTTGAACCACATTTGGGGTTTGAGAATCACACTATCAGATTCTCTGGATGCACATATCCTTTTGCATACTATTGGCGAACGCTATTCAAATGATACATGTTTAACTAACTATAAAAACTGTATTTAAATGGATTACTTAAATGTCGTGATCAATGTCCATGATTCTATACAGGATGTCACAACGAAACGCAGTTTTATAAAAGAACTATAAGAGATATTCAAAAACGGTTATCGCAGCCATATTGATATCTGTAGGTGTATATTTCTAAATTATTTGTAAATATAAAGGGTGTTGCACAATTCTGTAACACAACAAACACATCTTGTTGTAAACACTATATTTTTTTAGATATTTGGAAAGAACTTTCCAAAACAAGTAGATTGCAGTGTTCATCCTCAATAGTTATTTTATCATTTATCTGACAACTTTTATATCCGCATTTTTCATTGAATTTTGGAGAGAAGATGTAAAAGTGAGGCAAGTTTAAGGGTCAACTGCGGAAAGTGCAATAATATGGTCTGTTTATATGGGCAAAACGCAAACCTTTTTCCTAAAAATTCCAAATGGAACGTCCTGTGTATTTTTGCACCATCAGATTCGCCTTTTTATAAGCTTGCATTATTAAATGAAGTATGAACTAGTATAAGCCTTACATTAGTAAGGCCTATACTAATGTAAGGCCTATACTAATGTAAGGCTTATACTAGTTTATTTGAACGGTTGGCTGCTTATATCAAAAAATTCTAGAATCTAGATCATCGTTCGCAAAGTTGGGGTTTTCGTTTACACGACATGCAGGTCTTGAGAAAATAAGCGGATTTTCTTGGTAGCATATACACCAATATCTTAAGAGAACCGAGATATTGGGCTCCGCAAACTCAATCAAACTTGAACCAAACTGATGCCGGTCCTGTCCTATCCCTCGATCACGTCGACAGCGCCAGCGCTACCGTACACTTATACGACGTAGGAAAACGATGTAAATACGGATTTTACGACAGAGCCGTACTTGGAATTTCAATTCAACTGAACAGTGAGTACTTTTTACTTTATTTTTTTTACTTGTTCGCTCACGTTTCACCACTCATTAGCTTTGTTATCTCAAGCGTAGTTGTATCTGAAAAGGAAAACCCCAACTTTGCGGGCACCCTGTATTGCTCTGTTTTCTGTTATAAGTAAGGTGATGGAGATGTGCATGAATCGAAAGCTTCTCGAGTATTTCGAACATCGCGGCTTGATTAGCTTCGCTGATAACAGCAATCTACATGCAGGTATTCAGAGTGCCAAGTCGATTTCTGCCAATGCGCTGGAGAGATATCTGGAGGTTATCACTCCTTTCTACGTAATATGACACAATTTAATGCTTCCCAAATACAGTACTGCACCTTGACTAATAGATGGCTAAGTTCTACCGAGGAGCCGTCCATTTCGGTCAGTGGTAATCTATATCATTGATGTCTTAATCTGGCAAGATCACATTTCGTTAATTACAGGGAAAAAGTTAGGCTATTTGTTTAGTGCTAAGAAGTACTTTGTTCCTTTGTCCCTAGGGTCGAAGCGGCTAGGCGCCAATTTGTAACATTTTTTAACGGACTGAACCGCCTTTTGTGTACTTTATAGACCTAGAATATAAAGTCACTATCTTTTAAAATGGAGGACTGGCAGCCTATCAAAATTGAGGGTTTTTTGTACATTGAATAGCTTATAGTCTTATTCTTTTGGAAGGGTCTATAGTTTATACGAATGTGCAATAAAATATTCCGTTTTAAAAAAATGACTGATTTTGACTTTTTAATGGAATGATTCATATTTTATTACATACCCTTCCAAGCAAATGGCGCCCAGCCGCCATCTTGAAATTGTCAACTGCCGCTTTTACGCTAAAATGTAATATTCATGAATTGATTTCATTGTCCCGAATACCAGCTTTCTAACCTGACCCATTCTGAAAAGCACTGTAGAGATTGTTGTACTACTCGTACACAGTTTGTAATTCGGACTTTGATCATTGAAGTTTTACCGCTGAGATGTACTGGTCACCTCATTTGAATTAGTTAAGATATGATGGTCATTTCGGGATGCATGGGACCTCGTACATACGAGGTCTGTACATTAAGTGATGAGACTGGAAATGTAGCGTTCGATCTGGCAACACTGGAGTAATTCCGAGGATGACAATATAGAATTATAATTATATTTGAATAAAAAAATTAAAAAATATCTGTCTCATCACTTAATTTACAGACCTCGTATACTAGAGGCGCGACAAGGCCATCAAAATACAATGAGATATTAACCTATAGATTATAACATCATCGAATATAAATAATGGACTTACAGGTATATCTAATCAACTGGCAATTTATTATGATCATCAACATTTACATTTTTTATTTGTTTGAAAAATCGTGACCGAACCTTTACAATGCGAAACATACCTATGAAGTTAATTAATATCCGAATGATTCACCGTCTAAAACCTGAACCGGAGGTGAGTGATGATATAAAATTCAAGGTGAAATGAGAGAGTTTCTGAATAAGGATACCTTTTTGTGGTTTTGCTGAATGGCACTGATATAGCCTAGTCCTTAACAGTGAAATTTTATTAAAGCACAGTAAGTGTTAGATTTTCGTACTTCACTAAAATTTCTTGCTGGCTATGAGCTAATGCACCCTGCAAGTAACGATTACGTTTTAAAGCTAGACATTTTTATAGATGGTGCATAGCATGTTAAGTACATGGTAACAGTGACTTGCATTATTTAATCAATTTGTTAAATTTCGATAAAATGAGAATCTAAATTTTTGTAGTTTGAAGCTTGAAACCTTAATGTGCATTGCAAATCAGCAAAATATATAATTGGCTTGCAAATATGACGCTGCTAAACACGTGCCAGTCATCACTGTGACCGCTAAATGCCTAACGATTCTGGCTGTATAATAGATGTTGTCTACTCGCCGTTGAATAACTAAACATGCTGCTTTCTTTCTGGGACAACGATCAAAAGCATAGCAACTATCCTCTATCCAAGGTATGAGTTCTATCGAAATAAGTCAGCGCAAAGCGCCATCTATTGCTACCACTGCGAGAGTGGTCTTAGCATAAAATTAAATATAACAAAGAAATATGTATGCTTTATTCAGTTCTTAAATAAACTATTTTCATATTTCAAACATCTTCATTGTATTAACAAAAACTAGTAGAATTTTTCATTTTTTGGAGCTTTCGTTTCTGAAAAAATCCGTGTACGATGTGATCAGGTCGTCCATCTTGTACCCTTGCGAAGTCTCACAAAGCAGTTTCGTCTTTTTCATAATATTGCCGATGGTGAGGTGGAAATAAGTGTTCCCTGAAGACCAGTTGCTCAGTTCGGGGTATTCGTGGGTAGCAAGAATATCCTGAAAATCAAAATTCTGTTAATAATATCCTACACTATCCTTACACTAGATTCTAGTCTATTCTAACAAAGCCTATACCCTAATCGTAGTCCATTTATGCTCCGGTACAACAAAACGCCATAAAACTACGAACAAGTGCAGAATTCGACATGATAGAACACAGGCTCGGGGTATCGCCGGCACGCCGACGCGGGCTGTCGCTGTTCATAATCGGTGCATACATAGCGGGTGTTTATACGTTATCATGTCGTCTACGGATACAGCAGATGAAACTGAGAATATTTCTCCCAATGCTTCCTTCAGCAATGCTTCCTCTTCAGTGATGCCTCCTTCCCGAAAACGTGACAAGAAGTGACATTTGAATATTCAGGCAAAAGACATTGTCCTTAACGTTTATAAGAGCGTAATTTTAGAGCATCCTGAAATGAAAATTCATGATATTGAAAGACGTATGGCGAACAAAATAAGCTTATGTCCTAAGACAATGTTCAACATTGTTGAAGAATATATAAAAAAAATTGTCTCCACCACACAAGAGGCTGCATTACACAAAGACGCAAAGTCCATAAAAATTTTTTAAAGGCAATAGCTTCCCACCATAAACAAAGTATACTAAGTGACATATACATCCGAACACCCAGTTTAAATGGTTTTATTTTAATAAAATTTTGTATAAGTACTTATTGAAGCATAATAAGTAAATGATAAAAATTTCAAAATGATTGCACTGCTTTAAAGCCCTTTGACCTTTAATAATGTGTGGATGCAACCTGATGTGCTACGCATTCTCCAACGCGCCTAGGCATGCTTCTGATCAGGTGGTCAATGTCCTCCTATGGTATCTCATTCCAGGCAACCACCAATTCCTCTCGAAGTGCTTCTAGAGTCTGAGGAGGACGTTGCAAATTTAGCAATCTCCTACCCATCATATCCCACACGTGCTCAATTGGGGATAAGTCGGGAGATCTTGGTGACCATGGTAACAATGTGACATCATTATGTTGAAAGAAGTCTATTGTGACTCTTGCAACATGTGGTCGGGCATTATCTTGTTGGAAAGTTGGATCTGCCAGGGTGTCAAGATAGGGTAAAAGATGGGGTTCTAGAACTTCGTGGATATAACGCTGCGCGTACATGTTACCTCTGATCAAGATTAAAGGTGACCTGGAACCATAAGCTATAGCACCCCAAACCATAACTCCAACAGTATGATGAACATGTCTTTCAACAAAAAACTGTGGATTCCTCCTTTCACCACGTCGCCTTCTAACCCTGGCACGACCATCGTGCATGCCTAAACAAAATCGAGACTCGTCACTAAAGACAATACTGTTCCATTCCTGATCCCAGAGTGACCGTTGTCTGCACCACTCAGGGAGATTACGTCGGTGTTCTCGAGTCAAAGGGAGGACCCAGTGTGGCCGGTATGAAAACAAGCCAAAACTTCTCATTCGTCGGTAAACACTTCGCATGCCAATAGGTCTTCCGTGTTCTGCAAACCATTTATTTGCAATGGACCTGGTAGTGGAGAAACGGTCCCTTAAGGCCAATATAATCTTAGGCGGCGATCTTCACGGTCTGTTGTTCTACGGCGGCGTCCAGTGCCCCTTGCTCTTTGCGTACGGCCTTCTCGAAGCCATGCCTGACAACACCTAACCACAGTGTCTACACTTCTTTGCACTCTAACTGCAATTGCCCGAAAAGAAAGTCCAGCTTCCCGAAGTCCCACTATACTGCCCCTATCAAACTCACTAAGTTGACGAAATCGTACAGGTCTCCGTACTCTAGGCAATGTAACCGATCGTAAAGTATGTCAAGAACCAAAATCCGCCAACGTTGATTCTTTACTGCGGCTGAAATATTCATTTTTAGCGCGTTAGTGAATTAAAAAAAAGCAGTATAAAAACCGGAATGTCCAACTGATAAGGCTGAAAATTTTTCACTTGTTATTTACAGGAAGATAAATACATTCACCAACTTTTATTAAAATAAAACCATTTAAACTGGGTGTTCGGATTTATATGTCACTTAGTATATTACAGGAGGTTCATAGTGATCAACACTTACCTACTTTCAAAAGGACCACATTCGGAAGATGATTCAAGCGAATAAAGAATTGTGAAGAGTATGTGCACTTCTTTCTATAAAAATAGTCATTTATTTTGTTAGATTATTCCAAGACCATTAAGGAAAATACGGACCTGTACAGTCTCGCTTTTGGGCATGCTGTGTTTTGTTTGGCCGTAAATGGACAACGAATGGGGTATAGTTGCTTGCCTTATTCCTTTTTATAAAGTACCAAAATATTGCTTTCGGAAAGAGACGGCTTTCATCATCATTATCAATTGCATAGTATTTTTTCTGGCTACAGCCTAAGGTGAGTATTCGTTACAATACGTGTTACTGTGTCATGTGCCGGCACTTGTGCGCGTAACTTGTGTCGCAACTTGCAATGCAGATATTTCACTTTCTTATAGACAAAATACTGCAGATATAGAAGTCATTGTGCAGGGCGCATGTCGTAAGATGTGACAGATCTTCTGATGGTCTGCAATATGTTGAGGAACGTGTAGCTGGTCAGGTGCGTTTCCATCTGAACAAGCTGCTACCTGATATATTGGAAATTTTTACCTTTACGTACTAACATACCTTTGTCAGTGGATGTATAATATTAACCCCTCTTCTGTTGATTGCAATGAGGATAACCTCGGGATAGGTAGGCTCAGTGGTTTGTTTAACTTCAAAGAAAGTTGATCCAAATGTTGGCCATTTGTGTATTATTTTCAAAAACTCAGTTTTTGCATGTTCTCTGGACGTTGGCGTGTTTCCGTACTTTGCAAATATTTGCTTTTTCCATTCAGAAGAGCTGGCTGCTTTGATTATATCAGCAGGAATGATGTCTTTCAAGCTGTGAGCGAGTATGCTTTGGACTTCTTGGAGGTTGTCCTCAAATCGTGCTCTAAAAGGAAGTATGTATAAAAAAATATGGGATAAATTGGATAATGTAAATTTATTCTGCTATTTTAGCAAAACGAAATAAAACTAGTATCAGGAGTATTCGAATCCAGATCCGTGCCGGCTCGTCTGTCATCTACGCTATGCCAGCGTTTGACGGATCCTGTTTCCTCACCATCAGCTTTTATATTACAAATTACTTCCACATATATACAATTGAAATATGTAATAAATAATAAATAAACGTAAACACAAACATCGAGAAAAAACTATCGCATCTGATTGTGCATTTTGCTTAAAAAATCCTTTAAATTGTATTTACAAATTTTCCCTGTTGCGCCGCTGTACGTGATCGTAGAGACTCGGCAAGTATCGCGTTTTCAAAATAACAAATGCGGCTATGATATTCCATATCCAATTTAGTCTATTTTTATTTGTTGGCAAGCAGGCACGTCGTGAATAACAGGTGGAAAAACGAGACACCACAAAGTTTAAAAACAAGCACCTGCCAGGTAAAAAACAAGACAGCTTTTATACCTTTGATAATAATGCCGAAGGTTTACGTTCTCAAAAAGCGCCCCTACGACAAAAAGAACATGGAAACAGCCCTAAAACTAATAGATAATGGCACTTTATCTCTTAGAAATGCAGCTAAACAGTTTAAAATTGACAAATCTGCTCTTTCGAGAAGACGTACTCGTTCACTTGGTAAACAGGGAAGAAAAACTTCTCTAACCAAAGAAATGGAAGTAGACTTAAGTGATAAGATAAAAATTATGGCAAAATGGGGGTTTGCTCTCACTAAACCAGAGATACAAGCAATAGTTCAAACCTATGTACAAGAAAACCACCTTACTACCCAGTTTAAGGAAGGAAATCCCGGGAAAGATTGGTTTAAAAATTCTTGTCAGCGCAATAGACTAAGTCAAAAAAACGCAAAAATGCAAGTTTACTACGTGGCGCAAATCCTTAAAGTTTTTGAGAGCGATGTAGAAGTAAAATATCTGAGGCGCAAAGGATTTAAATTTATTTTTCCGGCCATTGAGGAAAAGTACTTCATCGACAAAAGTGACAGAAATGAAACTTCCCCAGCCAGAAATAGAAAGTAAGACCTGTCGTATCTCTCAGCAATATTGGTTTCCTATCGACTTTGAAAAATACGTCGTTCAATAATATGTAGTACAAAATACGTTAGAATATTAAGTTTTCTACTTTAGCTCTTAAAATCCTGTTGAAAATCTTGTTCTACCCCTTTTTTGAATTAGGTATGGTTTATTTACCTTGTTTATGGATTTGATTTCTTTTTAGTTTAATAAACATAGTTTTGTATTTAATTATGTGAGTTTTCTTTAAGAACGTTGTCACAATTTAAAACCTAAGTGTTATTTGACTTACTAAACGCTTTAAAACCCTTGCAGTGTCTTGTTTTTATTGCCCAGGGTCTCATATTTTGCGCCACACTAATATAAAATGACTAAAAGGCCAGAAAATACAGTGTCTTGTTTTTAACCTCTCACTGTCTCATTTTTAGCCTAAATAGTGGTTAAAAATGAGTCACGGTTTTTTAACAAAAACGCCCTTCATTATGAATATTATGAACTTTTTTTAACGTGAGGTATACTACATGGCTTTCTATATACAGAGCAATATAAGAAAGCCTTAAAGTTCGATTTTTTGTTGAAAAAAAATTAAGAGATTTAAAAATCGTCTCGTTTTTGCACCACTTGACCCTACTTGATGAGGTTGAAATATATTTACAGCAAGACGGCGCTCCTCCTCACTCCGTTCTTCCGGTTCGGCAATGACTAGACGACGAGTTTTCAGATAAATGGATAGGGGGAAGAGGGCCTATCGAATGGCCTGCTAGATCTCCTGATTTGACGCCATTAGGCTTTTTTCTAGGGGGTCATTTGAAATCTATTGTATTTATTCCTTAACCTGAAAGTTTGGATAAACTTCGTCAACGCACCATCGAAAGCTGCCATGATATCTATCGCACAACATGTTTTTGAAAATGTCTGTCAGGAATTTGAACATCGCCTATATCATTGACTGGCCAATAACGGACAACATTTTGAACACTTGTTGAGATAAAAAGTGAGATTTAAGTATGTTTTTGTTTTTTATCTGAAGAAAGTAAGATAAATGATGGCTTTTATAATATTCTTGAAAATGAATCGACCGATTTAAAAAAATCAAACTTCAAAATGAAGGACTTCAAAAGACATTTTAAACAAGCTATTACTCGATACCCCTTGTCACTTAAAGTTTTTCAGGGGATGACCCTGGGGGGCAGACGGTGAAAGAAGGTGAAGTAGTTTTGGTTAAAAAGCTGTCCCCCTTGACAAATCTTTTGACGTGTCTCGGCGTTTTTTCTTTTAATCAGTGGTTTTCGATAAATCCGTGGTGGGAAGTTTTATTATTATTATTTATTATTATCATTGTATAATAAATTTGAGTTACGCCGCGAGAGCAGGTACTACAACCATACCTCAAAATCAGTGCTGCTAGATTGATAGCATCTTGTTTAGTTAGCTTGTGGTACCCTTTCAAATACTTCGGCAATTCTTGATGGTAATGGAATATATGATCTGCATTTGGGTCCCTTTCAGGTACAGTGTTTACCCAAAGTTTCTTCATGAAAAATATTTGGTAGTTTGCTGTAATTTGAGCTGCACCTGAAAGATGAAATTGTGTTGATATCGGTTGAGCACAAATAACGGTTGTCCCAATAGGTACTTTGGGATTTAAATTTACCGCCATTTTTTAACGAATTGACCTAGAAATCTTATCATTGAACATGTGTCATTTAGAGACCTGAAAATAGAGGGACGCATCAAAATTGTGCAAACGTACTACGAGGATTCACTGTTATTTTTTCGAGAAAATTGCGTGGTGGGACGTTAAATGTTCGCGGCGAGTGTTACCAGAAACATGAATTTTTTGTAACTATAATTGAGTAATACGCACTTTAACAATATGTTATTCAAACAAGGTAAGACAACTTGTCATATGGCGACGGAATCACTGGCCTGCGAGATCATTAATCACCTGAAGCAAAACATTTCTCAAGTTAATGATCAGATTGAGTCGCAATCGTGCCAAAAGTTTGCTGAATATTATAGCTGAGGGATGATGATATGTGGAAACAGCTATAGTCTGATATCAAAATTGAAGGCAGCGGCAAATTTGAAAGAAAGCCGCGTCTACCGTTTGTCGGTATGGACGGGACACCGGCAGTAGCGCGACAGTAAATATTTTAAGCTAGGTTCTCACGGGGCAAGAAGACAGCGTGACACGCTTGCGATTTTGCTGGAGTGAGGGATGAAACGTGAACCAGCAGCAGTCGTGAACTGTTCACATGGTTCCCAATTCAGCTTCAGTTAATTCCTTGGAGCTGACTATGGCAGAACATGTGGCTGAAAGTTGTGAGATTTTGAGTTCGGTTTCAAATGCATTGGTAGCAAAAAGGCTAGGAAAGTTATGTCAACAGATGAAAAATTGGAAGAATAAGCGTTATTTTGTCAGAAAGTAGATGGGTTCAAGGAGAAACTCGGAGGATCACAAAAGTTCCCTGAGGATCTTAAAAATTTGCTACGTACGTATAAAGAACGTGTTTCTCCTCACATTACATGGTTATGCCTGGCTACCGATTGTCGTGTCCACGCCTGAAAATCAAACGTGTTTGATGTCGGTCGTAGGCAATCGTGGAGCTGTCGCTGTCCCGATGACGTCAGAGGCAAGTTCACGACACGTCGTTCAGGCAGAGACAATTCCACGCAAGCGTGCCACGCCTCGTGAGAAAGGAGCTTCATAATGGGTTTGACATCCTACTGAAAGTAGATATGTAGTAGAATTTCATGTTTAAAGATTTACAGTGAAGACATTTCTCACATGGTCAGATGTAACCGTTCGTTCCTGAATTCGCATCGGCGAAATGCGATTGCCAAACGATTAGTGGTTTTCCCAGATAGTCGTTGATTTGCCATGCTTTTTGGACATTTTCGAGTAACATTTATGTTATAATCACACAATTTTACGTCACTAAAGGTATGACTAATGAGGTAAGAGAAATTTCTTTATGGTTGATAGCATGTACAGGCGATGCCTTCTATTGGGCCTGTTTTGATTTTATATTTATTTACTCATATTGTTTGTTATCTTTGTACATTGAGTGAATAAATATTATTATTATTATTATTATTATTTAATTGTCAAACATATGAATCTTAAACAATACATTGTGAAATATGGAAGTAACTTCTCGAACAAAATTCAAATAACGCGAATTTCAGCAAATAGCACGGAAAAAGTTTAAACATAAAACGATGATGATGGTGAGCAATTTATGTTGGAATGTATTGATTATCAACAAAGATTTGCTATACCTGTGTTCTAGTTGTAATAATAAATATTTTTGAAACACAAAAAGTTAATCATCTGGTCAGTCAGGAGATGTAGAAGTATCGTCACTACTTGAGCTTGAATTGTAGGAATCATCACTGTCACAGTCGTCGTTGCTACCGAGGTTGATGATTACTGGCTCTATGGATTTTTCTATATGGTGATCTATTTCCCAAAACGTCTTTTCTTCTTTAATCACATGAGAGATACATTTCTGCCACGCATCAGCTGTCACAGCACCGATTACGTCTCCCAACAGAATAGGAACGTCAGACATTTTGAATGTCGTATTTTTACGAGCCACCTCATTTTTGATCTGAGCCCATATCAGTGCTATTGGATTCAACTCGCAATGATACAGTGGAAGTCTCAATACCACGAATCCCATCTCCCTAGCGATTCCATCAACAGCTTGTTTGACGAATCGGGGTTTGTGTTCACGCGCGATTTACAGCAGTTGTGCCTTCAGCATCGTATCACTGCACGTTATGTTTTTAGATACCAGCCAATTATAAATATCAGCTTTTCGCCAATTTGAAGTAGTAAGGATTTCTATACGTCTACTGTGGTACGACGCATTGTCCATGACGATGGTTTGAGCTTGAATAATATGGATTTGAAGCTAGATTCAAAAACTTCGGCATTCATGTCCTCATGGTAGTCACCAGTTTTTCTGGATTCAAATAGGTATATTCAACCCTCCATTCACAAAGCCAGATGCACAACTTATATGTGTGATTATCAATCGGCGACCTTTACCTGAGGGACATTTCATACCTGTACTCAATCCATCACGATGGGCTTGTCTATGACTTGTCATATTTAAATCTTGCCAAAACTTGGAAACAGTATGCCCTTCATTCAGCCACGTTTCATCCAAGTAGTAAATTTGCTGTCTCCCGATTACGCGAATACAACGTATGGTTTTCAAGTATTCCACATAACATGTCATCTTTCTCTATTAATGCACTGTTTCTTTTTCATTTCGAATATCTAATGTTAATTTCGCGCATGGTTCTCAACAAAATGCGACGAGATATATTGGGAAGACTTTCGTCACCATCCAAGGCACGTTGGTGCTTTTTTAATGTGGGAATTTCATTTTTCAAATAAAAAAGTGCACTTTCCGAGGAATTACATTTTTCATCGGATTTAGCTCCTGTTTTTTTTTTGCTTTCAGGATTCTATAAATGGTCCTGACTGGTCATATCGCTACAATCTCTCACTGTTTCGTCCATTTTTTTATCAGGAAATTGCGAACGAAGTGCATTGTAAACATTTTTCACGATGTTCCTTTCGCCAGGATATAAGACATGCCGCTGGTTCGTACTACACATTGCATTTCGTTTCATTTTTGAAATAGTAGATATGTGCAATGTCTGCGCTAACCAAACTTTCGTATCCGCGATCCCTACTTAACACCTTAACACTATGTACTCCGCACATGACTAGCTGGGCTGGAACCTGATCTTTTGAGTATAGCGCGACGCCGACTACGACGTTGTCAAGCCTATGCTCACTTTCTGCTTTATCGGATTCTTAACTTTTGCAGACCGAGACGGAATCCGCCGCAAATTTTTTGATAGACGTAAATAGTATACTGAAAAGCCAAGCTCACCTTCCCGATACTCTAAATAGGTCATTGCTATCGTAGTTACCCGATTTGTATGAGTATTTGAAAATTCAGAAATTTTAGAAAATCTAACACATGAATCAGATTTTCACATATGACATCCATATTCAAACATTTTTTGATACTGAACCTACTTGGTGTGTATATATATATTCAATTATTGTCGGTTGAGTTCAAGCATTTACGTTTAAAATACGTATTTCCAGCAAGTTGGTTCGCAAAAATTCAGTTCTGGGAATCTATGGATTTGATATCCAGAATCACAATTTACGAATAGCGCTGGAGCTTCAGACCCGATCCAAATAATATATTTTCGATCACGAAGCATAATAAACTGTTATCAAGGGATTCTCTGAATATAATTCGATTTGGCAACATCGTATCCTTCATTTGCTTGGACTGCTCCATGTTGTTAAATCCAATGTTTTTCAATCAAGTTTAAGAGAAATCCCTCGTAACGTGGATAGACATGGTATAAGTCAGACCTGTTGAAAATTGAGGTTTTCCCAGGAGATGGAAATATTCGCATCGACTGAGTATCATAAAGCCTACCTTATCCAATGATACGTAGATTGCAAAGCCTGACTTCTGGCTACTGATTTTACCGCAGGATTTGACTTTGACTACTTGAGATTGAAGATTTTGCTTATATACTCGTATCTTATTTTAAACAGGAGAAGAAAATTGTTCAACATTTGAATGTGCATGCAAAAATTCAATATGTTGACTTTTAGTGGATTTCTTCGATGAGCGCGTGACAACATTGGTTACAGTTCTCTATTGCCTTCCAACTTGGAACCGAACTATAGTGTGAACATTTAGAGAGTGTTACTTATCAAACATCCATAAGTACCTATTGAGTCCGTCTTCATTGCAATTTGTTTGGAGAACAGTTTTCAATAGACATTTAACTTACTTCCCCAGCTAGGCTTGGTAGCTCTTATCCAGTTGATAAGTTCACTCAAGAAGTCATAGAAGAAGGTATTGTACGGAATAGAAAATACCCTATCTGATATCGCTACAAACAAACTGAATCCATCCATGGACTTGAGATCGAGTCTGGATACAATAACTTTGCACAAATCTATCGCTCTGGTCATGGAATCTACCTCAAAAGCTTCGTCACTGTCATCTGGGAAGTAGATTTTGTGGAAGACTTCCATGCTCTTGTGTTGGATTGCTTCTACTTCAACGGAGTATGGAGGTAGCTTCCTGGGACCGACCTAGCGGAAAAAAATTAGCGAAGAGTAAATCCTTATATTAGCCTTAAGAAGTTGTCTGAAATCTAGATATCTCTCAAATAACCATCAATTACATACACATATAGCGCCAAATTTTTCTATACAGGGTGATTCACAAGTCGTGACCAAAACTAAAACATCATACCCAGGACCGTATTTTAAAGAGGGTCCTCTATGTAACATTTTTTCCTCGAGGGCTTCATTGGTATGTGGATCTACCTAAGTATTTTAAGGGGCACCAGTGGCGGAGGTACAGGGGATTATTAGTAGCATTATTTTCCCAAATAAAAATAGTACGCCACTGCTTTTTTTTTGAAACGCGCAATTTTTCGAAATTTACCTTCAATTTGCTACAAATAGTTACTCTAGTGTTTTTTTCTAGAGTGCACTTTTCTGGTAAAAATAAAAATAAAACAAATTAGATCATTCATGAAGAGCCGAGATACAAGTTTCAAAATAGGAGGCCTTGATACCAACGTGATGTTTCTTGGTAAATAGTTTGTCAAAGGTATGTGTTATACGGTTGTTATCGTTACTATTATATTTTTTTTTGTAAAAGTCAAGTCCAAAGGTTCTTTTTTCCGTTTTTGAGTGTTGTGAAATGAAATTTAGCAATGATAAGTACGCCGGTATTATTTTTGTGTACGGGTTCTGTAATGGAAATTCCTTAGCAGGTTCTCGGGGGTATCAACGTAGATATCCTACCCCAAACGTTTTTACGCGTTTATTGCCAAACTTCCCGGAGTTAGAAGCCATGGTGTCCGGCATACCGTTCAAGAGGAACTGGCAGTGATTAATTTGGCGTTGGATGATCCTAGTACAAGTACTAGGTGGATTGCAGCCCAGTTACCATGTTCCCAAAGTCTTGCGTAGGGAATTTTTAATCAGGAAGTTTTACATACTTACCATCGGCAAAATGTGCAATGACTGCAACCAGGCGACGAGGTGCAACGGCGAAATTTTTGTCAGTAGTTACCGAAATACATAATCAAAATGCAGATTTTATTGATTTGGTTTTGTGGCCAGATGAATCGCTTTTTACGAGGAGCAGACCCTTTAATTCTCATAATGAACATACAGTGGAATCCACTTATAATGAACTTGCTTATAATGGAAACCCGTATATAATGGACACGACTTACAGTCCTATAAATAATTGCATGTAAAATCTCGGATATTATAGACTTTAATCCATTATATGCGAGCTATTTTGGTAGTTCCCCGAAGCAGATTTAGCTGATGCAATCGTTTACGGTGGTTTGGCTTCGCAGTTTGCATTCGAACTTGGCCACCAGAGTTATACTGTATTTATTAGAGTAATAAACATGTCTAAAAGTGAGAAACGTGCATTCACTTTACACGAAAAGTTCACAATAATTAGTGAGCTTGCGCAGGGTTCATCTCAAGCAAATATATGTGCTCGTATGGCATTAAAAAAATGCACTGTGTCAAATATTTGGAAAAACCTTGACAAAATTAAAAATGACTGGAAATCAAATAGTCAAAAGAAAAAAATGCGGCTATCGCTGCATCCCCAAGTCGATGATATGCTGTTTAAATGGTTTCAACAAAAGCGTGTTAATAATTTTCCAATAAGGACCTATGCTACAAACAAAGGCTGAAGAATTTGGGAAATTGATTGGAGATTACTTCAAATGTAGTTCTGGTTTGCTAGACAGGTTTAAGAAAAGACATAACATTGTTTTTGGAAAAATGCGTGGTGAGTGAGCTTCAGTTGACAAGAACGTTACCAATGCCTGGATTTTTCAAGTTTGGCCCGTAATATCCAGTGATTATTCAGATGATAACATATTCAATGCGGATGAAACCGGGATATTTTATAAAATGCTACCAAATAAAACTCATAAATTAACAGGTGAAACTTGCAATGGAGGGAAACTATCAAAAGAGCCAATAACTGTTATGATTTGTGCTAATGCTTCTGGTATTGAAAAACGGAAACTATTGATAATAGGTAAGTGAATGAATAGAAATTCATGTTCTAATTTTTTGACATTCAATGGCAGTGCTGTAAAGTATTTATGACCTTTTTTTTATTTCAGGAAAATTTAAGAATTCCTGTTGTTTCAAAAATGTTAAAACAATTCCCGTCGATTATGTTGGGAATAATAAAGCTTGGATGACTTCATTAAATTTTGAAGAATATTTAAAAAAGTTGGACGCTGAACTTGTTAAAAAAAATCGTAACATTTTGCTCTTGGTCCATAACTGCCCCCCCCAAATATTTCACTTAATAACGTTAACCTTCAATTTTCTCCACCCAATGTGACATCAGTTCTGCAACCAATATACCTGTATGTTGATGAAAATTATGGAGCTTCAAGAAGATGTGAACATTATCAAAGCTGTCACCCTTTTAGATGCTATAAATTTGCTTACTATAGCATGGGAATTGGTTACTCCAGAAACGCTTCGTAATTGTGCTGATTTAGTGAAAAGCAGAACTGAAATAGTCAACGATTTTAATCCAGAAGATGAAATTCCATCAAGTCATTTACTGAAAATTAATAGTTTACTGAATATAGACAAATTCAATCAGTATGTAAATGTTGACAATAATTTCATAGTAACAGAGGAATTCTCAGACTCGAATTTGGTTAATTAAGGATCCGTTGATAACGAACAGGAATACGAACTAGAAAACAACGATGAAGAAGTGACAACTGTGGAGGCATTAGACTGCGTGAAAAAGTTGCAACGTTATTTTCAGCAAGAAGAAGACAGTATACACACTTACCAAATTAAATAAAATTCAACTTGCTGTTCTAAATAATTATACACACAATCTGTTCAAATGAAAATTACTAGCTTTTTTACCAAATAATTTACGGTTTTTACACATACCTGCACAGTACGTATGCCTGTACCTAATATGTGTATCAGATTCTGAAAAAATGCAAATTTCAAAATTACGTATGACTTTTTTTATCTATCTTTATTTATGTAATATATGTTAAACAAACACACTTTAAGCTTTTAATATGTTATTTCTGCTGCTTTTTTCATTAAAAAAAGTGTTTCTTGTAAGATGGTCATCCGCGTATAATAGACTACTTGTCACAGTCCCGCCGAGTCCATTATAAGCGGGTTGCGCTGTATTTGGTCGTTAGAAAATCCCGTTCTGTAAGAATCCACGCGTTTTAGCACAGATTTTCTAGAAAGGTCTGGTGCGGCATTTTCAATGGACGTATTGCCACAAATTTTAAATACAAACTCATTCTTACCTTTTCTAGAGAATTACATAGAAAATGTGTTAGATGATATTCCGTTAGCAATGAGAGTACGAATGTGGTATCAGCACGACGGTGTCCCACCGCATGTTCGTCGAAACATAACCGCATGGCTGAATAATCATTTTAGACAACGATGGATTGGCAGAAACGGACCCGTACATTGACCTGCGAGGTCTCCTGATTTGAACCCCCTGGATTTCTTTTTGTGCAACTAGTGTATACTGATGATCAGTTACAAGAAATAATAGATAAGAAATAATAGACAATTCAATCCACAACAAAGTTTGCAGACATACGTTTTTCTTTATTAAAAAGATGCCGCACTTGTAATCCGTCAGAATGTTGATCTTTTTGAACATTTATTGAAATAAAGCTTTATTTAATATTTATACGAAAACAATGCACTCTAGGAAAAATACACAAGAGGAATTACTTGTAGCAAATTGAAGGTAGAATTCGAAAAATTGGGGGTTTTGATAAAAAACAGTGGCATACTATTTTTATTTGGAAAAATAGTGCCACTAAGCCCCTGTATCTCCGCCACTGGTGAACGTTAATTTTCAGAAAAAACTTTTGAATGTGGACAACACTTATATAAATCCACATACTTACCAAGTTTAAGTTCATTCCAGTTAAAGACCCCCCTTGAAATGCGGTCCTGTGTATGATGTTTTATTTTTATGCGTGACTTGTGAATCACCCTGTATATTTTTCAACGCTAAATCCGAATCGGGGATCAGGTAAGATTCTAAACATCCAGAATTTACCGCCCGGCCCAAAAGCTACCTTTAGGAGGGGTGAAAATTGAGTTTGCTGGAGCATGGTATTCTTATATATTTTTCGACGTTGAATCCAAATTCATAGCCGAAAAGATCTCTACACCGCTTCAGTGCACCCTCGGAGCTAAGAACTTCCTAGGATAGCTGAAAATCGAGTTTCCGATGCTAGATGCTGGAGCGTTGAATCCATATGCATTTTCCACGCTGAATATGAATTTGAGGCCAACGAAATTTGTACATCCCTGGAATTTGACCTCGGGACCAAAAAATAGCAATGAACAGGGGTGGAAAATTGGCTTCCGGATGCTAGGTACTCAACCACGGTATTCCTATGTGTTCCTTGTATTTTTCAATGCTGAGTCAGAATTTGAGGTAAGAAATCTACGAGTACATTCTTTGAATTCACCCCCGTCTTCAAAACTACCGATAATGACGGGTGAAAATATCGAGTTTAAAGTGATGGATGCTAAATCGCTGTTTCGGCAGTCTGATACATACGTATGATATGTCTCGAAATTGAAAATATTTGAACGTTACAAAATTATTGCGGTAGAAGAGCCAGCGTATGTATACCGGGTGTTTCAAATTCGACACTCACCCGAATTTTTCCAAAATCGTTTTAATTTTTACCTGAATTTATTTGTAGTGGGATATCAAAATCAGTTGCGTATAAACATTGCCACTTTTTCTCCTCTACAAAATGGCATAGAATTTTAATATGACGTTTCGTCTCCTGTCCTCCAACATCAACTTTATTTTCTATTATGGACGCCATATCAGATTTTTGCAAAGATGAATAAAGTTTTCAATTTTGATTGCAAAAATGTATAATACGTCATTGCCAAACCTTAGTTATTCAGAAAAAGCACAATTTCCTACGTAGGCCTTAAAATTATCATTTGTTTCACATACCACATTTATCCCAAAATCACTTTTATTTCTTCCTGACTTTGTCTGAGATGGGATTTCAAAATAAATTGCATGTCGTCATTGTTACTTATTCTCCTCTACAAGATGGTAGTCAAATTTTCAATTCCATGTTTCTTCTTCTTTCGATTTCAGATAGGCGTTATCTTGGAATTTTGCACATTTAAATGGAATTTTCAGTCCTAAATTCAGTGATGTATTTGGTTAGTTCGCCATGAATTTGTTGTTGAATGAAAATTATAAGGAAATAATATGTATGGTGAAACCTGAACACAACATGGACATTCTATTGATGGTAATAACAATAGTAATCATAAAAAAGAAGAGGTAAGTCGTAGCAGATGGTCAAAATTTTGTCCGTTATTTCTAGGCAAAGCCTCACTCTTCTCTGTCCTTGGTTAACTGCTCGATTTATTTGCGTCTTCTCAGTCTTTCAAACTCTGTTACTATGTTCAATTTGAGGTCTGGTATACGAAACAAATGACTATCTGATAATTTCAAAGCCTACCTAGGAACTTCTTTTTTCCTAGAATAACTAAGGTCTGTTAAGGCATATTATACATTTTCAAAATCAGAATTAAAAAGTCTCATAGTTACTATTACGGATCTACGTCTTTTTTTTGTGGAGTTGTGAAATATAGTGCGTGGAACAGTTGCCCTTGAGTGAGTCGGTCATTTTGTGTAATATGTTCCAGGTTCAGATAGTTAGAAATTAAGTATAGCCGGGGAAAGCACAGAAAGAAGAAAAATGCAGAAAAGAATAACTCTTGTAGTTAGTGCAGATTATACAGGGTGGCCGATATGTAACTGACTAGTTTGTATCTTGAATATTTGTGAAATGAAATAAAACACGTCCTTTTTTTGCCTTTAGATGTCGCGCAAACCTGAGCCCTCTTGATTACATTTTCCATCACTTTTTGGTAGGTTTCGGGAGTAATATTTTCAATCGCTTCTGTAATATTGTTCTTCAGCTGCTCTACAGTATTTGGTTTGTTTTCATAAACCCTATTTTTCAAAAATCCCCATGAAAAAAAGTTAGGAGCCGTTGAATCCGATTACCAAATCCAGAAATTGAACGTCTCGGAAATATTGTTCGCAAAAGATTCATTATTTCCCTAGCTGTGTGACAAGTTGCTCCGTCCTGCTGGAAACACGTCTTGCAAATTTTTGGATTTGAGGGGCCAGAAAGTTTTGCACCATATCATAGTAGCGCTCGCCAGTAACAGTAATAGAATTACCTGCAGCGTCTTCAAAAAAGTAAGTCCAATGACACCTCCATACCAAACGCCGCACCAAACTGTGACTCGACGAGGATGTAGTGGTCGTTGATGGATGACACGGTGGTTCTCTAATGCCCAGATACTACAATTCTGCTTATTAACAGATCCGTTCGTATCGCAGTGAGCTGCATCTCACATTATCAGTTGTCAGTAAAAATCGTTATTTTGGGTATTAATAATAATAATAATAATCCGGCTTTATTCATACAAAGTATAAAAAGGCGAAGTGTCGCTAAAAAGTGTTTTTCAACATAACCAACTTATTAAGCTGCAATATTGCATGACTATATTATTGGCGACTTTCATGGTCAGTAGGCTGTAGTTCTTGGGTTAACTGAATTTGTATGGCCGCAAATGCAAGTCTTTTTTTAAATGGTGCATAATGACGTGCGTGGAATACCCAGTTCTTGAGAATGATGTCTGGTAGACGTCTCAGGGCGCTCCAATATTCTTTCACGAACTCTCTCGATATTTTTCAGAGTACGAATAGTTCGAACACGGCTTGACTTTGGCAAGTCTTTACCTTCACCTGTTTGTTCAAATTTCGGCACCAACTGACGAATGGTGTTGAAACTGGTCACATTATTTCGACTCATTATTTAAGTAAAACATTTTAACAATATGGACGCGTTGTGGGATCGTGTAGCGCTCCACATGTGCTTTAAACAACTACTACGGCGCCACTGACCGAAATGCGTGTATCAAAAATGGCGCGCAATTTAAATCACTCAGTTATATATTGGCCACGCTGTCGTATGCAGGGTCTAGAACAAAAATACCATTATTTCCCTCAGCAACTTACCTTTTGAGTCCTTTGGAGTCTCTGCAAACAGTGTTCTACGAATGGATGGGTCCGTGTCTTGAGGAAGTTTTGCAGCTCTACAAGCAAGTTGACACTTGGAATACATAAGCCGGTCATAAGATATAGCAACTCCCAGCCACGCTCTTCACTCACTGACAGACGATTGAATGTCAATTGTTTCATTATTTGGCAGTACACCTGTATAAGAAACCAATGTTTCAATTTGATATGTAAACTTAGGATATCGGGAGTATCAATAAATGATTCAGATGGTGGTACCTAAAAATACGAACTGTAAAGTTTGAAGATTATAATTTTGCATAAATGAGCTTCGCTAGGGAGGGTTAGGATGAATTTAGTTTTAAAAATCAGATAATATGTAGTAGTAGTAGTAGTAGAAAGATCTATTTAGCAGATTTGGCTACATAAACAGAATAATTGTAAACAACTTAGAACCAGTAAATTCAAGCCATATGATGTATGATGTAAATGCTGGGCAACCTATAATTGTAGATTTAACAAGTGGTTTCTCAATTTTACTTTAAATTTTGTTTTCTGGTCTTTTATCTCCGAGTATAATTTCTTATATTCGATCAACCGTTGATGGAATACAGATTTGTAGCATACCACTGTTATACTTTTTGGTCATTAAATGGAAGTCGTCTTTATTTTTGGTATTATGTAAATGATGGTCGACATTTGATGATGTTAAATTAGTTAGACTTGATAAAAATATATTATTTTTTACTTTATAAATGTATATCATTACAAGATATTTCATAAAATTTCTTACATTGAGCCATTTTAATTTGCTAAGCATTTGCCTGATTGAAGTATATTTATCTTTATTCAGGATTATTATCATGCACTTATTTTGTAAAATTTGCAGTGTTTCAAAAATGGCATTATTTGTTAAATATAGAATAGTCGAACAGTACAAGAAATTTGGAAGAATGATCGTATTATAGATAATTTTTCTCCTATATAAACTCAGACATCCAGAAACTCTCGATAAATATTCCACTTTACTACTAATCCTATTTATAACTTATTCATAATGAATATCAAAAATTAATTGGGAGTCAACAAAAACCCCCAGGTATTTAAAATTTTCTAGGAATTCAATATCTTCACCATCAATATTCAGTTGAACATTTGTACATTGTTTTTTTCCGATTAACAGGGCTTTCGTTTTACTTGTATTTAATTTTAGTCTGTTAGATGCTAACCATTTTGAGACAAGTTCAAGTCTTCATTTATATAAGAGATACCAGTCTGAATATTTTTAGTACTTCTATAAATCATAGTGTCATCGGCGAAAATCTGAATTTTGCATTTTTTTAATATGGCAGGTAAATTATTTATGTATAAAATAAAAAGAAGTGGTCCCAGGATACTGCCCTGTGGAACACCTAACGTATTTTCAATTTTTGATGAAATCGTGTCATTAACTTTTGTAACTTGCATCCTTTTAGACAAATAATTTCTAAACCAATCTAAAACACTTCCTGATATACCATATGCCTTCAGTTTACCTAACAAAATATCTCTATCAATCGTTTCAAATGCCCTCTTCAAATCCAAAAATACTGCTATGACAACTTCTTCTGAGTCTATGGCTCTTCTCCAATTCTCACTTACCAACTGGAAAGCCGTTTCTGTGGAATATTTTTTTCGAAAGCCTGCTTGCGCCTCCACTAAAATTTTGTTTTCTTCTATAAACTACATTAATTGGTCATGCACTATGTACTCTACTAATTTTTCAATGTCTGGTAACACATTTACTGGTCTCATATCGCTGCATCTTTTAGAATTTTTTATTTTGGGAACTGGTGTTATTGTAGAGCATTTTAAATTTTCAGGAAAAGAACTGCTTCTCAGTGAACAATTGATCCAATTTAATACAGGATATCCCAAAATTTCGAAACAGTTTTTCAGCACGTTTTTAGTAGTAATTTCGGCACAGTTGTTATTTGATTTTAAACTATTTACTTTTTTTCTTAGATAATTCAATGATACGCTATGAAATTTTGGAAGTATATGCAACATTTCCCCCTGGAAACTGATTTTCATATAGTCAGGTGCAGCATTGGCAGTACCCGCAATATCAACAATACTTTCCACAAAATATTCATTTAGTTTGTTTGCAATCACCAAAGAATTTGTTTCGGTACCGTTTTCGAATTGAACTTGATTTACACAATCATGCGGCTTCGAATTGATCAGTCTTTTTAAAGTTTTCCACATCTTTACACTGTCGCACTTGTTATTATCGATTTGCTTATCGTAGAATTTTCTTTTTTTCTTCTCTAATTACATACATACATTTATTCCTAAGAGTTTTATATACCTCCCAATCATCATTTGATTTTGTGAATATACATATATTGTATTGTTTGGTCTCTCAAATTTTGAGCTGTCTTAATGTTCCTGTTATACCAGGGTGTATTTTTTGTCGAGCAAATCACTTTTTTATCAGTTGCAAGATCTAAACAAGTTTTTATATTTCCTATTATGTTGTCATATATTTTTTCCATATTCTCACCAAAATTCCAATAGCCGCCAGCAAGTTCTCTTTCAAGTTTTTCGTACATAATAGTATTTACGGTTTTCTTAATTTTTGTATCAGAAAAATGCCCTACCAAGGGCAGCATTGTCCATCTGGGATCACTAACTTTAGGTATATGTACAGCTTTAATCCCTGCACATTCGAAATTTACAATAACAAGATCTAACAAAGTCTCTGATAATGATGTTATTCTGGTACTCTCTTCAATTTTTTGCTTGAACCCATAGTTATTTATGGTTTCTTTCAATTTTCTTGTTTTCATGCTTTTACCATAGTAATTTAAACTAAAATCACCTAAAAGTATTATATTGTTTCTAAAATTCCACATTTCTTCGCATTTCTCTTCAAAAAACGTTAAAAATCTATCCGCATCACTGTTTGGTGAACGGTAAGAAGTACAAAGATCATAACGTTTCCCAAATAATTTGAACTGTATATGTGCATACCAGTATGCATAGTCTAAAGTGGTACAATCGAATAATTTGATCTGTATTTTGTGGTAAACATAAATCACTACACCTCCAGTATGTCTGGAATTGGAGTTGCATCTGTAGGTTTTATAATTAGTAATTTGTAATTCACCATCGGTGATGTCTTCTGTAGCATGTGTTTCGGTAAGACATAATACAAGTGATTTTCTCCATCTTGAAAACTGTTGAACTTCATCTATATTATTCAGGACTCCTTGTATGTTTAAATGGTATATTGAGTTATATTCATCACTTACTGATTTAGCCACATCTTGCAAATCTGGGCTTAGTAGTTGCTATTCATTTGCATAACTAATTGTTTCCCTCTCACGCTCAATTTTCCTCTTATATACTTCACAATTTTTGTCAAATGGTCCATGATTAATAGGTAATCCTAGATTAAAATCCTGGTTTGCACTTTTACAATCTGGACAGCATTTGTACATTTCACTAACACTAGTTTTCTGTTGAATATCCTTCTAATCCACAAGTAATACATCTTCCTGATTTTGTGCAGTATTTAGATGTGTGCTTAAATCCAGTACATTTATAGCATCGCAAAACATTGATGTACTCGAAAACAGATCAAAGAGGCATGTCGATAAAAATAACACCCTGATTCATAACACACATAAAAGTCACAGCATCCACTTCTAAAATTGCCTGATATTTAGTTTTCATTTTCTTGACTGTAATTACTCTCATATGTGAATTTATTTGAAAAGATTCATTTTGTGATTTTATAGTATTTATTAGCTCGTCTTCTGCATATTCTTGACAAAATCCAATAACTTTGATTTGTGGCTTTTTACTTATCTCTGAAGTTTCCACTGTATATGCTTCTGGCATTTTTGATTTTATTTCTTTAAGTAGCTCCTCGATATCATCTTTTGTTTTACAATGGATTTTCACCCCACCATCCTTCAATTCATAAACTTTTTCAATAGCAATTTTCAAACTGGTAGGATTCACAAATTTTGTGTTATTACTCTCTTGTTGGTTATTAGGCTTATCAATGACTGTATTTGTGGGTTTTAATACTGGTGATTGTTTTTTACTGTACGTGTTTGCAATGGTAAGCATTGCTGCTTATATTCTACCATTGTTGTAGGCGAATTAACGGTTGAAGGCCCTGAAGCTTTAACCATATCAGCGTAAGTTGTAATTGCTTCTTGTGACGGCTGTTGCATCTTCCCAATTTTTTTGTTTAATTGGTCTATCTTTTCGTACAATTCCTTGATTAATTTTTCTTGAATCGAAATGGTATAATCTTTTAGTTTTAAAACTTCCTCTGTACAAAATCCCTTTTCACTCAGTGAGACCACACTCTCCACTCCCTTACTAGCTCCATCCTTTTTAGAGTTCTTCTCCATATTCAAACTAAAAATTCAGGAATCTTCTAAAAACTTTTTTCAGCTTTACCAAATTTTTGATATTAGAAGTCAAAAAAGTATTTCCAGAGTTAATTTTCTGCAACCTCTTCCGTGTGGGATCTGCAGCTGCAAACAGGTGTGGCAATATATATTTTGTTAATCTTCCCGGTGATCCTTGGTTGAAATTTTTATGTGTGGTCTTTACCAATATTTCGTGTCTGTGTTGGAGCGAATAAAAAGAGCAAGTGTAGTAGTTAATATAGCTATCGTGATGCCTATTCATAAATAAAATTGCATACGCACCTCGTCTTTAAGCAAATCGTTCTTTAAAGCCCCTGCGAAAATCTCATCAGTGTATTCGTTACTGTATCTTGCACTAGGTGCAGGCAGATCTCCCATGTACTTCAAAATAGCCGTGAATATTCTGCAAGAATATAATATTACCGGTAAATGTGAAAATGGTTACACACAGGTTGGCTTTTTGGATCTTGGTGGTTTGAAAAGTATTTTAGACCGTTCCCGAATTACATATGACGAATACATTCAAAACGTGAAAAGGACCAAAAGACCATTTTCATTTCACTCAGTCACATTGAATCAAAATTACATGAAAAGCCGCATGGTACTTTCCATTTTATAAAGCAACCAAATATTATTTTTTAATGGCTGTGGTAAATATAACTAAATAAAGAAATCGTTCTACACAAAATTTATTGATGATCACCTCAATAACCAGATTTATAAATGAAGAGTGAAAAACATAAACAAGTAATAAACAAGTCATAAAATAGATTTTATAGAAAGCATTCAGTATTCTTTATTAAAGATCATAATACATTATAAAAGCAGTAAAAATTCAAATTGACGACTTTTAAGCATCGAACGTTGCTTGTATAATAAAACTTCCAAATTGTTTAATTGGAACATCTTGTTGTCAATAATAAAATGTATTGACATGTTTTTGCAATATATGTAAATCAAAATAGTTAATATAACATTTACATGAGCTGTTATGAGGGACTTGAAATTTTTCATATTATTTCACTTTACGTTTAAAAATATACGAATCGGATATAAACGAATTTTTAAGGAACTAATCATCAAACTTAAGGGATATTGAAACGTCTCGCCTTAATCTAACAACTGAAACTTTACCGCCGGTTGCCTCGCTGATAAATCACCGTATTTCACTGACCGATAAATAAACCTAAAGATATAGAGTTGCAGACATACTGACGTTTTGGCCACCTCGCTGTTCCTTTTCTAAGCACAAATAAAAAAATTACGATGATAAATAAGACATATCGTCACTATCTGTACTACTGCCCCCGGCCTTGGTGAGTGTTCTGTTGTCCTAGTATGGTATTACACGTATTTCTTCCAGGCCACAGCATAGTGTTTCCTATGCTCTGACCACGCTGTCACGTCTGGCCGGGTTAAGTATCGGGGAGAAGCCAAGTGTTCAGATCCACTACCGGTACAGTAGGGAAAGAATGTCCAGGGAATACTATTGTTTGGACCTGTTTGCTGACTTATCAGATGGTCTAGTTTTTGCTGAACATAATAATGAACTGATAAGGCCGTTGCGTCGGAAGTGCAGGATCAACCTACTTGACGCCATTTTTTTTACTTTTGTTTTGAAATAATCCATTGTAGTGACCGAAACGACCATAAATCTTCTACCAAACAGTTATGATGATTTGCAAGGTTAGAACGACTGTTTGAATCTTTACACGATAACTGAAAATGATGTCATTCTTGCAGCTAGGAAATTAAAGAATATTATGACCTCCGGAGTGGACAATATTCCTAGCTTTTTTGCTGACGATATAAAAATTTATAATAATATTGTAACTTCCTAAGACTGTCATTTTCTTGAAAATAACTTGGAAGTTATCAATTTATGGTGTTCCAAAAACCTCCTTATACTAAATGTGTCAAAATGTAAAGTAGTAACATATTGCAGAAAACGGAATGTTATGCTTTATGAAGACTACAGTATTAATCAGGTAAGGTTAGAAAGGAGTAACAGTTAGGTGTTACATTTGATGTCAGGTTCACTTTTAATAATCATATAAACAGCATTACATCGTCTGCTTTCCGAATGTTAGGGTACTGTGTTAGAAACTGGTCAGGTTTCTCAAACGTTGAAACACTCAAGCTTCTATATCTAGCATACGTCAGAAGCAAGCTTGAATATGCATCGCTTATATGGGCACCTACTTATCAAAACTCTATTAGCAGATTGGAATCTATTCAACGAAGAGCAGTAAAGTTTATGTTCTTCAAATGCAATGGTTTCTATCCACAAAGAGGCTTCGACCATAATGTATTGCTCAAAACTTTTGATATCAAACTGCTTGAAGTACTCCGAAATATTTCTGCTCTTTTTTGTTCAATTTACTCGACAATAAGGTTTACTGTCCATATATTCTAAGTAAGATATGTTTAAAATGTTCCTCGCGTAGGTAACTGTTATTGTGCCACATGTTACTATGATTTCTGCCATACCAATGTCTTGTCCAAGTCTCCCGTGCATAGGATGTGTACAATATTCAATAGTATCAGTAACTGCGACATATTTAATGTCACTAAATCTCGCGTTATTGAACTTTACCTTGAAGAACTTCTAATCAATTATGGTTGATTATTACTTACCTATATACTATTATTCTTATCTATGTATCTGTTTACTGTGCTTAATTGATATTTATTGATATTTCCTGTAATTGGGTGTATCTGCCTGTTGGAAATACACATTATTATTATTATCTGTAGCGGCCAGCGAAACATGGAAATTTACGAAATTTGTTTTCCGTCGTATCGACCTTATCACCTGTTATTTCATTTCATATAGGTAAGATATTCATAAAAGTGCCAAAATATTAAGACTTGGAGAGCTTTCAAACGTTTCTAGAAAATTAGATCTTTTTAGCTTTTGAAATATTTTGTTGTAAAGTTAATATGTCAGTAGTTCATCGTCGCTCTATATGGACATGTATATTTGATTGCTCCGACAGTGTGTGGTTATGTGCTCGATGATCCAGATGAAACTTTATCTCCGAGTGTCTGACTAGTCTTACCCCAAATCCAACGGATAATAATACAGTGGACCTCCGGTAATCCGACAAACATTATGCAGGGCAGTGTCGGACTATCGAATTTGTCGGATTATAGAGCACTGCCTAAGACCCCCTATAGTCCGGATTTTTTTACAAAAGAGTACCTTGTAATCCGACAAATTACATATCCAATGGTAAGATTATATGTTATGTATATGTATGTACTTTGAAGTACAAATCATATATAGTTTATGTATGTCGCATATAGTAAATGAAATAACAATAGAAAGCTCACGTTTTATTATAAAATTGAGCATAAATGCACATACATACAGGTATGTAACAAAATAATCAAGAATTATTAATCAAAATCATTAATGAATTTATCAAATTATGAATCTTGGAAATATTCATCATTTTTTTTTGTTTAAGGTTGTTATAAAGCGAGATCAGAGCTTTGTCCCTTAGTCTTCTCAAAAGTAAAAGTTCGTTGTAGGATGTACCATTCTCTTCAGCCCATTGTAAACCTAGCTCAAAGGCGTTAATTGTGTCTTGTGCTATGACTTGTAGAGCAGTTGCAATCACGTCGTCGTTATTTTCCTGATTGTTTGATGTATAATTAGAAACCTCTTTTATAATCTCTTCGTCAGACATTTCATGAAAAACATTTTCCTCTTTATCCATTCCTCGGCACCAGATTTCAAAATCTTCCAGACCTATCTGTGTTTCAGTAGCGACTTGTTCTATAACTTCCTAAGTACCTAACACTGATTTGTGGAACGTTGCTAGGAGTGGTGACTATATCTGGCCACAACTTTTTCCAAGACGATAATAGTTGATGACGGTAACGCATTCTACGACTGAAAAAGAGCAAAAACCAAGTCTTTCATATTAAATTCTTTTAAAGATTTTTCTATTGGTTGGTCTTTTGATACGGCTCTCAGAAGTAGGTTTTTCTTATAGTCTTGCTTGACTAACCGAATGATATTCTGGTCCATTGGTTGAATCAGTGCAGTGCAATTTGGCGGAAGAAACATCGCAGTGATGCATTTATCCTCAGTTGTTAGTCCTTTTTCAGACGGATGACCGGGAGCGTTATCAAGAAGCAACAACGCTTTTTGACTTCAGGTACGAAGCATTCATCAAACGATTTTTTGAAAAGGTCTTTTGTCATCCATCCACTTTTTCGTCCGTAATAGTGTACAGGTAAATCAATGTTTTTTATTGCCCGTTTTATTAGATTTCCCAATGACCATCATCTTAAGTGCGTGTGTGCCCGCAGCGTTAGTACATGGTAGTATGGTTACACGCTCTTTACTTACTTTTCGTCCCGGTACGGATTTTTCGTTACAAGAAACGAAAGTTTTGTTAGGCATCACACGCCCAAAAAGCCCTGATTCGTCTGCATTGTACACCTGTGACGGGTCAAGATTTAAATCGTTCACCTTTTGCAAAAATTTTAATTTAAAGGGCTCTATGCAGGTGGCATCGTTAGAAAGTTTATCTCCTGTAATAGTCATTAAACGTATGCCATGATGACTTTTAAAACGTGCTAGCCATCCTTTGCTGGCCACAAAATCATCTTTTTTTTGTTATTTCCTTATAAAAAAACTTAGCTTTCATGGCCAACATGGGTCCTGAAATTGGTGCATGCCTATTTCTTTCCTGAAGAAACCACATGTACAAAGCTTCTACCACTTCTGGATGTTCAGCTTTCTTGAGTGTCTGTCTCTTGCCTGGCCCGCAGTCAGTAGTTGACACGACCTTCTTGATCTTCTCGTGGTTTCTTTTAATGCCATAAATTGTAGATCGGCCTACGCCATATTCACTTGCTAAACTACTGAAACTTTCAGTGCGATTTAAGCGGTCTAAAATATCACATTTTTCTTTAATTGTCAATGTTTTATACTTTCGCTTCTGAGTTTGTGATGACATTACTAGGTACTGTACTTAATACGCAATGAACAAATAGTAGACAATGAACGCACGCTAGGCCGTACCGCTATCACCAGTAGTCAAATTCAAACTAAGTAAAACAATGCTTACGCGTCGAGCCTGATAGCGGTGGCGCGTACAAGTTGTAACCTGTTCAAACCTGCGTGATCTAAATTAGCGAAAACTGTTAAATACGTATGTATGTAATACATATTCAAAGAAATATCGGATTACAGGGGGCGCCGGATTAGACAGGGGCCGGATTATCGGGGGTCCACTGTACAAACTTTATCGGTTTTACTCACTGTGTAGGTGGCAACGCTAATAAAGTAACCAAATTTCTCAAGCATAAAGTTTTCTGTCATCTTAATAATGAAATCAGAAATACAAAATGTGATCGATGGAAGGCCGCGCTGTTGCCGGCTTGACGCTGACGGTGGAGATTTTGATAGTTGGTTACAAAATCCACGATGATTTCGCTGATGAAACTATGCCTACGCGGTCTGTAAATTAAGTGATAACACTGGCAACGTAGCGTTCGATCTGGTAACACTGGAGGCGTCACGCTTGGATGGGAGACAGGGGAACATGGGTGCCTCATCTTCAAGAATCGATGAAAATATAGACAGAATCCGGGATCGTCAGTTGACAGTCAGAATGATCGGAGAATAAATTTGACTCACACCACCGTTCATCAGATCAAGAATAACTGGGTGTTGCATTACGATAATGTTCCTTGTTACACAGAACAGAGCTGTCCTTAGCAGATGCGAAGCCTCGAGCAAAACATTCTTGCGAGGCCTTTTTTTGGAGAAAGTGGTCAACTCCGGAAAATTTTTAAAATTCTCGTACCAAAAAGTGTTTTTAGCATTTTTGATCTCAAAACATGACAATTATTCACGTAATTTTTTTCATTTGCCAGGGTTGAGTCTATTTTGATTTTTGATGTAAGTATACGATATTTCAATCTGTATACAGAATTGAGATAATAAATAAATATGATTTATGACTATTGTCTAAGCTCTTCCACTTTAATTTTTTAAGCAAAAAATCATTAGGAAAATTATAATAAAATTTAGGTCTGCCAGGAAATAAATAATATCGAATAAGAGATCTTTTTTGTAGTGAATAATCTATCATAAATAAGCACATATTATTACAAAATATTCATATTATTTGCACATACTATCAGTTCTACAGTATTTTTAAGTGAAAATCTATTGCTTAAGCTTTTGCTCAGTAGATTCTGACATCAGCTCATCTTCTACCTCGAACTCAAACATTCTTCTTTTCTTTATCTGTCCGACTTCTTTGAATTTTGGCTCTACACCCAGAGTTTCACTAAGTTCTCTTGCCATCAATGTGGCCGCCACAAAATTTTCAACTCTAAATTTCTGAAAAAAACTGAACTAGCCCTTGAAGTAATTGCGACGCAACTCCAAGGCAGCGCGCCGGCAAGCAAGAGTTAAACATCGATATGCGCGGGGTTTGGGGAGCTGTCACCCCGGACCCCGCCGCCGCTATCAAACGATGTCTTGCATTCTCGATTATCTCGTTCGTGGGTTTTGTAATTAATCAATAGTTTAACATATTGCGACAGTAATAAGACACATATTTTAGGCACGTATATTTGTATATTATTATATTATTTTCATTAAACCAAAACTTTTTATTTATTTTGCTCAGCACGAGGCCTGGAGCGGCCGCTCCACTCGCTCCGGACCACCCTGACTCAGAAATGTGAATAAACGAGTTTTTGGCAAGGGAAAAAAATCCTATAGCCTCCTTTTTCTATTGACTTGAGTTCTTGTGACTTTTTTCTCTTCACGAAGTTAAAAAATCGCGGGAACTCGTTTTTTAATAGTCGCAAACATTCAAACGTCTGTAACCGACCAGTTGAAGGCAATTCCAGCACTGCTATGCTTCAGCGCTGTGTGGCTTCGAAGGAAGATATTTTGAGGGTGACAATATAAAATTGTAGTTATATTTGGATAAAAAATTAAAAAAAACAGCCTCATCACTTAATTTACAGACCTCGTATAACCTTCCTCGGCTATCAATTAGCAAGTTTACAATTGTTTACTTCTCTCCGAATTGTGATTCAGACGTGATGTTAACAGACTGGATATAAATTCACTTTTGTATATAGAGGTTACCTGCACGCCTCCTTGCTGGCGTTATCATCAGTCAGAACCTTTTGTAAGAGCGGTTGGCGGATGGGTTCATTTGAATACTTCCACAACTCCTCTTTGGACATTCTCCTAGCGGGTACCAGCATAGACCCTCTCTGTGCCGTGGTCAGCCTTCTACCAGCTCTGAAGTGTTCTTCGGCATAAGATGCTAAGGTATGCATTCTCATGCGTTGCATTGTTGTAACCGTTGATTTGGCTATCGGTTTGTCAGTCACTATCCCATCTTTTTTAAAGGAGGTCTGTAAAAATCACATGAATTATTTTGGTCATATCTTCCAAAATTGTTGTGTAATTTGAAACAGTAATCAAAAATCAAAAGAGCGCAACGTTTTTGACTACATGACCTTCTTGTAGTTTTGTAGTTCATTTTATTAAAAAGGATTATATGCTCGGTAGAAGTGGACACACTATTTATATACATAGTACTGAATGTCGTTAAACATCAAAGACTATCAATAAATAAAGACATATATAACTGATATTGATTTTGGCTTTTTCTAAACTTTTTCATTTTATACAGAGTGATTCACAAGTCGTGATCAAAAATGAAAAATTATACACAGGATCACATTTTAAGGGGGTCCTCTATGTAACATGTTTAAAAATAAAAAACATTTTTTTAATATCTTCAAAACCATGAACTGGAATGAACTAAAATTTGGTATTTGGATTTACCTAAGTATTGTCCACATTAAAAAAGTCTTTACTTAAAATTAACGTGCACCAGTGGTGGAGATACAGGGGACTTGTGGCATTATTTACATACATAAAAATAGTACGCCACTGTTTCTTTTCATAACGCGTAATTTTTCGAATTTTAACTTCAAATTGCTACTAACAACTACTTTTGTGTTTTTTCCTAGAGTGCATTGTTTTCGTAAAAAAAATAGACAATCAGAATTGTTTCAATATATGTTCGGCATCTTTTTAATAAAGAAAAACGTATTTCGGAAAAATTTGTAGCTGAATTTGATGAAACGCATTATCTATTCTTTTTTTTAACTGATCAACGGTATTGGTTTATTCAGCATACACTAGTTGTTTAAAAGCGCCCCACAAAAGAAATCCAGTGGATTCAAATCAGGGGACCTCACAGGCCAATGTACGGGTCCGCTTCTGCCAATCCATCTTTGTCTAAAATTATTATTTAACCATGCGGTTATGTCACGAGGAACATGCGGTGGGGCACCGTCGTGCTGATACCACATTCGTACACTCGTTGCTAACGGAGCATCATCTAATAGATTTTCTATGTAATTCTCTAGAAAAGCTAAGTATCCCAACTAGCAAAGTAGTGGTATAAGCTTTTGGTAAAAGAACCGTTCAGCCATAAAAGTTCTCTATTGTTGTTGCCTGACACCAAACTGCTGGCTTAATGTTGTGTGGAATGCAAATTTGCTTTCTGCAACATATTTGCTCTAAAATGAGGTATTTAAAATATTCTTATAGCATAGTTATACAACACCTTATAGGGAAAATGTTTAACTGTTGCATAAACATTTATACAACTATTTTATACGGCATATTTGCAAGTTAGCCAAAATGGTTGTGTTGTGGCATCCATGGTAACGTTTATAAAACAAACCCGAGCCTTCTTGTTTTGCTGTGTAATTTACTACCTTAGCCAACAAATTGCTCCCAACGGAAGCACTTATACAACTGTTGTTTAGTAACTGTTGAAGGCTGTACATATGCTAAATAAGTTGGTAAACAACTTCACCATAACCTAACTTTCTGCTGTCATATTTTTGTTAAAATGCCATAACCAATGTTTTAAAACAAACAACGCATGCGTATTGGTTCAAAAGGTTTTATCAACTGTTCAAACAGAAGATATAGATCTGGTACAAATTCTGGGTAAATCATTCGACTCTGTCGGTACTTCATTTCAGACATTTGTCAAATTGTTGTATAACACCTGCAGGCAACACCAAAATATTCTAATAACCAAAAGACAACATGGACGATGCCATGATTGTACACAACCACCCGACATATTGGGCGAACATTTATTCCTCTATTTAATATTAAATAATCATGTTTCAGTTCGAAATTATAGATATAAAGTGATAAACATTAGTGTAATTGTGTCTAAATATAGGACTTGTGGAAGATCTAACGCAGATAAGTTAAGTTTTTCATCTTAAAAATCTAGACATACTTTTGATCATTGTCAAAATATGAATCAAATACGAAGCCCGTAGAAATTGGGTAACTAATTTGCACGATAATCACAATAAAATTTGCTGCGCAAGTAATTCAATAGCCATATAGCAAAGAGTAGAAGTTTATCATATACCTGTGTATGAAATTCACAATGGCCGATATATGTAAGTAAACAAGATGACTGTAATGTGTTAGTTATATATTCTTCACTTCGTCTATATAATACATAAGAAATAGTTTGCTTGCAATAAAGTAGAATCACGTAACAGAATAGTAGTATAGTTGACAAAAACTGAATCTTGCACTGACGCAAATGTCCTGTAGCGGCTGCAAGAGGCTTACACTTTTGTTTTATAACTGTTACCTGCAGCCCTTATACAACCTCTTAAATGACTGAAGTGTCCTATTAGGTGTGCCCATTCCGCTTGTGTAGCTGTTCTAAGAGGGTTCTGCCAATGTTCTTACAGTACCTATACAATGCTGTTTAAGGAATAATGTATAATCATTCTTGCAACTCTAATAGGAGTGATAATTGTTAGTTGGGATGCCATTGAAAATGCCACACAAGAAATTTCTAGAAAATCTGTGTTGAAACGAGTGGATTCTTACAGAACGGGGATTGAGGATTAAAGGTTCTACTCCTCGTAAAAAGCGATTCATCTGACCACAAAACTAAATCAATAAAATCTGCTTTTTGATTATGCATTTGCAATAACCACTCACAAAGGTCTTAGAAATGAGTGCGTGAAAACCTTTGGAGTAGGTTGCCTTCTATTAAGAAATCTACGTTGATACTCCCGAAAAGCCGCTAGCACATTTCCATTACAGAACCCGTACACAAAAATAATATCCGCGCACTCCATTTGACAATACTCAAAAATAGAAAAAATGATCTTTTGACTTGACTTTAACAAAAAAGAAAATGGTAGTAGTAACGATAACAGCCGTATAGCACATAACTTTGACAAACTATCACCCAAGAAACGTCAAGTTGGTATCAAGGCCTCCTATTTTATTTTGAAACTAATAATTGTATCTCAGGTCTTCATGAATGATCCAATTTGTTTTATTTTTATTTTAACGAATACAGTACACTCTCCTCACAAGAGGAATTATTTGTAGCAAATTGAGGGTAAGATTTGAAAAACTGCGCGTTACTGGCGTCTATTTTTATTTGGAAAAATAGTGCCACTAGTCCCCTGTATCACCGTCACTGGTGTACGTTAGTTTTAAATATCAACATACCAAATTTAATTCATTCCTGTTGACAGTTTTGAAGATATTAAGAAAATTGTTTTTTATTTTTAAACTTCTTTTTAGTGAAGCCGTCGGGGAAAAAATGTCACATTAAAGACCCCCTTGAAATGCGGTCCTGTGTATGATGTCTTATTTTTGGTCACGACTTGTGAATCACCCTGTATTTCATTGACTTTGGTGTTGTCATGACTATTGGAAGTTGGTAAATGTTGGATCTCACCAATATATCTGCTGGAGGAGGCTCTAGAGTGGGAAGAACGTAGATTGCTTCTGTAGGGAAGTCACCAGTTTTTCCATTACATTCCCCATGTCCCCAAGTGGCTGTCTTCAGTTTTCCACCATTTAAATCGTTCTTCAAAACAATAAGGTCCCCTTTTTTGAGAACCAAAAATGACTCTGCCCCTAGAAAATAAAAACTCTGGTACTTTTTTTTACTTTTTATATCGGTTTTCTTACATCGAAGCAGCCGCCCAGGCAGAAGCCATTATGCCTTGACACCGCGGCTGCTATAAGGATCCCAATGAAACTTTATTAAACCGATTGTTGAACTTCCTAAGGTTAGTAGAATTGGGAATACTTCCTCTTGCGGATTGTTCCATAATCTCGACACCTTAGGGAGCGGTCGTATCGGCCAGTTCTGGATGTACGAAGTTCGACACGGTTAGGATGGAAGGTCGAAGTCAGGCGGGTAATGGAGGTCGTTGATACGTAATAGGGACAGTGTCGGAGCCAAGACTGATCCCTGGCGAACACCCGCTTTGACGTTTTGGGATGAAAAGGAGAACCCGCCAATTACGACGTAAGTCATCCATCTGCAAAGCTTTTCTAGGAGGCCATAGGATGGAAGTTTGCATAAGAGGGCAGCGTGCTACATCTGATCGAACGCTTTAGGGAAATCAAGATATATATAATTATTGCTCCACGGCTGAGCCAAATGTTACCTCAAAAACTTCTGAGGGATCTAAAATTCCAATGGACACGGATTATGCCTACCTGTAGGATGTTTGTAGTCTTGTATAGCCACACAATAGATTGATCTTTTTCTCAATCCATCAAGAATATATTGGATTAAATTGCAGATATTTTGCGCATCCATTGAAACAAACGCATATTCTTCCTTCCTTACAGTATTGATGACAACTTTTATTTGTGGACTGGTTTCGGAAGTAACTAGAGTTACTTCAGCAAAAGATAATTCCATTAGTATTTGCTCTTGATCATCAATCATGAATATGCCATTGCTGTTGACGGCTATTATAACTGTCTTTTTGGGAAGTTCTGGTCCTGAGACCTATGGAAAAGATAATAATAATAATAATAATAATAATAATAATAATAATAATAATAATAATAATAATAAATGACTTCATTGAATAAAACAAATAATCTTTTTACACAGGTAATTTAGAAAAAAAATACAGAATACATTGCCTAATATTGGCGCAAGTCTAGCTTAAAGCTACTCTACTGAACCAAAATAAGACAAAAAAAATAATAATAGTAATAATTCTTAAACAACAATACAGAATAATCATAATAATAATCACGAGTTAACACTAAATGGACTGAAAGTAAATTAAAATTTCAAAAAGATACTAATTAATACTGGTCATTATAAAATTTGGTTACTGGTTACTATAAAATTTGCTTGACATATTTTTTCTACTTATATACCTATATTATAAACTTCAATCTCTATTCTAAAAAAGTTTGTTCAGATTTGTATTTAGTAAATATTTCTTATATTGTATTTTGAAACTTGAAAGAGAAAGATTAAGGAACTGGTTGGGAATTGAATTAAATTGTTTAACAGCATTGTATGAGAATGATCGTTGGAACAATGCACTACTATGAAGCGGCATAGTTAATTTTTTTAAATATCTTACATTTATATCATGAACAGAATGTCGGAAAATTAAGCGTTCTCTTATAGAATCAGGTGAACCGTTTATAATTTTTAATAAAAAACTAGAAAAATGGAGAGTGCGACACTCATTCATTTCAAGCCATTTAATGTCTTTATACAAATGAGGTATATGATCAAACCTACGCAGACCATAGATAAACCTGAGGCACGCATTTTGAAACCATCTGAATCCGACCTCCACTTGCCTGATCTAAGCAAAACCCATAGACAAAATCGCAATAATTGAAATTGGAAATAATTAGGGATTCACACATTTTTTTAGTGATCTGTTTAGTATGTGTCTGTTATTATATAAAACTTTTAGAGAACAAAATGAATTTGCATAAGATTTTTTAGGTGATCTTTAAATCTAAAACTATACCGAGATTTTTTGTACTTTCAACAAAATTCAATTTTGGATTATTAGCCGTTATATTGAGATTAGCTTTCAAAAACTCAGTCTTAGATTTGTTACCAAAAATCATTACATGCGATTTTTCCGCATTAAGTTTTAAGTTGTGACCTACTGAGAGATTGTTCAAGGTGTTAATGTCCTCATTTATACAGTTTTCGTAATATTTGTAATCCTCAATATAAAAAAAAACAATAAGCCTGGGTGTCATCCGCGAAGGCCTGAACTTTGCAAAACTTTAAAGACGTAACGATATCAGATGTATAAATTAAAAATAATAAGGGGCCCAATATTGATCCCTGAGGAACTCCCGATGGGATCTCCGCTTTGTCTGATAATGTGTCATTTGATAGAATCGATTGATACCTTCCTGTCAAATATGATTTTAGAAGCAGTATCAACCTATATCATAACAGACTACGAGGCATTGTGAGTATCTACCGTAGTCTTTTTTAATACTGTACTATACCCAAACTTGAATCGGACATATCAAGGTCAAATTTATTTTTCATCTCTCCGGTGCGGAATTCTCTCGTAAAGGTATCGTTCGTGAATGAAACTGTCTATTGACTGTACAAGAAACTTATTATCCTACTGCCCATTTTGCTGTACAATCTACTCAAAAATAATCTCATAGGTCAGTAAAAAAGAAAACTGACCTGCATACCCTCGAAGAATCTTGAGAACAATATGACCCATGTAGCGTGAGCATATTTTACGATGAACTCCATGGCTTTTACAGCTTCTAATTTCTCACGGACGCAAATAAGATTAGAGAAAGCTGCCATTATTTTTATTTCCCACTCGGAAGGGTTTTCAGACTGTTTCAGCTATAACAATAACAGGTATTAAATTATATTACAGAATAAATCGATTAGTTTATGAACTCGACCAAGGTTTTGTTTATGGAATATATTACGTATAGGGATAATATTACATCAACAATAATGATGTTGTCAAGCAGGACCTCATCATCTCATAGCAATCCTCTGTTGCGTGAATTGGTTACTAGTAAAAGAAACACTGACGGTGCATTGTCTCTGGTGCCTTCGATTATGTATGCAACATAAGCTACGAACGTATGTCCTAAAAGTTTTGGCACAAAATATTTATCGGATTTTTATTAATGAAGAAATTGATTTGAACACTAACTAGTTATCATAAATAACAACTCAATACTAAATACAAAACTAAACTATACTCTAGAATTATGTGGTGTGGCCCATTCTTCTCTAGCAGGCGCAACTTTCTTAGAATGTCTCTCATGAGGGCCTGGACGGAATTCAGATCAATTTCTTTCAGTATTTACTAAATTCGCCGTCTTAATTGTTCTTCATCTCGGGCTTCCCAATCTCCTTGATAAACCTTCCTAGGCAGTAAAACCCAAAAATCCTCTATTGGGCAAGCCTGCGGCAATTTTGGATGATTATCGTTTTTGGGAACAAAAGGTATGTTGTATTTTCAAAGGTGGTTTTGGGTATCTCTTGAGTAATGACATGATACTAGGTCTGGGCAAATCATGATATGGTCATTAGCATGATGTTCGTGGACAAACTGAAGCAATTTGGAAAGGCAGTAGTATAGCTCTGACTGTTCAAAGCTTCACCCCTCACTCTTCCCACAATAGGTTGGAAGAGACCCCTGTTAAAAATTGCGCACTGTACAAGGATTTTATCTGCAAATTTCTCTTAATGTTAGTATCTAACATTGTCAAGGCATTCCTCTACGTTGTCCGTATAAAATCCATCGCTTCCCTTCAAATCAGAATTAGATTTTTCCATTGGCAAAGTGTACCCGCCTCAGTGGACGACAGCATCTGGTATACAAAGGAGTTGCGCCTCAGAGTATTTGGGACACTAAGCTCGTTCGATATTTAAGACCATTGTTCCTCATTTCCAACTATATCGTACATAACAACATAACATAAAAAAACAGAATCTAAAGCATATTACAGTGATAAACCATAGCAATTACAGATAAAAGAATATGCAAACTATATTTACCATATAAATATTCAAGGATTTCTATCTAAAAAAGATGTGGTTTTACATTACTTGATGTCAGTGAAGCTGGTAATGCTGTGTTTAACTGAAACACATCTCATAGAAGATATTGACAATGAAGAAATTGGTTTTGAATGCTATCAAATTGTAAGAGCAAACACAATTTCCAGACATACAGGTGGTATATTATTATATATTTTGTGAAATAGAAACTACAGTACATGAAACTGTAGCTGTTGGGTACCAATGGTGGTATATCAATGTTGAATTGAATCTTAAGCACAGTTATAATTTACAAATTTACTACAGATCTCCAACTGGAAATATAAACAGATTTATAGATTTATTCGAAAATATCTGTGAAAAACATTTTTATCGAAACTGCATCACGGTACATTTGGGCGATTTTAATATAAATTTTGATAACCAAGACTTCTACGCAAAGAAATTTAAACAGGTACTATGGCAAAAAGTCTATGATCACACCAGAATTACAAATCAATCAAGAACTATTATAGATTTGATAATAACGAACGAACAAAATTTAATTGCAAAAGGTATGCATACTCTTAAGATCAGTGATCATTCATGGATGTGTTTTGAAGTTGAAAGTAAATTTGATGCTAACAAAGTAGAAGAAATTACTAACCATGCTTCAAGCAGACGTTCAAGGATTCTAAATTAAAAAGAGTCTACAATTATAAAAAGTTTATGATTACTGGAAGTGAAAATGATTGGCTGGAATACACAAGATCAAGAAACCAATCTGTAGCAGTTCTACGAGATGAAAAGAAAAAATATTACAATACCAAAATTGATCAGAGTAAAAATAATGGCAAACATATGTGGAAAACGTTGAAAAACGTTGTTTCTCTTATTAGAAAAAGTACATTATCTAAAATGAAATTCGACGATGGGGTAATATCAAATGAAGAAATAATAGCAGATCGAAATAATACCTATTTCATAGTAAGTGTCAACGACTTTGTAAAATCAATTATTGACGGGGATCCCACCAATGTCCCATTAGCTCAGATTACAATTCATCATTCAGTGAGTTCAGAACAATAACCATTAATCGTCTCAAGATTATATCAAAAATTAAATCAAATCAAGATAAGAGTGAGATTTTGTCTAAAAGTGTGCTTAATAAATGTTTTGATATTATTGGAGCAAGAATATTGATCCTGATAAATTACTGTTTAAAATATGTCGAATTTCTAACAAAACTGAAGTGTTCTACCATAACTCCTGCTTCTAAAGTTAATAATTCTGAGTTGTACACCAATATGCGGCCAATAAATGTTCTGCCAGATGTTGAAGTTGAAGAAATTATTTACGAACAGATCATCGAATTTATTGAGGGAGATAACATTTTAACCAAATTTCAAGCTGGATTCAGGAAGAAGCACTCAACTGAAACGGCAACACAAATGGTTGTAGATGAGTGGAAACATACACTAACAGTGTTTTTGGACTTCAGAGCTTTTGAGACTATTGACAGGGATAAATTACTTACAAAATTGCATCACTACGGATTTCAAGGATCTGTATTCAAAAGTTGACAAAACTATTTAATTGACAGAAGTCAAAAAAACAAAATTGGATCTACATTATCAAGATCAAAAAATATTCCTGTTGGTATACCACAAGGTAGTAAACTAGGTCCACTACTATTTATTTTATACATTAATGACATTTGTAATATTTTAGATTATTGTAAACTTCAGATTATTGTAAACTTCAGATATTTGCAGATGATACATTAATATACATATCAGATGAAAATATAGACACTGCTTTAAGAATGCTAAATTCTGACTTGGCAAAAATCGTAAATTGGTTAAATGTAAATAAACTAAAATTGAATACTTCTAAAACAAAATGTATGCTAATAGGGAAATACCTATATGAAAATACTATCAGAGTTAGGATAAAGAGAGAAATAATTGAAAATGTTGAACCAATTAAATGTTTAGGTGTATATATTGATGGTAAACTAATGTTTACATTATTTCGAAAATTGCCAAAAAATATCAAATTACTTTTATAGGGCTCCTCATAGTCTTGGTACCTATTCCAAGAAAATAGCTTATAATACAATTATTCTACTGCATTTACTATATTGTTCAAATATCTTGTTCACTGCCAATGAAGCTGTATTCTCAAAATTACAAGTCTTGCAAAATAAAGCTATGAGAATAATATTCAATAACAATAAGTACACCAAAATAAAATCTATGTTAGAAGAATCGCAGTGGTCGAATATAAATAATTTCATATCATATTTGGTTCTTATTTTTAAACTTAAAATAAAGAATCACCTTTTGCCACAACATTTCATAGAATAGAATAATCATTACCACAATTATTATATAAGAGGAAATATAGATTGTCATTTACAAAATTGCAATAGTAATATAACTAGCAAATCAGTATTTCAGAAGGGATTACTTGAATTTAATAAACTAAATAATGATATAAAGTCTACTTGTAATTTAAAGATATTTAAAAGAAAATTAAAGGAATATTTCATGGACAATGAAAATTCTTCGAGATGCAAATTTTGTTTTTTTCTGAATGTCTGTATGTTATGTAATTGTTTAGTTTTTTAGAAGAATGTAATTGTACCAATCATGCTAAATAAATCTTAAACAAACAAACAAAATCCAGTCTCCTTGCTGACATTCCAACCTGATCTTTTGCTCCTCTCACCAATCTCCCTGACCCCTGTGAAGTAAATGCAGGTGGTCTTCCACTTTTTGGGAGATTCAGACGTGGTATTGCCTGATCGCACTCCGCTATTGTTCGATAAATGGTACTGCGTGAAATGTTTTCATGCTGGAATATTCGACAGATTTCAGCTTTGGGAACCCGCCCTACCAACTTGTAGATACTTTTTCTTATTTCTAGTTTATACATCTTAAAGCGAAAACTTCAAAATAAATAAATTTCAACCGAATGTAAAGTAAGAAAACAAACTTTTATTTCCAAAGGCAACTTAATATTATTTTGTGTTTGTTAAAATTAAAGCCAATGAATTTTGTGCCAAAACGTTTAGAACATACGTTAGTTCTCAAACTACACAGGTATCTAATACGTGGCATGTCACTACAGCGGTTTCGATCGTACATTGCACAAAGAAAACAACGTGTTTGTCTCAACGGTACCAAAAGCCAAACATCGGAAGTAAACATGGGTGTACCACAGGGCTCAATTCTAGAACCTTTTTTGTTCCTGTTGTATGCTAACGATTACTCTGGCTTTATATCTGAAGATGGTCCAGAATATAAGGTTATGGCGTATGCAGATGACACTAACATATTGATTACCAGTCCAAACATCACTGAGCTGCCTGCAATGACTGAGAGTGCATACAACAGAATCATTAAATGGCCCGACTAAGCACAGAGAAGCCCAGCATTGTGAAATTCGCATTAAAGGATGAACAAGATTTCAGGATTTTTCATAATAGAGCTATTCGTTTAATTAGCATGCTGGGGTATGATACATGATTTGTTGTCTGTCATGAGAGTCTTTGTGCACTAGATTCCGAAGTAGTTGTTATGGCTTGAAATTCTTAGCAAAGCAGCGCAGTAAACGAATTAATAACTTTATACTATGCTACCGTGAACTGCCATATCCGTTATGGTTTTCCTAATTGGGGAAGTAGTTCACTAACTGAAAGAGTTCTGCTGCTACAAAAATATGCCATCAGAATTATTGATAACCTGGCTCTCCAATAATTTTACAGTATTTCCAAAATATACGAGAAGAGAAATTCTCACGTAAGCAATAAGTGGTATCTGCGGTAGAGGAGTTGTTTTCTGTACTCGTACAACAATTTTACCGAGAAAAACAAACATATAAATGTCGGGGTTAGTGGTGGAGCATAAGGATCAAATCTCGTACATTTCATCTGGTTGTCAAATATGAGTAAAAGTTGACCTATGTCTATTTTTTTCTCTAATAACGTGAACATTAATAACTCATACCAGATAAGTAGGTATGTACTCCCCAATCCTCGACTGCAACACAGCCTTTTGCATCTTTGGCCCGTTATCCACGTAGTACTGAACAGCTATAAGCGAAGCTACGTCGGCTGCTGTTGGACATCGGTACTCTCCATTTTTCAAACCTCGTACCACTTGTCGATAGATCAGGCGAGTTGCCTCAGGGTCATGGCAGGGGTCATGCCATGGAGTGAAAATCTCTTTACGTAGGAATATTGACCATGGAGAACTTTTCTCGTGGTAGCCCTATTCAAATTAAAGATAATAGGGAAAAGTAAATAAAAAATGACATAGTTGTATCACTATCTAAAAGTATAAATCCATTGAGGCGAAACAAAGCGAAACGAACAGAAGCGAAATTGTTTCACCTTATGTTGCATTGCATTGTAATGGAAGCCCGCATGATGGAGCGGTATACGAGGTCTGTAAATTAAGTAATTGAGATTGACAACGCAGCTTTAGATCCGGCAATGTTGGAAGCGCCAATATTGGTACGGAGACAGAGGAACATGTGGTCCGCCTTCAGCACAAGTTTGAACTCATTCGAGTCATTTGGTTGTTCGTTCACCAGATCAAGAACAACTGGGTGTTGTATCACGATAATGCTCCTTGTCACACAGCAATGTCAATAAACGAGTTTTTGACCAGTAAACACATTCCTGTGGCTCCTCAGCCTCCTTATTTTCCTGACGTGAGTCCTTGTCACTTTTTTCTTGCTGAAAAATCACCTCGAAGGAACTCATTTTGGGACAGCCGAAGATGTTCAAACGGCTGTAACCGACGAGAAGAAGGCTATTCCAGTATCGTATTTTAATGGAAAAATTAAAAAAATCTTTCTCATCACCTAATTTACAGACCTCGTAGAACCAACCACGTTTATCCCCCAAAAGAACCAATCTAAGTGGATGCGTCTCTTCGTTTCGCATTGTATTATTGTGTGGGGTCAGGTAAAGCGAAGCGTTGTTTGTCAGTATAATCGGTAACAATAGACACAGCCAGATCCTCTTCTGAAAACCTAATACTTTTTTTATACTCCAACTACCACGAAGGCCTAAGGCCTAAACACCCATCGGGTACCGTGGGGCTTTAGGGAGATATAGTGGAAAGGGGGAACGGCACACGGACTCTGGCGAGGGATCACGTGTCCATGCAACATGCACACATTCTGGCTCCGCCTACGAGATCCGCCGGGTGGTACCTCAGTCAGAGTACAGTCAGAGACCGTCTACCACCTACGGACAATCACAAGATCCATAGCCAAGAGAAAAATTTCTCCTGGGACGGGATTCGAACACGCACAGCGCACGGCGACTGACCAGGAGACCGAAGAGTCTACTACTGCGGCCACCGCTGCTGCCTGACTTATACACTGTAGCTCACTGATACCAGTGACAATAGCAGATAACACTGATTTGTTATCGCCTCAATAAGTGTGCAAATGTCTCTTCAATTCGTAGGAGTCACTTCGCATCGCTTCGGCTCCGGGTACGTGCAGCTTAACAGTGCCAGAAAACGATTTAAATTAGTATACAAACTCAAACAACTTTCCGGAGAATTAGAAAAAACCGAATATCAGACAGATTAACTGAATTTTTGAATCGGTCTTTGTGTATGTGTAATTTAATTATTATTTTTTTAAGGACTAAGACTCACCAGTTCTTTAGTATACTGTTCACACTGAGAAATAGCATCTATAACATGATCTTTTTCGCTACCTAAAGACATCACTTTATCGTACAGAGTAATAAATAGAGAAAAACCAAACGTATCCTTTAAATTCAAGGATGCTGCTAGCTCCTTCAACATTTCTTGTGATGTCGTAGCTGAGTCCACTAAAACGATTTGTTCGCCTCCATCTGGAATAGATACCTGTAAATGAATGTATAATTTAGACATTGCAGGTTTTATTATATCCAATGTAGGTTAAGCTTTTGGTTAATAGGTCTTCCTGGTGCCAAAAAATCTATAAAAGTTCTAGACTAGAAGCTACATCCAAAGATGCTCCCCTACCGAGATACAGGGTGATGGAGTTTTATTTACGAAATTGAAAAAATACTTATATATCTACGAAGCGGGTGAAGATACTGATTTAAGATTTCAGAAGTTCAGTGAGCACATCATACGCAATGAACACACATAGTTTCTTGGTCCAAAATATACAAGGTGTAAACGTTATGATAGTCATTATTTAAATGGGTGATAGAGAGGGTTAAAAGAAGCAAAAAGTTTCATTTAACATGGGGGCAAAACGGCATTTTTTTAAAGAAAAGCGACTTTAAAGTAAAATAAAATCTGACAACGCCGCAATGCCAGACGCAAATTACGACGAAATGAGGTGTAAATAAAGATGGAGTTTTTTGTTCCTAGGTATTATTTCATTATTTGATAATGTACTCGTAAAATGAAAACAATTAAAAAAACGGACCACTAATTGTCTCAGCGCTTCACCTGGTGTATGAAAGCTTATTGAGCATATTAAAAAAATCCACTTATAAATAGGGAACACAATTTTGATACATACATTGTTTTTCTTTTTAAAACCTGAAACTGCACTTTTTATGTATTTAGAGAAGGTGTTCAAAATATTGTCCTAAACTTTCCACACAAGCTTCATTACGACGAACGCAGTTTCTTCTTAATCTAGTTCCTCGAAATTGTCCATTTATTATTTCAGCCGTATTCAAATTTTTTTTCGCGAAGTTGTGCTTCAGTTGTTATTGGGCCAGCCCCATAAATCATCCCTTTAAGTTGTCCCTAATACCAGAAGTCCATCGGATTGAGGTCAGGAGATCTTGCTGGCCATTTTCGAGGATCAGGATAATGTTCATTCAAATACTGAATGACGCCTCTAAAAACGTGTGGTGGTGCCCCGTCATGAAGAAACCACAAATTCTGTCTCCGTTGTCTGTTCCAAAAGTTCTGGTAGGTTATTGACTAGAAAGCTAAGGTATCCTTCTCCTGACAACTTTGAGGGTAACGCCCAAATATTTATTTTAAAACTTTGTTGGAAATGACCTTCACGAATGGTATGAGGATTTTCTGGAACCCACGTGTGAGTATTATGGAAATTTAATATCCCATCTTGCGTAAACGTACATTCGTCCGTCGCTAGAATGTTTTTAAAAAAATCCGGATTTTCAATGTTTTTGTGCAAAAGCCACCGACAGAATGTTAGTCTGCGAGGATAGTCTTATATCTGCATTGATTTCCACGATATTTAAAATTTGCTCCTCCTGCTCTACAGTTACCTGTCTTTAACGAGTGCGAATATTAGTGGGCTGAACACTTCCTGTATCTCGAAGCCTTTGGCACAAATGTCCTGCTGTGTGGGTGTACCCGTTGGCGAAATCTGTCGCGATAAATTGGAGCTGCAAGATTTGAATTCTGACGAGCTTCACCGTAAACTAACAACATATCGGCGAACTCTTGATTCGAGAACATTGTAAATAAACACGACGACGTACGCGAACAAAAACAAAACAACACGGCCGATGCTCTGCTCGACAAAACGATAAAGTAATTTATCTATGCAAAACGATAACTAACCACTGTTACCGTTTGCGATCGATTGACGGTTCGATAAGAGTAATGAAAGACCGACGCGCTGTTGTCATGTGTGTTATAAATATTTAATTTAATGAAACTTACTTACTGACTACAAAATTTGGCTTAACTTAAACTTAATGCCATTTATTTGTTAATTACCCAATTTAAAACCGTTTTAGATTAGATTATAAAAATTAGTAAGATTGTGGTGATTGTGTTCGATATAAAGCGCTCAAAGTTGTAAATTATAAAGCCATTTGACAAAAATCTATCGACTTTTGAACCATGGGTCATATGAACTTTTTGACTTGTTTTGACCCCCCTATTACCCATTTCAATAATGACTACCATAACGTTTACACCCTGTATAAGGGGCGGAGAAACTGAGGAACCTGGACTCGTAGTAGGAAATATTTTCTACGCGACTGGCCTTTCCGTTCATTTCATAAAATAACATTCAATTTTTCATAACTCTTGTTTTTAGACTTAGCCTCCCCTATCCTAAAAGCACCGTGAAGCTTGATATTGGAAATACGTATGAAGAAAGCTATGGCACCTCATTATACCACAAATTGAATAATATACCTATCTTATCCTCAATCAGTAGCGTAGAAGCTTGTCATTCATCAAACCTTTCCTGTGCATGCCACTGGTTTTGCCGCCATATTCATTTTTGTTTATAGATAAAACACTTCAAAACAATGAAAACGTCTATTTCAAAAATAAATAAATAAAGCTAATAAGAATTACGCAATACATCAAAAAATAATGCTGAACAAATGCTATAACATCCAAAGTAAAGGAGGTGTTGAAAGTGACTAAGTCTGGATTCAACACAAGAACTACTCTACGCCACAAAGGCTCTCTGACCCTTTGCAAAATACTTGGCGTAGTACATTCTTGAAAGCCTTCTGTATACTTCATCCTCATACTTTATGTCCGAGGTTGCTAACGATTTGTGATATCTTCTTTGTGAGCTCACTTAGTCCGAAATGCTAAAGAATTTTGAAACAAAAAGGCCGATAAATTCAGAAGTAAAATAATAAGAATTTTACTCATATTGATTGGTTCAACAATTACTAGTTTTGATTTTAGACAAACATGGGTAATGCCAGAAGAAGTATATCATGAACACCAATGGCGTGCATAGAAGAGGTTTGATGAATGGTGTGCTTCTACGCCACTGATTGAGGATAAGACACGGATATTACTCAATTAGACTTGTAATGAGGTGCCGTAGCTTTTTCCACATGTCATATAGTGTCATAAGAATATTTTAGGATTGTACCATAAATATTCAAACCTAAATATCTCCCAAACGAGTGATCTGACAAAAATTCCTTAAGAGACAAAATCTATGGAAAATTGAATAGTGTCTTATAAAATGTACCTTTTTTTCTCCGAAACGGCAAATGCCGTCAAAATATTTCCTATTAGAGGTCTAGGTACACCGGTTACGACGTCCCTGGCTTAGTTTGGGCCGGGAAACTCGTTTTGTTTATTGCTGAACGTTTGAAATCCTAACTCAGTATCTTTACCCGCTCCATAGATATATTTTTTCGTAGGTTTTGTAAATTAAACGTCATCACCCTGTATCCTGGTAGGGGAGCATCTTTGCACCCATATTTATAGGAATCTGTTTTTTGTTATTTTAATGTACTTTCTACCATAGACATTTTAGCATGACTTTCTGAAACATCCTTTATAAAGTATGATTATTCTAACGTATGGCTGTATTGGCTGATTATTTGATTGAGTTCATACACCTTGCTCTTTCTGCAGAAGAATCGACATTTTCTTGTAAAGTTTTCTTCTAATTTTGATCTTTACTACGAATCTTCTAACCCAGGTAACTTCGTATTTGTTTGAATCAACATACATTTTATTATACTCTCGACTTTGTAGCCACTTCCTTTATAGCGGACATATCTCAGATTTACGACCATATTGCCCTAAAGAACATGTTCTGTACTATTTTATTGAATCTTTGATTGTACGAAGACTTTACTTGTACTGGTCTCAAATATAAAAGAAACAAATGAGTCACCTGCAAAGAAATGCTCTCCTTATTCTTAGAAGCTATAAGTTCCAGCCAACTAGACGGTTGACTTCTAGCACCGTTCTGAAGTGTTCTGTTCAGTTTCCCTTCACAGTAAGGTGCATAGCCAGGAGGTCCTGTTTTTATGAAAGCCTTTAAGTAGTTGATCATTTTTTCGGACGGTGGGAAACAGCCGACGCATAGGGTTAAAAGGACCCATCTGATGAAAAAGAAGCTATTACCTTCAATAATCCCTCAGTTGTAAAATGCTTATAAGAATCATTTTTGATCAGAGTGACGTAGAGTAAATAAGTGTTTTCAAAAAAACTCTACTGCAACGGAATGACATTATTTTGCTTCCAGAAGGTATATTTAGTGCGTCTTTTCTATGAACATGAAGTACCAGAACTTGCTCTCCGATAGGTAGTAAAAGTTTTTCCATGAGCTGTCCCTAGTATGTGTACAATTTCTACCATGGAGGTTAGGTTTCCGTCAGATGTGAAGAAAATAATCTTTGCTCTCTGATATTCACATTTAAATAAATTTAAATAAATATACAGGATTTAAATTATATACGAATTTCAAATACGTTTTCCAATCTATAAGCAATCTAATCATCTATTAAAAATTCAAGTTTATCTAGGCAAAAAGTAACCCAATTCTGCCTTGCGTCGTAAAGAAACTGAGCCTATGAAATAAACAATTTTCTTATCTCTAAAAATTCATAAGGCATTTCCATAGAAGATTTTTACATTGATAATTGTTGAGCATGAAATAATATCCTTCTAACTGTTTAATGCCATACGTGAAAATTATCCTGTGATTTTTAATATTGTTAGTACTCCGTGATTGTTGACCAAATGAAACCACGTGTCGGCTACCACGTTGGACTTTTTCAAAATACAAATACATACACATACAGAGACATTGTGAATGTTTTTTAAGGTCTATTATTTGCATTATTTATCGTACCCTCTAGCATAAGATGCTTTAATATGGTTCCCAGTTAACTGCTTGCAGATAATGGCATAAATCTCGTCTCTGAGCTCTGTCCTTAATATACCATGACCAGTGATAAAGTGCAGTTTCTCCAGATTTCCTGTTCTTTTATTGGTCCATTCCTTGTACGTGTCAGCTGCGTGAGTATCTTCGACTAGGCCCCGACGGACATCATCCAGCAGTTTGGTTTTGCGTTTTAAAGTCATGCTTATAAGACGTTGCTTATCGGATTTTTTCATGGTTAGCTTCTTCTTTTCATCTCTTAGAATCTCCTAGAATGTATAAGGTGATATAATATGCAGAATTTTATGATAGGCCTTACGTATTTGATGCCATTGGGCGAAATAGCATTATAATATCGATTCTTAGATCCTTATCGACATTAGCTTTGATTGCAATACCAACAAACAGGAAGTACAAAAGTGGTATTACAAAAATTAATGCCCTGAACAAATAGCCTAGCTTTTTCCCAGCAGCTGCCGCTACTGACGAGATGTGTTCGTGCCAGATCAAGTACTCGGTGATCTGGACTTCCGAAGTGCGAGTGTTTTGACTACTTTGTTGCTCTAGTGTAGCAAAGCTGTTATATGCGTTTGATCTTTGGGAATCGTTATTTTTAGTTACAACGCTGCGAGCAATAACACGTAGATACTTTTTCGGTTAGTTGTAAAAAAGCAGTGTGTTTCTACTTTCTTCCTCGTTCTCAAGGTGGAAAACACATAAAAAACGTAGTCAAACAGTTGTTCTGGAAAATTTTTATTGCCCGTAATGAATTTTTTAATTACTCCAAGTAACTAAATTATTCGATTTAATTTAACTGAATTTTCTTGAACTAGTTGAATTGAAAGTAATATATTATTAAACTATATTATCAAACTAATATGCTTGCAAATAGCAAACCATGTACCTGTTTTATTAGCTACTCAATTAATCTAGATAATTTTGTTTATGTAGGAAATGTACACTTAATACAATTAAATATTTTAATAAAAACAGTTAAACTGCTTACTTGAAATGAAGACTCGGCAGGACTCGGCTCTTCATTCGTGAATAATCGGGTGTATGCGACAGGCGCAGTGCCGGAAACTCTCTTCGACCTCCTCAGTTTTATTTGTGATTTTCGCAATGAGATTCATATCGAGCGTTGCCGTTTTTTTTTTTGAAGTAATAGCTGTCACGTGGACCAATTACGGTGACCAAGTGAAATACTTGAGCATAAGCAGGCTAGTGACCAATATCCATGGTTAGAATATTTCTCACTCCCAATGAAATACTTTGTATGCTGACGCGACGGAAGGTGAAGAACTTTTTATTTATGCAGCCATATTTAGGTCAACGAAGGGCATTTTATACAAAATATGTGCTAAACATAGGCTTGATATGCTCTTATTTGATATTGTATAATGTGCATATACAGGGTCGCCCATCCATGCGTGGACGGAATATTACTCATAAGCAAATACATTTTGGGTAAATCTATTTATGGCATGCTATACATGACACTTGAGGGCACATTTCTAAAATATTGGCAATTATACAAGGTGTCCCAATTTTGACCTACATATTGAAGCTGTGATTTTTTAAATAGAATGCCTCAAATTTTATTGCATATTTGAATAAACTGATTCAAAAGAAGAAAATAGATATAACATACTATGGGGTTTTGGTAATTAGCTACTGAGATGTAAGGTGTTTTGTCCAGAAAAACCGTCCACTTCGGCAACCCGTCAAAAATTTCAAATGCATCACCCTGTATATTTGTACAAGTTTGGATTCAATTTTTCATGAGCTTTTTTTTTGGTATAAGATTTGATTCAGATAAAATCACTAGATTTTGAGTTATTAAGCTTTTAATAGAACAACACACCAAAATTAGGGAAAAAATCACATCATCCATGGAAACAAAAAACAAACAGCGGGCTAGTTCGATATTGCCACTAAGAGTACAGATTTGACAGAAGTTCTGCATATATCAGTTTCTGCTCCAATTTGCCGTGCACTTAAATGGGGATTTTCCTGCAACTTTAATAGAACCTCCAACTGATTCGCCTCATTGGTGACACTTGGATTATTTATTTCTTACTATATTCTACTGCTCCGCTTGAGTCAAAACGTCCTCGTAGTGTGCAAAATGTTTCCGGCCTTGGATGTCGCATATTAGGGTACCGTTGCTTATAAATGCGAGATGCTAGGAAACGATTTCTTTGGGCTTCGTCCAAAACGAACACCATATTCACCATTTCTTCTTTAGAAAAATTCATTTTCAAACAGGTTTTTATTTTAATGCTCACAAAGCTAATTTTGACAGTTTGTAACTAATCAACAATTTGTTTGTGTGTAATTCTTAAAAATATCTTAGTTTGTTAGAGTGCAGTGAGTGCAATATTGTTTTATTATTAGAAATAAATGTACAATTTTTTTACACAGAATCAACTGACCTTATTCAGTTTTAGGATTCCCTTTCCATACATTCTGAATTTTGAACAAAAAGTTGTTTCTAGTGAATAATCACCTGTTCCTGGACAAATAGACATAATGTTTCCAAAACTTAATCCCATATATAATAAGTTCACAATCAATGAAAATAAAAACTATTAAATTTCGTTAGGGTTATTAAATTTGGAAGCTTTTTTTTATTTAAAAATATCACCTATCAGTATCAAGTTTTCCAAATTTTTTGATATCTATAAGATAATATACTTCATTCAGTAAAATGAAATTTGTTTTTTTAAATTCCAAATATTATTCAAATATGCTTTTAAATATAAAAGAAAACAGCTCATTTAAACCTAGGCAATCACTTTTACCTAAGCTAGTTACACAAAATATATTTAAATTATTTTACTTGCAGCAGGTAAGCTCATTCTAGTAGTCAATTAATTTTAAATAAAGTAGTGTAATCATTCTGATTATGCGATTTAATTAATTTAAGTGAGCAATTTTGTTTTGGCTTAATTAAACTAGTTTCATAGAATCAAGTAAACTGTTTTATAAATTGAAGTTTAATTAAGCTGATTAAAAAACTTGTAAGCTGTCACAAACGTAGATCATATAATATTTTTTTAATTGGCCTAATTAAAATTTAGTTGGTTTAACTATTATGTTTCTCAGTGCACATGCACACGTGTCGTGTGTTCCCTTGCTAGAGTCCGACTGACGTCCCCCTTTTCCCCTGCATTCCCCCATAGCCCCAAGGTACGTATTTGGGCGTTAACTTGCGTGGTGGCTCAAGTATGGAAAAACTACAAAGTGATTGAAAACGTTCGTGGTACATTACGCTCTAGGACAAAATCATCTTCATACCTGATATTCCTTCCTGTTCGTGAAACTCCTTCCAATCGTCTGCGAAATCTTACTCATCACAGGAGTTCGATCGTTGTCAGATGCAGATTCGTTACTCTCAGGATAGTCGCCCATGAAGCGCATGATGGTGATGTAAAGGGCTTGAGATGCCAAGACATCGTCTGGGGTAGGCAGCTGCAGAAGGGCATCTTTTGGGGGCTTTTTCTGATGCTGGTAGTTCAGGCTGCTTATGAAGTACGTGGCGGCGAACTTGCGAAACGAATATTCCTGCAATATGAACGATTTGGCGAGGATATTCAGATTAGAATAAACAAATACCACACATTTCACGTAAAATGTTAACGTTAATGTTATTCTATTTTTCAGATGATATTAAATTATTCAGAACTGTGAGCAATATCCACGATGCGGAGATTTTACAAAGATATCTCATAGATCTCGTAGCGTACTACATACTAATAAGATAACATCAATGTGAACAAATGCTACCAGATAAGCTTCAGCCGTAGATCAAATTCTCTCAAGTATGAATATAAACATAGTTCAAAACCGTGACCTCATGAGATCTGATTCAGTTAGCAATTTAGGTATAACCTTTAATACAAAAACTAGCTTTAGCCCATTAGAGATATTGCTTCTAGATCATATGAAATATTTTTAGAAGTACCAAACAACTCTCTATAAAAGTTTTTCGAATTATATACTGCTCTTTGGTACGGAGTGTTTTAGAGCACAACGCTCTGGTATGGATGCAAATTTAATTGGTGACATTAATTCCATTGAAACAGACAGCTATTAAAATGGTCAGCAGTCAGAATGCTTCAGAACTAATGAATATGTTGAACAAAGACTCACTACAGGGAAATGTTAGATTTATGTTTTCTGTTGAAAAAAGCTAATGGTATCATTGATTGCTCAGAGGTGCCTGCACTAATAAATCTTAATGTAATGATATAGACATTTTCAGTGGCAACATTAGGTACATCAAAAATCACATAAAAAATGTATCTAACATTTAGTTTGCTAGATTTCAAATATAAGTAGGTTGTGTATCACATGAATCTTTAGTTCTTCTTTAATTTAATAATCTATATAGAGCTATTGTAATCTGCCACATAAATGAAATGTTTTTTTTTTGGTATGTAATAGGGAACTGTAAATTAATAAACATATTTATTGAAAATGAAACAGCTCAGATACGGATTTCATATTTTGAGCATAACTTATAAGATCTGTTACGTTTTTATAACACGCTGAAGCACAGCAAGTTCGATTTCCCTTACTTCGCCTACCATGCAGCTCCAAAGGCATTCTTCGAATTTTGTGGAGCATTAAGGTATAAATTAACTGGATATCATTAATTTGCCGATATGCATCACCAATAACACCCATCATTGTATTTCCTGCATTTTCCCAAAACAAAATAGAATTCTATGTTTTTTCCGGTCGAACGAATCCAGATATATAACTACTCATTACTCACGTTTCGGCCACTACGAAGGCACTTGTCAAAAAACAGATCAAAAATATAATATAAATATGATTCATGCCTATTCGTACTCCAAATGACAGTTCATTTGTTTTTTTTCTGCTACTATACAGTGTGTTTCAACAACAGCCTGTACCTGTACAGTACCGACTTAGGCGTGTAGCAAATTATATCAAGAGAATTTGATATAAATTCTGAGGAGTGAGAAATGGCGGCAAATGCCTCACTGCTCTCTCTCTCTCAGGAGAGATACTTTCATATAGCGTTGATACGTGGGGCTCCCAAATACGCAGGGCCCGTATTATTTGCTACACTTCTACCCTTGTTAATCCGCCATTGGTCCTGTACAAAGCTGACATCGCGTGAGCCCATTATAATTTCCGGTCTCCAAAAAAGCCTAGCCTAGCGACAATTCTGTCGTAGATGCAAAATTAACGTCATTTTTCACATGTTAGGAAAATTGAGTCACATGACAACGGTATAGTACAAAAGCAGTAAAGTTCAGGTACCTTACAAAGTAAGGTGTTCAAAAGATCGACCGAGACGTATACGTCATTTTAATAAATTACTTTTTATTGATAAGTGTACTTCATTTTTCCTAATTTCATGAAACAACTTAGCTGAGATTGTACCTGCAAGTCCAATAGATCGATGTCTTTATTATCACCAATTGGAACACCAGGAATATCAATGACAGGTGAAGAAATGGTTTCCTGGAATTAAATTTTTAGTTTATAATCAGGATATGTAGTCTAATACACGTCGGCTACTTAAACCGGAAGCAATTCACCAATAAAATTCTGATTTCCACTAATTTATCAATAATGATAGTTGATAAGATTGGCATGATCCCAAATTGTGATAGGATTACAATTTCTCAGTAAACCCGATTCAATCGATCATGATTTCAAGTGCATGCGTCCTCAAAATAGGTTTTTCTAGTGTTTTTACTGCTTTAATTCACTGATATTCTATACTTCCTGGCGATGAAGTAAAAATCTCCTTTGAAAATGCAAAGTGATTCCTTTGTATCGAATTCCCATCAAGTGGTATGTAGGAGTTGTACAGTCTCCGTTCTTCTAACTTTGTTAGTTCCAGGGTTGAATAACAAAGAAAACAACGACAGTGCTGAAATAGTAACATATATTTGTCCATTCCACTTTGATACTTCCAATGTTAGCCAACAGACTGGTCTGACACCTGAGTTAATAAAAGGAATTTATTTTTATTTTAACTGGCCGGTATTAGCTATAAAACCGCTCTCACCACCAGCCAGAAGAGTCAAATAGGCATTCAAAACTCAAATGCTATAAAGGATTATCTTCGGCACAGAAGAACAAGTTAGATACGAACATGTATAACAAGAAAATTAAATAGATCATTAGTCAATCGGGCCTACACAATAAGTCCATATCACCCACCCATTTGACAAGTTCCGGTCTTGAAATTTCTTCCCTATCCTTGCGACAGTACCGACCATCTGGCAATGATGCTATGACTAACCTGGCCACTCGCCATTCCCCAGCTACCGATCTTCATTGGTCAAAACACGATTCAAACATCGATTAGACCTCCAAGTAGGCGTATCAACGTGAAATGCGTCACGTGTATCTTGTATATTTCTTTCAGGCCATGTTTCAAAGGCAAATGTACAGGGAAATCTTTGATGTGTGAAATATGCCGCACAGATGCGTATAAATATACAAGCAAAAATCAAAATATGCCCTCCCCCACTCATCACAGCTCCCAGACCCAATTTAAAACTCCTACAAATATTGTTCTGATAATTGTCAGGAGCCTCTGGAACGTGAAACACAAATTTGGAGTGATTTTTATTTTTGACACTATTTATTTGTACCTTCACCGCTACTGGATCAGTTTTCAAAAAGATTTTTCGTACTTTGCATAGTCGTAACGTTGAAATCCTACCGACATTTTCCAGTATGACGGGGCCAAAGATTCTAATTTTTTGATGATTAACATACTTCCTCGCCAGTCGGCGTGGGAAGTAAAATGAGTAAAAAATCCAATTTTTCAAAAAAAATATATTACCATTTCATATATCTGGGAAACTAATATCAGGTATCTAATCTTACCGTATCACCAATCAGCAAGGAAGTATCATCAAGAAAGTCGAATTCTTGATCAACCATTTTTCTTGCTCGTTCATTTTCTTCCTCCAGTTTCTTCAACCTTATCGCATATTCTTTGTTTACCTCGGCCAGTCTCTCCTGCATCAGTCTAGTAGCCTCAAATTTATAATTTTTAATTCCATGAGTCTTTAATTCGATTTCATCTAGTTTCCTTTGTCGTATGATAGATGAAATTCGGCCCAGTTGGCCGTGTTTACGTTCCAGATAGCCTTTAGATACGGCTTGGAGCTTGATGATTTTATTTCGAGTTTTGTTGAATTCATAACGCAGTTTGCCGGATAGAATTGAGGCTTGAAGACGCTGGAAGCCATTTCTCATAACCAGGTACCTAAATTAAAAGAATCAATATTTTATTTCATACAAATGCTCCAAACAATGTATCGTCGTTGTTTTGACGAAAACTCCTATGTGTTTAGAAGCAGTAAAAACAAGATGATATAAAAACTCCTTTAAATTTCACGAATTGGTTTTGTTTTCATTCGCACAGATTAGTCTAATCACGTTAGACGAAAATACCCCTGGTTTGCGAGATAATTGTAAAGTCTGTTTTTAATGATGCAAGTTGTTCAAGGGTGTATTTAAAACATGGACGCATAAAATGGGTACACCAATTTTTGTGAGAAAACAAAGAATAAGAAAACGTGTTTTTGGAATTCAATCAACAGTCAGGAACGAAAAAATTCTTCAAATGAGATTTTTAGGTAATTGTGAGACCTACAGAATGAGACGTAAAAAGATCCCAATAATAGTGAAAATGTTATGGCCGAAAACCGAGGCAAAATGCAGATTTTGGCACTTGTTGCTAATGCGACGATAATTTCACGCAGCTACTTGAAATTCTTTAAATCCGAAGGCTTCTTACTTCTAAATAATGTCAACAAAATTGGAGTCGCTTGGTCAAGTAGTTTTTGAGAATTTCTAATTGTTTATCCCAAAACAGCTGACCTGTGCACTACTAGTTTATTGAGCAATATACACGGTTTGTTCCTAGGGCATTTCATAGCAAAGTACACGAGTTTACCTTGCCGATATGAAACACAAGCCATTCCGAAAGATAATTGTTATTTTTATGCGAAAAACTATTAGTCGGATCTTTTTACGTGTGGTCTCATAAGTACCTAAAAATCTTATCTGGAGAGTTTTCTCGTCCCTGCCAACACTTCCGATTGAATCCCAAAAAACACATTTTCTCAATATTTGTTGTCGGATAAAAAGTTTTCCCACAAAAATTGGTATACCCATTTTATGCGTCCATGTTTTAAATACCCCCTTGAACAACTTGCAGCAATAAAACCAGACTTCACAATTATTTCGAGGAAATTTGCTAGTTACTAGATTTTCTTATTATGAAACTCTTGTGTAATACATCAGATCACGGAGCTCATATTTGACTATACAGATATTCAGAAAGCTCCGATGAGGAAGAATTGTTACATAGGAGGTTTCGTCAAAACAAAGACGGTATGTACGTCCAAAAAACTCGAACCAGAATCACGTATAGTGGTCAAACGCTAAATAGCAGAAGGTAAGAGATACCTTAATCATTTGACATCAGTATTTACTTGGCTGTGAGATAAGATAGTTTGTTGATTCAGTGTTGCGAACTGTCACAGCTATTCCATTCCTACTGATATTCGGCATCAAAGCGCAGCACAGCATTCCACTTTTCGTTGGCTGAACGCGCTTGATAGCACATAAACATACGATGTCTCTAAATTAAGTGATGAGACTGGCAATGACGCGGTCGATCAGCTATCAGGTTTTGCATTAGACTTGGGCACAGTGATACCGAAACTCGTATTAAGTTTCAGTAGGCGTACGGAGATAGTGTTTTGTCAAGAGCTTAGGATTTTCGGTGGCTTAAGGCATTTTCAGGAAGGAGACTATCGATTGAAGATGAACCACGAAGCGAAAGGCTTTCATCTTCAAGAACCGTTGAAACTACCTTCAGAATTCGGGATCTTGTGCGTTCAGATCGCCGGTTGATAGTCAGAATGGTCGGGGAAGAGTTAAATTTGACTCACACCACCGTTCATCAGATCAAGAACAACTATGTTTGTCACACAGCAATGTCATAAACGAGTTCTTGACCAGTAAAAAGATTCCTGAGGCTCCTCAGCCTCCTTATTCGCCTGACTTGAGTCCTTGTAATTTTTTGTCTTCCCTAAATTGAAAATCTCAAGGGAACTCATTTTGGGGGGACAGTCAGCAACATTAAAATGGCTGTAACCGACCAGTTGAAGGCTATTCCAGTATCAGAATCTCACCACTGCTATGAGGAGTGGAAGAACCGTCTCCAGCGCTGTGTGGCTTCAGAAGGAAGTTATTTTGAGAGTGAAAATTTCCTCAAGATATTACTTTTCTACTAAAAAGGTTAAAAACGATGAGCTCGATCATCAGTTGCCCTATGGCCGAAACATGCATATCCACAACAAAGTTTTGTGAATAGCGGTATAATATACGCTAGTTTCCTGTAATTTGAAATACTAGAACGCATAAAAAAACAGGGTATTTAAGTACTATTCAAACTGATTAACAACGAGTAGAAATCAATAACTAAATTCACTTGCCTACTTCTGTATCCCCTAGCTCGGTAATGCTTCTGTATTATAATGGCTGCTTTTCTTAGTTTCAGATAGCGCCTTCTGCATATCCACCCTTTAATTGCTTTTTGTAGTACCAAAATAGAACTGATTTACAAACCAAAAAATAATAAATTAAATAGAAGGGTTTTAGTCTGAACCAATGTACCATGAAATATCCATCATATTTTACTGGATGCAAGTTGGGCTGTCGAGTATATGACAAATACGTCTAAGCCCTTAAAGCTTGTCTGTGGTACGTCTTTAAAAATCAAATTTCTAAATCTTCCATCCCAGTAGCATTTCGTCTGTTTTGAGTTCAAAATAAAAATGTGTTGTATACATGGGACAACAACAAAGAAGTTGTATTACAAGAACTTTAGGCTAACGTTACGTACTTGTCACTTTACTCGAAGACTCGAATCTGTACAGGGTGTCCCAACCAAAATGGAAAGTAGTTTTATTAACAAACTAGACAAGATATCAAAAATCAGTTTTATATATACATGGCGTTTCATACCTTCGTGCCAAAGCAAACATGTTTTTTTTATTATATTTTATATTTTATTGCATATTTGCATAGAGCTTCTAAAAACAAGCAGTTTGATATCATATAACATATGGTTTCGATTGCCAGTTGTTTAGATATTTGATGAAAGGTCTGAAAAAGTACACAACTTTGACGACTCGCAGCTCCGCCATTTAAATGAATTTTAGTTCACAAAAAATTACTATCAATTTTAACATGATCTGGAAGAAATATCTTTATATTTATTCAGGGTACCTCAAAACGCAAAATGTACCTTTCCTCATAAATATGAAATGGAACCTATAGACCTTTTTTTGGTATAAGTTTATACCACTTTTTTCTAACAGTTTTAGAGTTCTATTAATTCCAACAAAAAAATTATTCCACATTTAAACTTGAAATTAGATCTTCGATGAAAACAAAATAAACAATGAATTTTTTTCGCGCAACAACCAAAGACAATCATTCATTGTGAAATTGTTGTAATATATTCCAACTAGTTCTGTTGATTCCCAGATGTTTGATCTCAGGTCCAGTATTTTTTCACAGCCACGTTGTTTGAGCAACATAGGTAACACGATTCCCTATTGTGTTTAATTCGAAGGGCCAATATATCACTGATGCTTAATAAAACCTAGCGGATCTCGGAACCGCATCGAGACCGCTGGCGTCCTAATAGTTGGATAGGGATAGGCGGAGCGAAGAATTGGCCAGCGAGACCTCTCGATCTGACGCATGTCGACTTCTTTCTCTGGGGCGTTGTAAAATGAGATATTTACTAGGAGAAACCTACAACACATGAGGACATGAAACTTCGTATAAGCGGGCTGTTTGAGCGGATACCTAGACAAACTCTTTTAGATGTGCAAGATAATATCAACAGGCGTCTGGCCTTGTGTGTTTTGCACCAAGGTAATATATACGAACAATCTATTAACGATTGGTTGCCTTAGACTGACATTATTTTTGTTGTGTTAATAAAAGCTATTGTCTTGATAGAAGATCATATTTAAATAGTAGATGTATTTAGTTTTTCTTGAAATTAAACTCAAAAACATTTGGCTGTATAAACTTTATATTAAAAGGAAGATTACCAAAAAACTATTCAAGTATGTAGAAATGATATGGTATTCCATTTGTAATTTTTGAGTAAAGGTACATTTTGAGATACCCTGTACTGTACTTTTTCCAGATCAGCTCAAAATCGATGATAAGACCTTTTTGTGAGCTAAGATTTATATTAAAATCTTCAAAAATGGCGGAGCTGCGAACTGTCAAAGCCGGTCATTTGTTCATGTGTTATATGATATCAAAGTACGAGGGTCACGCTATATATTTTGAGATACACGAAAACTAAAAACTATTTTTCGAAAACTAATTTATTTATGTTTAAAGGATTCTCTTCCAGCATCAAAGCACTTCTGTAACCTGACCTTCCACAAATGAAATGCTTCTAACCCGTCAGTTTTTGGAATGCATTCAACAAACTGATTAATTGCTTGCTCGATTTCTTCTTCGGACAAAAATTTTCGACCACGCAGATTTTTTTTCAAATTCTTGAAGAGCCATAAGCCACACATTGCCAAATCTGCGGAATAAGGCGGAACTTCCAGCATTTTGATGTTTCGTTGGCGTAAAAAGTCTACAGTTAGTTGGGCAGTGTGGCTAGATGCATGGTCATGATGCAGGATTGTACCTATGCAACAACTTTTTTTGAATGAAGATATGCAAAATGGTGTGCACTGTTGCGGATCCTACCACAACAGTTGCCTCTATAGTCGCATATGTGCAGCGAGAATCTTCTTCAATTAGCCGCTGAACTTTAGCAATGTTTTCAGGGGTCACACTAGAACATGGCCTACCACTACGTTCTTCATCAGCCAATGAAACACGCCTTCTTTTAAATTCGGCATACCAGCGAAGCACGCTTGCCCGGGACAGAGCTTCATTACCAAATGCCTGTCGTAACCGTTCGATTCATTGATGGTCAGTTAATCCGACTTTAAAGTCATAGTAAATCATAGCGCGATAACTCTCTCGAGACAACTCTATGTTTCGTCTTAAATTTGTTTACACCACGTGCACTGTAAGACGCTTGCAAATGAGCTGAATACCGCGACTTACTAATAAAGGACTGCTCTTTCTAATAGTGCACTCTTGTCGGTTTTAACTAGTATAGTTAATGCGCATCTCAAAATATACAGCGTGCCCCTCATACTTGTTTTAGTATCTCTATTCAAATATGCAGTAAAATAGAGTGTGTTATATTTTAGAAAATATATGTTTCCTATTGCACGAACTTATGGAACACCGTGTATATATTGAAATAATTTTAAAATATACAAAACTACTTTCCATTTTAGTTGGGACACCCTGTATGAATAGGTTTGAAAAATATGCGTACGTTAATATATAAGCTGGATATTTCAACGTGTATGGATACCCAGAATATTAAAATGAATTCATAAAGGTCCAATTTATATCGGCAATACCTATCCAATATACTTCTCCGAAGCTCCTCCAACTTCTCGTTATCCTGATGTTTCAAGAACACCTTGGTATTGCCAAATTGATAATCGGACCTTTTCTCCAAGACCGCTTTACAAATGTTCTCCGCAGAACTTCGACAGCCTCCTTTGGTGGATGGAGGGATGCCCTTAGCCAGATACCTAAACCTATCCACGAACTCGATGTAGGAGTATCGAATTGGATACCCAGCTTGACGTATCTTGGCTGTTTCCATCATGCCTGAATACCGCAACTGGCGAGTGCAGAGAGCTCGGTCAAATATCTGAAATACACCTTTTCAGTGACAGAGGAATCGAGTGTATACATTTAGACATGACCAAAAGGACGTAGTGCTTAAATTTTGAAGGGGAACCATTTTATGTGCTTGGTTCCGAAAAGCGTTTGTGGAGGAAAGATGTCACTTTTTTCCCATCACTTCCCAACACTTATTCCATGAGCTAAAGGTCTCGAGATCTTGTATGGCAAGGAGGCAGGCTAAGTTAAGCGTTATTATTATAGACTATTGTAGCTCTAGCAATATTAAGACCGGCATTCTTTTGTTAGAGCAAGCATTTGGAGGGAATGTCAAAAATAGGATTCCACTATCTCTTGCACAAGTCGTTGCGCCATCTTACCTTCTCGAAATGAAACTAGAAATAACTTGACATATTTAATGTCGCCCTAAACTATAAATGCTACAGTATGGTGCTCCTGACGTTCATCTTAAAACTTTACAATTTATGACTTGGGAGAAGCACATTGAAGCGTTAAAAACCAAATTCCAAATTACCTGTCGGCAGCTCTACCCTAGTAGTACAAAGTACTCTAACAGTTTACGGACGTAATCCAGTATGGTGTATCCTTGCCAAAACGCATATTCGCAGACTGCAGGTTCAGCAGAACAGAAGCTTGCGTACTGTCACTAACGCTTCATGGTCACAGAGACCTCAGTATTCCTCACTTAAGGGACTACATCAAACAACAGGCGCAGTTACGTTAAGACAATACAACTACACTGTTGCATGAATCGGTAGATTACACAGTCGAGCAAGTTCACAAGCACACAAAACCACGGCTCGCATTGTGAACAAAATTGAATCGTGCAATTCCAAGTCCAACCAAAATGACAATTTTTTCACACGTACAAATACATAAATAAATTGTTAGATCAATTTAAAATTACTGAATACTAGTTAACAACCTCAATGCATCCCTCCAACAGACGCACTTCTTCTTCTTTGCTCTTCCCCCTTTCTTTCTTTCTTCTTCCCTTCTTTCTCCCTTTGTCTGGTATCTGGGCAACCAGGCCAGACAGACTAACTTACCTACGATACTTAAACCAAGAGCAAAGATCCCACGAACTGCTCTGACGGACAATGATGAATAGAAGAGTAGCCTTACTGCGCTAAACCTTCTGATTCGTGTTCGCGGTCATCACTGAAAACACATTCATCATCCCAATCTTCTCGGACTCAGTCTCTGTTTTAGGGATGCATGATGAACGGACACGAGTCAGCTATACCTATGGTGTCACATCTAGGAGCTTCCATTAGAGAAAGTATGACCGGGCAACGGTATATAAAGAAAATACTAGAGCCCCATGTATTACCATTTCTCCAAACGCTTAAGGAACCTATTTTCTAATGGATGGATGGTGCTCATGTTGCTAGAGTTACAATAACCTGTGAGTTGAGGGTAGTCATTGCCGATCAATAACTAGTTAGGAGACAGTTATCTTTCATTCAATTAAAGTTCGATAAAAAATTTGGAGAAAGAGAAACACCTTTCAAAGAGGTTATTCCTGGAAATGACTCATATTTTCCTGACTGACAACAGTATGAATAATAGAACTAAAACTTATTTGTTGCATTGTGAGAAATTGGCCATTGATGGTAATGACTCGTATCTGAACAGTAATTAGTCATGTTCTCTCATGTTTCTTTATTGCTTTATCTCTACACTCTATCTCACTCCATTCTTGGGATTACCCAACTTTTAATATATCAACATCCAAATCATTAAGATCAAAGCCCCTAGATCTCCACTGTTTTCCTGCGGACATTTTCAACTGTCAATTTGTGAAAAAAATTTCACCGTGACATCGTTGTTCTCCAAGACACTCACTCTCACATATTTGTATATATTTTAAGTTTTAAATATTTATATTGTGCGTGTCTCCTATGAGAATCTACCTCACCTATTGAGATCCCTTATATTACCATTGTAGCTGCAACTCGACGACTCTGTATGTTATATTTACTTAAACTTTTATAAACTGTAGCTACTTATGTTAGTATCATTTTTAGTTGGTCGGAAGCTTGAGATTAAAAGTTAAAATAGCCCTCTCACAGCTTATTTCTTACCGCTGTTCAAAGATAACTGTCTCCTTACTAGTCACAATAAGCTGTAACAGTTAAATCAAGCTCGTTCATTGGCCTGCTAGATATCCAGGCCATTCTTGAATTGAACAGATGTGGGATATGATGGAAGTGCGATCTCTTTACACCATCCTCCACCAACGTTTGCAGCCTATACTTTGGGATGACATACGTATTGTTGGCCCATAGCACAAAATAGAAAAAAATCTTTTATCACAAACCTGAGGTTTTTTAAATTCGTTCGGTTTAATACAACGAACGAAAAATGGATGGCAAGCATTCAAAGCATTCATGAGCATTTCCAGGGATGTTCTGAATTGTGAGGACAACGTTTTCTTCATTTTTGCGTTTTGCTCTGACTTGAATATGTCTTTCAATAGGTCGTTCCTAGATGACAATACCAGATTTTTCAGATCCTGGCTAAAGGAGTCGCGATTCTTCTCCAAAAACCCTACAAAAAAAATAGTGAGCTACTCAAAACTGATGTTCCAGCAAAAGTTGCAGTTTTTCTCTTTTAGGCGTTTGAGACTGCGTGGCTCCCAAACAGGTACCTTAATTTTGGTCCTCCTTTTTTTTTAGAAAAATAGCTGGGTGGCGAGGAAGCGTTGTAGTCTAGAAAAAATGTTTTTTGGATGTTATATGACATGTACATCAGGTAAAACCAGGCCACTTATTGGCACCGATTTGTCTGTTTGTCTGTCGGTCTGTCCGCTAATCCTTAGCCCGTCTATAATTTGGAAAGTGGCGCTCGTATTTGATAAATGTTTACCACAGGTCAATACTGAAAGAGCTTCGTGGTTTTTGAAAATCGGTCCAGATGCGACGGAGAATAAATAAATTAAAAATCGCACAAACTTCATTCTTTGAGGTTTCAGAAACACTTGATCATTTTTGAATTAAATGGCAACTTATGAGGTCTATAAATTAAGTAATGAGACTGGCAACGTAGTGTTCGATCTGGCAACAATGGACGTGCCGGGCATGGAGGGGAGATAGAGGAACATGTGATCCGCCTTTAATACAAGTTTGAAATCGCTCGAGGATTTGGTTGTCCGTAGAGATTTTTTGGTGAAACAGTTTTTTCTATAGTGTTCTGAAAATGAGTGAAATCAATTTCAAGCATCGATGTGCTATCAGGTTTTGCTTCAGACTTTGGTACAGTACAACAGAAACTCTTGCTAGGAGGGAGAGAGTCGATTGAAGATGAACCACGAAGCGTAAGGCCTTTATCTACAAGAACCGATTAAAATATCGAGAGAATTCTGTATCTCGTGAAATATAAAATTGTAATTATACGTAAATAAAAGAATTGAAAAAACAATCTTATCACTTAATTTACAGACCTCGTATATGCGCAAAGTCTTCTCTGCGCCTGAACGCTCACGTTGCCAGATGATCGATATTTTCGATATGGCAGGGAAGAAAATTCGAGCGTTATCAAATGGACTATATATGTATATTGCCCTGTTTGGCTGAACGGGTCCATTTAGATGTTTTTGTCATACATTAATGTTTGTTTTCCTCACATTGGTTAACTTGTGCCGAACATAATCCTTTATTAGCTGATGAGAGCGTTGAGTGGAAAATGCAGAGTCATCCTACTTGTCGCGATTTTTTTCCTAATCTATACGTACCTGGAGTGTCATAGAATACACCCCCAGCAAAGTGTTGAATGCCAAACGATGGCGTCATGTCAGACTTCGGTTTTAAGTAACTTTCATGACTACTATGCTGCTTGTGCATCTTGCTCAACATAGAAAAGTCCGTGCCATTTGGAAATTTGGATTCCTCATCAATCAATGCAAATACGTTCAAGGGTTTCACCGCCAAAAGGTTTAGCACTTGTTGGTTGTCGATGAAAGAGATATTGGACCAATTGATTCCTTCCTTGGTATAATATTCCTGCTCCATTTTGAAGATGTGTTGGACAAAAAATTGCTGGAGGCTCTCGTTAGCGTAGTTGATGCACAGCTGCTCGAAGCTGTTGAGGTTGAAGTTCTCAAATCCGAATATATCCAGTACACCTATACTTCCTCTACCTTTAAGTACAAATCAATCAATCAAAACAGTCTTGACCGCGGAAATAGAGCATAAAATTTTACGTTCAGGCATTTGATGAAAATTATTTTTACCTTGATTTGACCTCCAAGGTGATGCTCAAAGCCAGTTTTAAGGTCAAATTTCCAGGAATGTTTCTGATAATAAAGCATAAATAAAAACATAAATGCAGCAGGAGGCCTGCCTTTCGACTCTTCACTGGTAACCTTGAGACTGAGATTGATCGTAACCTTGGAGATCAAATCAAAGTCAAAACCACCTTTCATTTGATGCTCTTTACTTTTGACCGCAGAAATAGCTTGATCTCTTCCTTGCCAAGTGACCTTGAAACTGACATTGACTATAACCATGAAGATAATATCAAGGTCAATATAATATGTTGTCTGATACCATATACTTTTGACTCTCTCAAGATACCTAAGAACCTAAAGGTAACAGAAGCTTGACTTTTCCCCTGACTGCTAACTTTGAAACTTACATTGCAAGTGAAATCAAGGTCAAGCTAATATTCTGCCTGTTACCATATACTTTTGATCGCAGAAATAGAAAGGAAACCTTTACGTTCAGAGATAAACTTTTCTGATTTTTTTTTACCTTTATTTGACCTCCAAGGTCATGATTAAGGTGAAAACAAGGGCAAAATTAAAGCACATGCTGACCTTAGAGTTCTATTACTTTATCTTAAGGATAGATCTCAAAATAATTTCCTTTAATTTAAAGTAATCGTCCTGACCTTGATTTGAGCTTCAAGGTCATGCTCAACCCCAAACTAAAGGTCATCGCTGAACAGCCAGAACTCTACCATTGTACTTTTGCCATCTTTGCATATTGCCACATATCTTGCCGTTCCACTACTTCTGGATCACCTTGTATGAGTTGTAGTACCGAACAGTAAGAATAACAAATAGTCTTACCTCTCCCTTTTACTTGCGAAATCGCCGAATTGATTTTGTCAACAATGAATATGAACAGTTGTCCATATATTCCTTTAGCAAAGGCATTTCTCGAATCTGAAGCAAATTCTTTAGACAGATTTGCTACCACTTGATCTCCACTCGCATAGATTGTCCTTTTGGTCAATGCTACGGTCAGGTCAAACTTATTTACACCTGGAAAATTATCATACTTATACCTCTCATGATATGCGAATAGAAAAAGGTATAACTACATACCTATACATACATAGTTACAATGTTAAATTCACTGGGTACTAGAAGAAATATTCTGTTTTTAAGAGTCTATGGAAATACCAGGCTAGAAAGCTTTCTCCAATTGGTTATCGTAATCTAACACCTACTTACCTAGCAGTTTTGATATTTTTTCGTTTAAACCCTGATCAGCAATTTCGGAAGTCTCTGAATGACTTGAAGCACCACTTCTGAACCTTATGTTACCCACATGCAAAATTGACGAAAGGAGGCACCATATGTCTGACATTTCTTTCTCCGTGAAATTGAGAACTTTGAATGCGGCCATGATGTCTGAAAATTCCGATGCCTCGTTTCTACCATCACATGTTAAAACTTTTCCGCCCCTTAGATATTCGTAGTTGTTTGCGTCTAGTAGGTCCAACTGCTTTTTTTTCTCCTTTGGTAGTCCGGCAAGCATACTAGAAATGATAGATTTTGATGTAGTGTTAGCAGAAATGCAATATAGATTCGAGAATACAAGATGGTTAAGATAAAATACAATGTAGTTTGAATCTAACAACGTTATGCATGCTACATCAAAAGCCATATTTTTCAAATTGAAATCTTTGAGTACCGACTGCTTCTTTCCGTAATGCAACCATGGGACGAAAAAGTGCTAGTCTTGGCTCCATTCAATAAAACGAGTACCTACATCAAACTTATGAACGACCAAGTGATCTAGACGTGAAGGGAGTTAATTTTTTTCCCGAGGTTGACAAAATACTGTAAGCTGATCACAATTATTTTATCATGAACTACTTGCCCAGAAGAAAGATTATCTATGCTAGCCGGTTTTGGCGAGTTTGGTTAATGAAAACGAATGCCAATAGGGCCTCGGCCAATTTGTCTTTTATTCGATAATAAAGTCAGTTGTAGGGTGAGTTCTTAGTGTGAGATTGATCGATAACTCCGTTATTATGCATGGTATCCAAAAAAGTTACATACAAAAATTATAGCCAACAGTATGCTCCTTACTTGACAAATATCTTCCTTTCTACAGGGTGATCCACAACTACGTGGTGGCCCAAACATTCATTTTTTAGGCGAAGAGTCACTTTATTGCAGATTCGAATAGGGCCTTTCGAACGAAGTAGTTTGGTATAACATACCATACATTTCTTCATATTGTTGATATATTGAAAAATCTATCGAGAAAAATACTCAACTATGACAACTCTCACCTCCGCAACTGTTATAGTTAGAGAACTGAATTTTTCGGTAGAAAAATTATATCATCCCATATTTTCTCTCTCTACTTACTTTTTCTTTTTTTGTTAGTTTATTGTACTCGGGTGGTCAAGAATGTAAGATGAGCAATTTCCCAAAATGGTCTCATGGAACATCCTATATATCTCTTATTCCCGTTTTCACATTTTTTTTTGATATAATGCTTATGAAGGTTCACTCAACTGGTTTTTTAGTTTCTAAAATCACAGGGACTCCTGGACTTTTCGACTTTATTTAATTTACACTAAAAACACACGAATTCGGACCACTTGCCGCTACTAACAGAAAATACTATTTTTTATTTTGAAAGTTATTGCATTTTTTTCATATACCTTGATATTCGATTTACAAAAATGCTAATTGTAAGTCAAAAACCATTCGTACAGGCTCCCATAAACCTTATATTAAAGAAAGCTTGAGAAAAGAGGGATCAAAAAGTGAGAAAATACTGGGTGGTTCATTTGAAAATATTGAGAAATTGTTGGTTTTGCTTTCTTAACCACGCTGTATGGTCTATCAAGAAAACTGCAAGAGTAAGTGGATAGGGGGAAAATGTGGTATCATGAAATTCTTCTGACGAAAAATTCGGTACTGTAGCTGCAGCAGTTGGGGAGGTGCGAGTTATCAAAGTTAAGTGTATTTTTTTCGATACTTTGTCCAATATCTCAACAATTCAGAATTCCTATAGTATGTCAAATTAAATTGCTTTATTTGAGAGAACATATAGAATCTGCAATAAGATCTTTCTACTTAAATCACCGCATAGTTATGATTCAATCGATATGAAAACTGCATTCCATATAGATTTTGTTACATGTGATGCCTTTGGTTTATATATAAATAATAAAAAACAAAAATATATTGCTTCCATATACATTCAAAATAGAAAAATAAATAAAAAGATTTCCAATTTCCGTACTGTTGGATACAATTTTTGTAATTAAGTTAACAACCGAGCACACACTAAAAACTCACCGTGTTCGAGGGTAGCTAATAATCAATGCTTAATTGATGCTACAACTAGGGAACGTCGTATATAATCCGCATAAGAAAAGATTTCGTTGATAATCTAACATTGAAATCACCATTTAAGCGTGGTCGTTGAAGAATGAAGTATTCTCTACCCAAAATTGGGCATTTAATAGCCGAAATACCTTAATTGCATCCATTTTTAAATTCTAGTTTTTACCCTGGTGTGGTGAAAATCGTTTTAAAAATGAATCTCATTCAGATTCTCTGGTTTTACCGCCAAATATTAGGATTTGATTTGTACTGCGGATAGTGATAGAACATGATTGTACACTTAAAGTCAAACTGTCAACGCCAACGAATGCCAGCGGCAGGGTAACATTTTAAGAACGGAGCATAGAAAACCTTAGTAGCTACATCACAGATTTCGCACGAAATTTTAATTTTGATCTTTGGTGAGCAAGTTTTGGCACTTCTGGCTCATTGAAAAATGCGGAATGTACTTCTTAAACGTAGGCAATACCCAGTTGCTCTACCATTTTGATCATCATGACCAACAAGCAGCCGTCGAACTACAAGAGGATATTGATGCAGCTTATAGCTATTCGATTGGATACAATTTAATGATAAATAACTCAAAATCCAAAACCATGTCAGTCTGATCTAACACGTAACGTGAGCGCATCCCAAAAATTGGATCAGAGCGCATAGATTTTTTTGTTCTATAAATTGTTAATCATTTTAATATTATTTACCAGCATTGTTAAAAATGCAAATAGTGCAAAACAATTGTATCAGAATCAAGTGTGGCTTAAGAAAATACGGCCACCTTTGACTACTTTTCATTATTTGGTCTTTATGCATAAACTGCTGGCAACTGCTTAATCCAAATATCTAAGAGAAAACTACACAACAAAACACCTTTCTTTTCCAGCACTCATTTTCCTATAGTGATGCTGGTCTCTAGAATAATATTCCTGTTGGCTATAAAATATAAATCTGCCTTGTCTCCGTAAGCTTATTAACTTATACTTTCAGAGCTCTACGTTATAATGTTTCTTTTGTTTGTTCAATTTTTGATAACAATATATACAGACAAGCGTTATATTATAGGTACTTTGGCTGTGTTTTTATAGGCATTTTACTGAATAGTTGGATGTTTAATATAGTTGGTTTGAATACTAATGTGTGCAATTGCAATAGAAAAACTTTATTTATATATTTACAAACTTGATTTCGTATACATATAGTCAAGTGTAAGAGTAGCTTTAGCTGAACTTCGCCATAATGAATCACACTTATGTAGCTATGTTAATAAAGACGATATATATATATACATATATATATATTATTTTTATTATTAGAATATTGATATTGCATCTCAATATTTTTTATTGAATATACTCCATTTCGGCACGGGTATTGCGTATCTCGAAAGGTGACATCGTCGGTTTTTCATAGGTTTTTCTCCAAGATGTTAACTTATCACAAGCTGTTGTATACTTGTTATGAACTCGTTTTGTGGCTGTACCTACGTGTTGCTTAAACTAACAGCGACCATAGCGAGCAAACTTGGAATGAACTATTTGCTCACCTAGTCTACAAGATGACACTTCGTCGGTTTTTTGACGTTTCTTAGGTTTTATACCCGTGCGGTCCGACATCAAAACCTACTTGTTACCTTTTTTGGGTACCCAAAGGCTATTCTGGACCTTGCACTATGAACTCAAATTGCACAATGGTCCTAAAAAGATCTATCAAGAAATCTCATTTACCTGTAGAATATATGATAGTTCCTCTCTCCTTCATTCTGAGATACAATCCTACTCTTCTCCAATAAATACTGCTCGATTTTAGCTCCCTCAATGTTTCCATTCTTATTGAATTTTATGTCAATGTACTTTCCAAATCGCGAGGAGTTGTCATTTCTGACTGTCTTAGCATTTCCAAATGCTTCCAAAATAGGATTGGCCTCCAAGATCTGCTGCTCTACCCACGAGTGCTGACCACTAGCCGATGCCAGGTACTGGAGGATTAACTTGGTGCTCTCTGTTTTTCCGGCACCACTTTCTCCACTGCAAATTAGGTGCAAAGAACTTAAGAATACAAAAAGTAACAACATAAAAATAGTGCTATAGTCTTGTGAATGCGCCCATCAACAATAAAAGATAATATCATAAGGGCGTTGCTTGGGCAGTGCAGAGTCAACCTACTTGAAGTAATTTTTTTATGTTGTTTACTAAGAGATAAGTCGAACTTACCTTATAACTATGCATTGATCCTTGGCACTGTTCTTAAGATTGGAGTAGCTGTTATCTCCGATAGCAAAGATATGCGGTAACAGGTCTTCGGTATTTTGGTTTCTGTATTCTTTTATTAGAGCATTTGTATAGATTGGAAGGAGCTCATAGGGATTGATAGCTATTAACATAGAACCCGTATATGTCTGAAAATGCAAATTAGAACATTGGTAGAAATTTCTCCTTTCTACATAAGTGTCTTAAGTCTTCTATACAGGAAACCGTGACAAAATGTATTTGGAGTAGAAAAAAGGAGTCAAGAAATAACACGAAATGCTTAGGTGAACTTGGGTCCTAAAATGCCTCCTTACCGAAGTACAAAATGCTGAAGTTTTAATTTGGAAATCAAACAAAACATATTCCCGGAGTGTGTTGAGACATTGATCTTGTACATTAAGTACTAACACCATAGCTAATTCATGCTAAAATTTTCGTGCTTGAGACCACACCAGTAGCATAGAAACTGGGAAAGTTCCACTCCTACAGAATAAAATAGCGAAATATTTTTTTGTGTGAGATAGCACCTTTTGGAGAAAAATAGGTAAAAAACGTTTATCCGATTACTTTGAAAATGAGCCCAAATTAGTCAAATTTGACCTAGCAAATTTTATATACCAAGTTAGGAGATTAATCTTCAAAATGCGACAGCACAAAATGCCATCCATTACCAGAATCGACCACTGCGAAAGTGAAAACAGCAAGCTATCAGTTGGAACTGTATGCCAGTTCGCATTGTCAGCTGAGTCACCACTAATGCCGCTAGATGCCGTCGATTCTGGTCCTATAGTAGATACGGTCTTCTCACCATGGAACAAGCTAGTAGGTGGCCAACCATGTACAGCTGTTTCGTGCTATTTGGTAACTACTCAGCACTGTCACTGGTGAATTGGCTGACAATATAAAGTTCCAACTGACAGCTTGCTGTTTTCACATTTGCAGTAGTCGATTCTGGTAATACTGATACGTTATTTTTAAAGACCTCATACTTTGAATAGAGTAGAGTTGCTCAGCTTTCGTTAGTTGTCCACCGAGACCAAATCAACACCATCCTGAAGAGTTGCCAGATAGCACGAATCAGCTGTCTATGGTTGGCCGTCTGTGGCCAGACGAACGAAAACGATATTACTAGAAAGTAATCATATCTGTTAAGATTGTTATTTTTGGATGTACTCCCTACTTCAGAAACATTGCAACGTTTTTCTGAATCATCCTATATAGAACTCTATGAACTATTGAATTCTGTAAAATATTTCCTACGTAGTCAATCAGACTAGTTTTAGTTACAAGGAAAAATAATTTAGCTGTACGCCGCCGCCGGTTAACATTCTAGAGTATCTCCAAATCCTCGAAAACGCGTTTTCTTATTTTTCTACTTACATAAATCAACTTTTCCTTATATCTTTTATGAAGATTTCTTAGGATTGCATATTCCTGAAGATCTCCAAGGTTGATCATATCTTCAACTCCCTTGATCGAGGACACGTGCATATTTTTGAGCACCTGTTGATTGGAAATATACATTTCCTTTTGGTCGTCATCTTGAATCTTCACTCTGCTGGATTCTACTGCAACTATTTTACCACCTATCGGGATATCAAACTCGTCTCCGGATAGTTGTTTCGCCCATATGTAGTCTCCCTGCATAATAAAATGAAAGCACTGCCTGTATCATGGTGGTTTAAAAATGACACTTCTGTGGTTCTGATCATTGAGCTTAAATAAACAATAAATAAAATGAATAGACTCCTTTCTAGAATTGATTGAATGAGCAATTTTATAAACGAACGTAAGTAGCTACTTTGATTAGACAATTTATCCATTGTGTTTCTAGTCCATTGCTTTCCATACTGAGCGATAACGCCCCTTTGTGTGCGCTAGGGACCTGCGGGGGGCGGTAAAGTGTCAGAAGGAAATTGGGGGCCATTGGATTAATTTGGGGGGCTAGCGACGCAATGGAATACTTTTGTCCCCGCTCTTCAATTGTCATATTATTTTGTAGAAAGTACTGATGCAAACAACCCTACCAATTTTTAATTGTTGATACTACACCCGTTCTTCAAAATTGTCATAAGGGCATTCGTTCTCAAGAGCACTGTGCAACAGATGACGGCTCTTCAATTTTCTATCGCTAATACCCCCGAGACGGGAATCATATTGAACACTTGGACAGTTTCGGGAAGCGCTAGAAAATTATTGATTCTCAAAGTGGGCAATAGGTGGGAACCTTGAACCTCTGATCTATAGATAATAGCTGGAAGCTCATACACCGCCGTTCAATGTTTCCGGATACCTTGATGCAAGGAAGAATCCAAGAGAGAGGTCATGAGGGCCATGTCCCAATCGAGAAAGACCAGCCAACCCCATTCCCAGCTCTTCAATGAGGAAGTTTCCTATTACTTTAAATGGATATAAAATGATAGTCTGATGGTTGTATCGTCAGTCGTTCCTACAATTGGAGGACGCGTTAATGACCTTGATTTTCATAGTTTTCGTCTGTTCCGTGTCAGCGCTCTATTTTGTTATGTTACAAATATCTATTTGCATCAAATTTTTCATGCTTTTGATATATATCATCTGGTATATAGCCTGAAATTTCCTACAATCCAGAAAGAAAACGTAGCCTCACATTAGGAGAGTGCTGACCCTGACACTGATCAGTAGAAATCTAGAAATATTCCAGCCTTTCTGAAGGAGAGAAAAGCCTATGAAAATAAAGGAGACCTTAAAGGCGTCCTACAATTGTAGGAACTACTGCCGTATTTACGATTTACGGTACAAATGGGTGAAAAATGGGTCAGACCATCGACTTGCAAATACTGCATTGTACCTAGGTTTACAAATACAGTCATGTCAGGTCCAGAAAAACATATTTACCTGTGCCAAAACATAGAAGACGATAACATTGCTTCATTCGGAAATAATAATAATAAAAAAATAATAATAGTAATAATAAATGGGCTTTATTTCGTACAAAAAGAGAAGAGTCGTTAGGAGTAGTGATTTTCACATTAACCTTTAATTTTGAAGCGTAACAGACAAACTATTATGTAATTTAATAGCGTTCTAACTAAATGATTTTTTGTACACTTTTAGAATGTAAGGGTATACATCTATTCCTTGTATTTAGTTGATTTATGTCACTACACCATGCTAACTTATGCAAATATCGTAGTTGTAAACAATTCACATTCACATGTATTTTTTATTTCCAAGTTGTTACACTCTCTCATTATAGGAAGCCGGTTATCGTAGATTTTAATGTCAATTTCCGTTTCGATAGATGTTCTTTTCTTGAGCTGAAGACCCTAACTGAAGATTTAGATGGATTAATTGTTATGTTATGCGAGCACGAGATGTCTACTAGCCTTGTTAAATCTTCGTTGATTGATTGTCTCAGCCGTTTTAAAATCTTTGTATTGAAAACCAAAATTAATTTGAGTATCATCGGCATAGTTACGGATTGTACAATTATGAACATATTGGCGGAAATCTTATCAACAGAGAGAAAAGTAAAGGACCCAATATGGAACCCTGAGGAACACCATACCCTATAGCAGTTGATTCCGAAATTTTCGAAGCTTGTTGGATCTTCTGATTTCTATTTGACAAATAACAGCATATGAAATTGACTGCAGCGTCAGTAAAACCACAGTAAATCAGCTGAGGTGGCAAAATTTCAGGGTCTAGGGAATAGAACCAAACATCAGTGATATTGGCTGATGGGTAATAGAGCCGTTGTTGAGCTATGGTTTTCCCTGAATCCTGACTGCATTGATGGAACTATTTTATTACTTAAAACATACTCGAATATGTTTATATTTATTTCCCGTTCCAAAGGCTTTGAAAATGCGGGAAGTAGGCTAACTGGCCTAAGTTGCGATACAGAAGTGGAAATCAGTACTTTAGGGATAGGTATGACGACAGCCTGTTTCCACGCATCTGGGAAACAGGATGTTGCTATGGCGTGATTGATAATATAATATATATAAAATATTGTACTGCTGTAAATATATAATGTTGATGTTAGTAGAATAGAATTAATAACGTAATTGGTGTAAACGAGAATGATGATCGATTTGTTTGTTGCTTTTATTTCAAGATAATGTGAATATTGTTATAGTAACAATGTGGTGGCTCGAAAAGGAATACTCCTTAAATCCCTTCTGTGTTGACGTGGAGATGCGTAGACGTGATTCGGGATTCAAAAACCTGGCTAAAAGTGCAGAAAATTTGTATAAACTCATAATTTCACATTTTAAAATAACGATAATGAGATGTGGCAAAATTGATTGCGGAGTCGGAGGTATGTATAGTTACTATGATAGGACATTGTATTACTTGTCAATCAAGACATGACAATATACGAGGCGCTATCACAAAGCAGAAACACGCCTCGACAATGGTCCTCAGAGCACTTTTATTCAAAAAAATTGTCTCTTCATTACGTCGGATTGACAGTTTCTTCATTGGAAAGGGATAGCACAAGATTGTTGGTTACCAAAAGATTCGCACAGGAAGAGCGGGAGATTTGTTATATGATCACAATTAACGATCAGAATCACTTTTCAAGTTTTGAAAAAATTATTTGTCAAAAACAACAGGAAGGTACATCATAAACCATGGATGAAGTCTTGTTTCAGTTCTCCAATTTCCAAGTTCTTTGAGTTGAACTTGGTCGACCTATATAACTTGAAAAGGACGTAAAAGGAGCTTAAAAGGTCTATCATCGAATAGTTCGTCACGATAATAGTAAAAAAGGATCTATTCAAAAATAATAATACTAATGTGTAAATATAACTAGTGCTGTAAAAACATTTCCAGTCATTTTATTTGATGCAAATTTCACGCTAAGGAGTAACATGATCAATAAGCATATTATAACTAAAATATTATTTCTCCTTCAATTCATTTTCTCAGTTTTAATATCAGTAATTGTCAAGTGCCCGCAAATTTTTTAACGATGGTGTACAACAACCGTAGGGCTTTACATTAGGCAAACTGTCGAAATTCAAAGTTTTGAGCTGTTGCTCAAAATGAATGCTGGCCACTTCCACCGTTTATTTGAAAAGAGGTACTACTAGAGATTTACGTGAGTTTTCATTGTCGTTTATTGTTTCTTTTTTGTTGGTTAAACATCGACCTTTGACGAGGTATATTGGTCGCTCCGGCTTGATAGTCAATGCCCGAAACACAAAACTGTAGTTGACGCCGCGCCGTCCGAAACTGTCGGTCACTCGGCGATCTGACTTTTCATTCAACAATTTAAACACAACTAATAGTAGAATTCTATTTGATTATGTAAAGAAAATTGTAAGTTTGGATGTGCTGAAGAACACAAAACTCTACTTGAATATTATTAGAAGAATCACAATTTACTACTGATCTGAATATTATTATGACAATATGAACAATATGAATGACTTACCAACATTAATTTTTGATTAGCCATTTTGCCGTTTACGTCGCCAAAAATATACAAAATTGTTACATTTGTTTCCGCCTTATCATAACGGATCGTACACTTGAATGTGTCACTAAATAGATTAAGCGATATATTTTTTCATTCATCCCTCATGATATGCGCTTATCTACATGTATATTTTATAGCTATTGATTGGAATGTCTTATCATGAAATACCAGGTATTTTAGCTAGCATAATTTGGCTGAATTCTACAATTCAGTAGCAACAACCAAACCTAAAATCCTAGGTGATACAAGGACATGCTCTTAGATAAGCACTGACGGCTTCAGGTCATTGATTAACGTACAGGGTTTGTCCGGAAAGTAATAGGACTGAGTCGATTTAAAAAAATTTATTGAGCCAATCGTTACAATTCTTTAAAAACTTTCAAAATAGGCTCCTTCTGCGTCGATGCAGTCGAACATCTGGGCAATTAAACGAATACACAGGAGTCACATTATCGGTGTTTGTCGAAGTCGAAGGTCTTCCAGCACGGTCTTCATCAGCGACCTCTTGCCCCCAAAAAGGCCTGGTGCCACCGAAATACACCACTTCTTGCTAAAGCAACACCTGGGTAAGCCTGCTTGATCATATCAAACGTCTCTGTCGCAGATTTACCGAGTTTCACACAGAATTTAATCTGCGAAAACACGTCGCGCGAAAATGCCTGTCCTGACTCTCCAAGTGCTCGGAGACATCTGTCCAGCCCTATACCAAATCCAGTCGGTGCGCGCACGCTCCGAAGTACAGTCATGGCGGAAGAAAATGAGTCCTATTACTTTCCGGACAAACCCTGTATACTACCTGAGGATTGGTAGCCAAATACTATTTTCGCGCGTCCAAAAAATTATCCGACATGAAATGCGATACCGTAGTTTTTTACAGCTGTTTCTCTATTTTCCATATAAGCTTTGATAATGTTAGTGTCTCGTAGATGACGCTGTAACCAATCATATGAGTATATACGAACAAATAGGCGGCGCCAACTATAATGAGAAAGTAAGCTTCTTGAAGTACATAGGGTGAGGTTCAAATGTTGCTGACGTCGTAATGTGTACGAGAGAGAAGCGCGATAAGCGTGAGGTATCTATGTTAGAAAGTGTGCGCCGATGGCTTCCGTGACCTCGTACTCGGGTTGCTAGGCAACGAAATGCATCTACCTCTTTCTAACACGCGTATTGCACGCTTCTAGCACTTCTCTCTCGTATAGATTACAACGTCAAACAGCTATGACAGATTATCATAGATGTGTCTCATTTTATCTCGGATAATTTTTGGAAGTGGAAATATAGCATAATAGTAGTGGTTATTTTCTAGCAGGACACGTTAACTAATGCTTCAAAGTACATAAGTAGACGGGTGTTGAAGTTTTTTATACGGATTTCGCGACAAATATTCAAGCCAAAGTTTTTTAAAAGGAGTAGCCAGGCTATTCATGGAAATAGAACATCTATATATTAAAAAATGATGTTTCAAAAAGTCAGTAGCGTAAAAAATAATTTCATTTTTCTTCTATATGGATGAAAATATATACACTACTGCTCTGTAGTCTCAAGCACCAACATTTTTGTATGTATTAGCTATGATAGCAGCACTAGACGTAGGTATAATATTAGGCCAACATCTTTATCTGCTCCTAAGATATAATTTTTTGCACTGGGGCACTTCATTTTTGAATGTACTTTGTGCCCTAGCGATAGTGTGTGCCACGTATTTCTGAATTGAAGATAGTTGTAAAAATTTCATAGCTAATTTTGGAACACCCTAAAATATCTTTGAAGTGTACTGAAAGAGGCATCGTACAAGATATTTTGAATCCTAAGCAGTTCAAAAACAACGTATTTAAAGTATCTGTCTGTTGGTCTGTTAACATTTTCTCCTATGTGACATAATGTGGGATTATAGTAGATGACGTAACTTTCAGTGGTGGCAAATAAGCTACAAGCAAGAAAACTTCGTTTGTGTACTTTTTACCCTCCTGATAATTTTTGAGCATAGTGAGAAATATTAAAAATTGTACATAGTCTTGCAAAATATGCAAATTTGGAGATCCAGACGGATTCTCAGGTTAGGCACGGTACCTAGAAAACAAACATGAATTTTTTAATCATATTCTTTCAAATTTTTTAACAGCGCACCAAGAATAAACATTCTTCCATACTATGTCTTCAACCATCTCTCAGTACGGTCCTGTCTGATTCATCTTGAGGCACGTAGGCTGAGTGAAGACGTTAGTTCTGAATTAAGTGGTAGATGGCAATCCATTTGCATTTATTTGTTTTCAGAGTTAGAGTTTTAAGCTTAGTTGATATTCACTTCATTAACAGTTACAATTATGATATGTTGAGTTTTTCTATAGGCTGTATGTTAATATATTACTCATATTTGTATCTGCTGTTTATTTATCCCAAGTTTTCATTCAAAGTTACTTAGCGCCATCTATGGCAAATATTTTCAACCTCATACGGGGTTCTCAGTTTTGCTTTCACTTTGGGTTTGCTTTTCAAAATCCCTTTTTTAGCCTTCCAAATTGGACTAATGACAATAATTGTCATATTGTACGTTACGTGCCGGTGTATCTCAACCATCATAATAACACAAATTATTTGAGGACAATGTATGTGTGTCACATAATCCTTTCATAATAATAAATTCATGTGGAAATTTGATACGCCAGCAGCACGCCTAATCATAAATTTAAATCTCCCTCCGCATTCTTGACAAGTGACAGTTAGGCAGGTACTTGGATGTGTGTTGATTGTTGTTTAAAGTTGTGAATACAGGAATGTTGTGGAAATACAACAAAAAGGAGTGTACTGGACCTTTGTGAATAAAATAATCTAGAAAAATATGCGGTAGGACTTCAGCACCGCCCCACACAAACGCGTGAACAACAAATGTTTAAATGGAAGCATCCTCCATTATAACTCAGGTGTCAAGGGACGACGAACATCTGAATAGTTATGCTAACGAAAAAGGTAAATACCAGAGGAAAAACTTGATGTTGCACTGACCCAGAAGCGAAAATATAACGTAATATTTAAAGGCATACGCCTTCGCAACGCCCTGTATTTATATCTGGAAAGCCCAATGTAGGCGTGTAGAGATGGTAAACATTGGAGTAAACATTTAAAAACTGGATTTGTATGAGGCTAGTTTATCAATTTGAGTCATTTTTCATTATCAGTAGTTCTAATGTAATTCACTAGTATTGGAACTATCAATTAACACATAGTTTGTCCCAATCATATATATGCAAATTATTTTTATAGGTTGATATCTCAAGATGTATGACAGCTATTTATGACCTCTTTTAATTTAAATGGAATGATAAGTTGGTATTGGTTTTACTTTCACATCATGTTCATCTGGTGTTACTGCTTTGAAAATACTGTGTTTTTTGAAATTGCTAGGTTTAGTTAGTATACCTTTAAAAATCACCTCAGGCTATTTCCTTGTAATGGCAGTACATGGTATTTCCTAATCCTCCTTTCTATTATATTATCATAATGCCTCACTTCAGATATACAGAAAGCAGAAAACCAAGTTTAGTATTTGTAGAATCACTGAAGTTGCCAAAATAAAAGAAATACCATACTTTGTTTTAGCATTAAATTTATTTCAGTTATTTAATACATGATGTTTAATACATACAAGTTCGCATATAACATTGCATGGAAAAGTTTATACTAGATGCTATTGTTAGAGCAGAGTTCAATTTATAGAGGGACTCCTTTTACTTGCAAAGACAATCTTAACCTGGTGTTTGGTAGAGCACAGTAAAACAGTCAGGGTTATAATCATATCTCTAGCAGGATCCTATGTACACAAGTCATCTACCTTTAAGTGTGAACATTTATTTGTATAAGCTTAGGAATGTACATTCTCTAGTTTTGTCTCATCACCTCGATTTTGTCGTAACATATGGGTGCTCTGTAACTAAGGTTAACACTATCAGTGTATCTGTCCATATTCCTCTTAAAATTACTGAAATAAAGTGGCTGTCTAGTAGTCATACAAGGACAATATAGTCCAGAGAATAATCCCATGAATGTATGTTTCATATTTAATACATTTTATGAATATGATTATAGCCAATATTATAATTTAATGCACTTCACTGCTCAAATATAGTATCACCAAAATCAGATATTGAACATTCCTCCTGTTTTGTTAAAATTTGTTTTTGTCAATCAACTTTTTCATCCATTTTATTCACCCTCACATGTTTACAGGGAGTAGCCCTCCCATTTCAAAAAAATATCAATTTCTGAAGGAATATCAACTTGCAGAGGTAACATTTTGTTAAAATTTGATAAAACAAGAGTATGTATGTTCAGGTATATCAAGAAAATTTAACCAAAGTCATAAAAGAAAAATAGTTCATTTTTAGATAAATGTCACGTGTTTACTGTGATCTATCAGTATGTATCTAGGAATGTCATATTGACCATGTAGCCTGGAGTCAGTAATTATTGATATGGAAGTCCACTGATACTGATTGAATGACCAGCAACTACTGATGGAATGGACTGTAGTAAATACTGACTGTGACATTTTGGTGATTGGCATTTTATTTTTTATGAATATTGGATGAACACCTGTACCTTCCAAGTGTCAACATATTTTGATTAAACTAATTCACACATTGTTACACATTGAATCTTGAACATGAAACATTTCCAGACTCATGTTTACATGGACTTTTTTCTCAGAATCACTGTAAGAACCAAATATTCAAAGTTTTGCCAGATAGTTTAATATCACCATATAGGAAAAATGCAAATACCAGTGACTAAAAAATTGTAATTATTTTGAATTCTCTCAGTCAAAAATGATGGAAGTGGCGAATCAACACCATCAGACACTCCTGAGCCTGCCACAGTGCCCGTCCTGCCAAATGCCCAACCGAAGAAAACCTCCCAAGGCAGCAAAGCAGGCAACTTCTTTCGTACTTTGTTCTGTTGCATCCGAGGCAAGAAGGGCAAGGGGCCGGCGGGTCAAGGAGGCGAACAGTGCACGGATGGGGCCCTTTACGCAGCTGGTGGCAACAGGTGCTCTTACTTGCTACCTCCTGTCAGGCACCAAGATATGTACAAGAAGTGTATGGTGATTGATTTGGATGAGACGCTGGTGCATAGCAGTTTTAAGGTGAGGTTTGTAAAATATGCAATAAATTGCAAATGAAGGGTAAGAGGGGGGGTAGTGACTGGCCTAAGTAGCCTGACTGTTGACCAGGGTTGTTATATTTTAATCAAAATGTTTTCAACACTGTTTAAAGCAATGATGGTGTTTTAAACCAATTTGTTTTAATCTGTATAAAACATGTTTTAAACACAGTTTTTTTTATATTCTTTTAGTATGATTAAAATTGATTTTATTTTGCAAAATGAAACTAAAAGGGCCATAGGTTAAAACACATAGGTACTAAAAAATATAGTTTATTTTTTTATTAATTAATCAAACATGAAACTAGTGGAAAAAAATATGTTTCTTAACGAATGAATGAACTTAATAAACTGCATTGAACTCTAATACTAGTACTCTACAAGCAGCTGAATAATCATATAATATGACTATGTATTTACTTGTATAATAACATTCAATAGGTTACTTAACAAATTTCTGAAAGTGTACAACCCATCTTATTTAACAAAAAATCCTTAAATCAATTATTTTTAAAATATAAAATCATGGAAAATGTACATAAAATAAATTTTTAGTTTTCACTACTTTTTACTAAACTCCAAGAAAAAAAATGTACCTTTTTCACAATTCTCCAAGCTACTTAACTTTGAGGAAATAGGTTCGGTAGAAACATCATCATTGTCAGTATCAGAACTATCTGATATATGAATATATTGTTTTTCTAACAAGCCTCCTTGTTTAAGTTGTTTACAATTTTTTATATGTTTGCGCATTCTAGCCACCAGTGCATATTGCATGTTAAACATTTTGCTCTTTTATTTATTTTCGAACCAGCTTTGGCATCAGTCTCCTTAAAATATATCCACATGGGATCCTTTCTCCTCCCTCTCATTGCCTTTCTTTTTTGCCGATCTTTAATGCACGAAAAACAAAACACACCAGCACGCTACGACTTCGCACATTTGACTGCTGGAGATCCCAACGCGAAACATTACCCAAAGGCAAACGGTACCTCCCCGACGTCCGCACGGTAGTTTCCCGACGTCTGCTTTTAAATTAGAGATGCTCTGATAGAGCTGGATCAAAAATAGTAAGAACACTTTCAAGGAACTTCATTAACGTTGCTAAATTATATAGGCAATAGTTTTTTAATTTTTTTTATTGTTTTAAACATGTATTGACAGTGTTTTTTTCAGCCTTATTTGAATGTTTTAAACAAAAAAAACATGATTTTTGTTTTTTTCAACCTTGCTGTTGACGATACTGAAGAGGGGAGTTAGGCATAATAATATTTCAAGAATAAATAATTAATTGAAAAGTGGGGGTGAGGATGGGGGGTTATTAGACACGTGTAATCAAAACGAAAGTATAAGTTCATTCAGAGGGGCGGATGCAAACAGAGGAAGGGGGACTTCTGGGAGCAAATATTCTTTTGATCTTGATCTTTAGAGCGGCGGAAAAAATTTCTGCGTATTTACCTTTTCTCTGTGATCTTTTGGAAGGCTCTTTCTCCTGGTTATCGTACAAAAACGGTAATAATCGTACATGTAGCAACACTTTATAAAAAGTGTCAGGATGGGATGTCGTTGATATGCTTGGAACACGATTCCTTGACGTAATTTGACCATAAACTGGGCTTAGTACACAGAACTTGCTGGTCCTCGTTTCATGTTCCATTAATCTACACAAATATCAGCAAAAATCGATTACAAATTAATTGGCGTCAGAAATGATAAAATCGCCAGATATCGCCAATTTGTAAAGTAGCCAGTAGTCAAGCTCATTTTAGTCGCCATTTGACGGCATCAAATCGCCACTTTAGTGAAAAATCGCCACGCCTGGCAGCCCTATCCAGAGCGCCTTTATCGGTAATTAATGTGATTATTTTACGATTTGATCAGACATGCTTGGCGATTTAGATGATCATATTGTTAAACGATTTGTTATTATTGATATGGTCAAGCCACATCCTGATCTGGCCACTAGATAATAAATTTCAAGGAATGCGACTTTTTCATCAAATGTTCGGTCATTTAATGAAATTGTCAGTTTAACGATATAGCCATGACAGTTACACCGTAGCTAGTCAAGAGCTTGCATAGTCCATAGCACACGGTGTAAACGGACACAAACGCACAGAACAACACGAATTATTGGTGAAGCGAACGATTTTTTCATTAATCTCTTTTTGCAGCCGATAACGAACGCCGACTTCGTAGTGCCCGTAGAAATCGACGGCACGGTGCACCAAGTGTACGTGCTAAAGCGACCTCACGTGGACGAATTCCTGAAGCGGATGGGCGAGCTGTATGAATGCGTCCTTTTCACGGCCTCATTGGCCAAATACGCGGACCCCGTTGCGGATCTCCTCGATCAGTGGGGCGTGTTCAGGGCGAGACTATTCCGGGAGAGTTGCGTCTTCTACAGGGGCAATTACGTCAAGGACTTGAACAAGCTCGGCAGAGAGTTGCAGCAGATCGTTATTGTTGATAACTCGCCTGCTTCGTATATATTCCATCCGGATAATGCTGTAAGTATGGTTTCTAATATTTTAGGGTGATTTAATGAGTCTTGAGTTGTAAGAAAGTAATGTTGGTTATGAATCTTAAGTCCGACGAGACTAGTATGATCTCATTGTTTTTGGTGTCTGGAGTAGGATAGATTTCTTGGTGCTCAAAAACTGCTCCTTTGATTTACATATGAACATTTATATTGTTACTTATAGTAGTAGTGGTAGTGGTCGGGAGACAAAGCCTGACAAGTAGGCTACCTTTGGGCAATCTTAGGTGTATCAACAGATGTTTATTTATGTTTAGACCTCATGATACACAAATCCCATGGCTCCGAATATTTCAGCCCTTAGACTGGAGTATACTGGCCAATAGTCTAGAAAGTGGAACACCCCTTTCAGATAGAATCTTTTTTACCCTTAAAAGGTATAAGTGACTGTTTAGTCTACAGTGATCGCCGAGACCGATGGGGGTGCTTCTGGTCCACAACTTAGCCAGGAAATTAGCTATCTCGATTCCCGGAACTCGGTTGTGTCCGGCGACCCAAAGCATGGTCACTTCTTTCGATCTTGCTAAACTCTGAAGAGAAGTAGCGCGTTCCTGAACTACGGGTGACACTCCTCGGAGATGCCGTTACCCTCAGAGCTGCTTTTCTGTCTGAGCATCTGAATATATATGCTGCTGAATCTCCTCTATGTCAACTTTAAGATGGGAAATATCTGGAGGATAGTTGTGCAGGTTCCAGCGCGAAGCTTTCCTGCACGTCTTTGCTTTGCAGGTAATACTCCGCTTCACTGGATCCTGTTTACTCGGAAAAGCATTTTTCTTTTCATTTCAGTTATTTATTCATGTTAATACAAAAAACTGTTTACAGTCACTTTAACACAGAAGAAAAAAGTCTCATCATATAGCATGACAGCCACTTACATGGTACATCACACTTGAAAGTTTTAAACAATCACAACAGGTTAAAATCAGTATTTAGAAAATAATCAATTTTGTAAAAAGCATTTTGGATTAAACAATTTCTAATACATATCATTAATTATTTAAAGGTAGCCATCTTATACATTTAGCGGCAATCTATCGAAAAAGTTTATTGCCAAGAACTCCGCACCGTCTTAACACCTTCTCAGTCGCTAATATATAAGATTCAAATTTCTCTTATTTATGCTATTCGTAAACATTTTCGAAGGTTTTGATCTCCATTTGCCTTGGGAAACATCATGCACTCATAGATATACAGACTTGGCAGTCAGCAGCTTCCATTCAATAATCACATGCTTGCAATTACATCTGTATTTCAGCCCTGCTATCAATTCCAACTGCCCTCCTTTGCAGCCCAAATACTAGCTGCCTCAGCAGAGTGACCCCATACAATAATTGCATATACTATGTGCGACGTAACCAATACCATTTGGCGACACTTCTCGCAATAAGTTGCGGAGGACATGAATATTTTGAGAAAGTTTTATGGATAGAACATCAATGTGGCTTTTCCATTGGAGTTTGCCGTCAAGCGTCGTATCTAAAAACTTAACGTGATCTTCATCTATGATATTTATTTCTTTCGTAGACAAAAATCCAATAGGAGATTCATTGGACTATTTTGTCCTATGATGGTATTCAAAAAGTTACTTCGCATTGAAGATGCAGGGCAAAGAACATTCTTTTAATAACATTTTATAGAAAAATCATGTGATGCTTCTTGATCTACCAAAACGGTTAAAAATGACTACCTCCAGGTACAATGCAAAGCTATAGTCATCCCCTCAGAGACTTTCTCAAATACACGAAAATAATTTTGTATTGAATTTCAGCCAGAAATGATGGGATTTTTCACAATTTCTAGCAGTTTCTAAATGGTTTCATAGGGTGTAATTTGAAGTGCTAAATCCTCGAATATTTGTTAGAAACTCACGATAAACCATACTGTTGTTGCTGGAGCTAACTGAATAAAAAATAAATTAATCAGGTTTTTAGCTGTCTGTGTCAAAGATTTTGGAGTTTTGTATTTTAGTTGGACATACCCAGTTACCTGTGAGCAGTTTTTGTAGGTTAAAGTAGGATTTACGTTTGGTCACAATTCTATAGATGCTTGAACATTTTAAAGATTATCTTTTTGGTCTTGAGATAAACCCTATAACATTTACATGGGCTTTTATGAGATACTTGATTGTATTATTCAAATTTCCATCAGAAACACATCTACAAAAATATTAAAACAACGACCATAGGAAAATTGAAGCACATTAAAACTATACCTCGAAGTTCGAAGACAATCCATCGTCTCTTTTTTTTGAAATGCGGCCCGGAAGTTGATAAATCCATAACGTCGGATCCAATTGTTTGGTACGAAATCATTTTGTTGCTGCTAAACGCGTTCTGTGTGCGATGATTCAGGAGAAACTCCATGTTAGAACCAACCCAAACAATATTAAAAGGTTCTTTTGGATTTTTGTCCCAGATAAGGAGTTGTTTCAAGCTTCTCTTTGGTAACATGTCTAACTGATTGCTAGTAACTATTCACTATACTTATTGTCTTAGTTAGCCTTGTTGGATATACTAGATTTTAAATTTGATGTTATAGTGCTAACTGAAACATTTAAAGTACGTAGTCGTGCCATAAGTTCTGTCCCATGATAATCTCATGATAAAAATGAAACAAGATAAGATATATTTATATGAAAGATATTATTTATTCGACAACATTTTTAGAATTCATAATCAAACAGTTTTATTCAAAATGTCCCCCCTTGGCCTTCACACACTGCTTCAATCTCGCGGGCCACTCATCTATCACTGCACGCACAGCTTCCAAAGGAATAGCTGCCGCTGATCGGATCAAATCCGCTTTCAGGGACTCGATATTACGGTGGGCTTTGGAGCAGGCCAACTGCTCTAGCAGGTCCCACAACTTGTAGTCTAAAGGATTGAGGTCCGGACTCCCTGAGGGCCAATCTTCCGCAGCAATGAACTCTGGCACATTGCTTTCCAGCCAGCGCTGCGTACTCTTAGCCTTGTGAGCGGGGGCGGAATCCTGCTGGTAGACCCAGTGTTGGTTGGCAAACAATGTACCACTTAAAGGCTTGACGATAGGATCCAGTATGTCGCTCTGATAGTTTGCCGCTTTTGTTTTCACGCCCTGTTTACAGAAATGGAGCTGAGTGACCCCTTCGTAGGACACCCCCCACCAAACCATGACTGACGCAGGGTGGTGGCCTCTCTCAACTCTCGGAATGATCTCCGAAGCTTCCTGTGAACTCCTTGCATACACTTTGTCATTTTGTCGGTTGAATTTTTCTTCTATGGTGAAGATTTTCTCATCCGTGAACAAAATCTTTCGGAATCCCCCAGCTGCGTACCTCTCCAAGAGCTTCTTGGATCTTGTCGCCCTGATGTGTCGCAAGGTGGCCGTAAGTCGCTGGCCCGTACGTCTCCGGTAAGCCCCTAGCCCTAGGTCTTGTTTAATGATGCGCGACATCGTCCGGACAGGAATCTTCATTTCCCTGGATAGGATCTTCTGCTTCCGGAGTGGATTCCTTTGAATCCTGGCTTTTACGGCTTTGATGGCTGCTGGAGTCCTTACTTGACGAGGTCTTCCGCTTCTTGGCCTGTCATCAACAGAGGACGTCTCATTGTACCGCTGAATGGTCCTAGACACAAATTTACGCGATATTTGAAGGCCGCGTAAGAGTTCAAAAATCTGACTAGCACTGTGATTACACTTATGTAAAGCTATCACTGCAATACGGTTCTCTGCCTTGCCCCACTCCATCGTTGTGCTTCGAGAGATCAATACAAACTGAGGTATATGTAATTACCCGAAAAGCGCTTAATCAACTGACACCACAATGTAAACAATCGGACAAGTATTAACAGGTCTACACTTGTTTGAAAACGAGGGACAGAACTTATGGCATGACTATGTATATGATACAAGTTTGATCGAAATTCCCAATTATGATTTATATTATAACGATGGTAGTTTTAATAAAAATGACGGGGTTCTGATTTACGTAAGACAAAATTTGAACAGTGGGTATGAAATTATTAATATAACTCAAACAAAACTTTTACGAGTTATTCTTCAAAAGAATAATAAATGGATACAGATCATTGGTGTGTACAAATCACCCTGTATATCTGTAACAACATTTAACGGTCAATTACATGATTAAAAGCAGTAGAAAATTTGACATCAACTTATTCATTGGAGACCTTAACATTAACATATTAGATCATAACAATCAAAATATTCAAGATTATTTAAATATAATGGCTGAACATGGTTACCTGTCAGCCATTAACGAAATGACAAGAGTAGAAGGAAACAATGGGAGTTGTATAGATCATATGTTTATAAATTCACGTTTAGAACTTGACAAAATTCAGCAATTCTAAAATACAAAATTTTTGATCATTTTCCTACTTTGCTCAAAATCGATCTTGAAAGTACATCAACCAAAATTGAAAAGACAGTGAATAATACTAAAATTTACATTGATTATGAAAAACTAAATAACAACTTACTGAATGAAAATTGGATTGTAATATATAACGAACCTAATATTGAAAATGCGTTTGTCCTTTTTATATCTAGCATTGAAGGCCATATTGCTGAATGCACCAAAACAGTAAAGATTCCACGAACACAAATAAAAAGACAAGCATGGATATAAAAAGGGATTATTACCTCCATCAACAAAAAAATAGAATTATACTTGTATAATGAAACCAAAAAATATCCTTATGATGTTAAACTTTTGAATGAATTTAAATCATATCGAAACAGACTGACAAAAATAATTGAAGAGGCTAAAATTAAATATCTCCAAGACGAGTTTGATAATCTACAAAATTGTTCGTCCAAAATGTGGCAATTTATCAATAAAATACAAGGCAAAAAACAAAACAACAAAATTAGTACAATTAAAAAAGAAAATGGTGAACTAGTGAGTAACGATGTAGATATAGCAAATGAATTTTGTGAATATTTTTCAAAAATCGGGAAAAGGTTTTCAGAAAGCATAAAAAACGCGGGGAAATTAAATTATAGTAAGACCAGATTATATAACTCATTATATCTGGAACCGACCGATACGCATGAAATAAAGACAATAATCAATGAATTGAAAATAAGAAAATCTCCAGGTCTAGATAATATAACAGCGTATACTCTCAAGAGAATAAATTGCAACATCTGCGGCATACTATCATATTTGATAAATTCTTGTATGAATAAAGGAATATTCCCTTCATGTTTAAAACACGCTATGGTAAAACCATTATTTAAATCTGGAGAAAGAGAAAAACCCATCAACTATCGACCAATTTCCATCTTAACAAATTTTTCTAAAATATTTGAAAAAGTGTTAAAAAACCGATTCACCGAATTTGCAAAAAAATATAACTTAATAGCGGAAGAGCAATATGGTTTTCAAGAAGGCAAATCTGCTCAAGATGCTATTGTAAAATTAACAAATAAAATATACACGAATCTCGATATTGGCAAACCAACTGCTTGTGTTTTTGTTGACTTGGCAAAGGCATTCGACTCTATTACTCATGAATCACTTTTAACAACTTTAGAAAACTTAGGTTTCCGGGGAATAACATACAAACTTATAGAAAATTATTTGTCAAATCGAACACAATGCGTCAAAATTAATAACACACTCAGTGAACCCCATATTATATCATACGGTGTACTTCAAGGCTCAGTATTAGGACCCATTTTATTTAATCTATTTATCAACGATTTGTTCAAAATAAGTAGTACAGGTAAAGTTATCGGTTTTGCGGATGATACAGCTATTCTCTATGAAAGCAACCAGTGGCATACACTAAAAACCACAATCGAACATGATTTCAAAACATTTATAAATTTCTTTTCGGAAAGAACTTTGACAATTAATTACAACAAAACACACTATATAGCATTTTCTTGTAACGACAGGCTCTCACCACAATTTAAAAAACTTGAAATTCATACAAGCAGTGGTCTCAAAGAGATTCAGGCAGCCGATAGAATAAAATACTTAGGCGTGATTTTGGACAAACACTTAAAGTGGGATACCCATACAGAGTACCTTGTGAAGAGACTGAGATGTATTATTCCAAAATTCAGGTACTTCAGAGATATTCTAGATAAGAAATATCTATATAATCTATATTATGCTCTTGTTTATCCTCTATTACTTTACGGAATTTTGGCTTGGGGGGGAGTTATGAATAATAATTACAAAAAGGTTGAGGTAATCCAAAAATTAATTCTAAAATTGATCCTCCATAGGGAGATTACTTATTCAAGTGATTTTCTATATGTGGAGGCTCAGCTATTAGATTGCAGACAAATTTATTTTTATTGTGGTCTAATACATTATTTCAAATATTCAAAATACTTTAATCGTACCATTCATAACTACCCAACAAGATTCAATCAAAATTCAATGTGTATTCCACAAACATCAAAAACTATTACACAACGATCTCTGTTTTTCTTGGGACCAAAATTCTATAAGTTCATACCAGAGTCATTAAAAGTAATTAAATCAAATAAATCATTTAAAAAACAACTAAAAAAATGGATTTTACAACAACCAAGGTACTCCATCCACGAAATTGTAGATCAGAAAAATCATTATCAAAATCAATAATATTTTACTTGCACTAACATCCATACTTTTACTTCAGTTCTAATTGTCTGGATATTTTTCCTGACATTACCATAATAATTCACCAAATTATACAGTATTAACGGGTTTTTTCTTTTTTTTTTCATACACTGACTGTCCTATTAGTTTTTATTTTGTACAAACCCAAACACAAGTGCAAACTTTTTTGGGTGCTTTATGTTTATTGTGCACAATATTTGATATTTACTTGTATTTTGTGACAATAAACATTATTATTATTATTATTATCCGTAGAGGTCAATATAATTGTTTATGCAGGTGCCAGTGGCGTCGTGGTTCGACGACATGAACGACTCCGAGCTGATGGACCTGATCCCGTTCTTCGAAAAGTTGGCTAAAATGGACAACGTATACACGGTGCTTTGCAACTCCAACCATCCGTACAACACGACAACGGGACAACAGCAACAAGTCAACGGGCCACAGAACCACGTACAAGCCAATCACTCACCCGCAGGTAAATAATGATAGAGATTGTTAGATCAATCTATAGTTGCTTATGTGTTCAAAATGATGTCATATTTTGCTAAACACTATCACAAATCATAAAAAAATCCTCAAAATCCTTGTTTTTGAAATACAATTTGGCGTCAAGTAGTTTGGGTATTTCCCATGCAATTCTGTCATCAATTAGATGACGTTGATCAAAACAGTTAATTTTATGTGAGAAATAGAGCCGACCTACTTGACACACTGTTTAATTGAAATACTCTGATGAATTTAAAACCCAAATAGGTATGGTCACTTAACTACTATTTGTATACCAGTTGTTGTACAATAAAGTCGTTTATTATTTTTGTACTCTATACATCTCAAACTATATGTTTAATATAGTCCTGGCAAATGCATGGACTATATGTGTGTGAATATTATATCTTTTCCCTTGCGTAATATTGCTGGAATCAGATACTGATATTATACCAGAAATGTACCTTCGGTTGACATTATTTAGGACGCGGAGAGTTATGTTAAATTTACTTGATACAAAAATAAAATGTTCCGCCATCGAAATTATTGCCATCCCGTGGCCTATGGCTTGCGTCGAGGCAAAGAGAAGGTCGAGGACGTATACCTTTGCCACCAAGATGGGGATCAGATCTCGAGACGTGTAGCGCAATTGGAGTGATCTGAACGTATTTCGTTTCAATTTGTATAATCGATTGAAAGCTTCTTGATAATAGAACATCTTTCACTGTTACCAACGATACAGCATTTACAACCTCACCACATATTCAATCCAAAATGTTTTCTCCGATTTTTTCCCGACGTCGCCACAGGATCGATTTTCTAAACTCATAAACATTTTTTGTCCTTGACATAATAGTAACCTTATGTCAGCATTATTGGTTGTAGGTCTCACTAAGATGTAGGATAAATATGTGCTCATAAGCCCAACGTTCTTACATGGGTAGCTTACGACAGACCGACAGCTTGCGCAGCGCAATGGCGGTCGGTCTTTTTGGACGCTGGCCAGATTGAAAAGAACTTCTCGCACAGAAGCCTTCCAACACTTACGTGTCAGGATGGAACGATTGTAACAGACTCAAAGGCCAAGGCGGAAGTGCTTGCCAAGATCTTTGCTGCCACCTCGACCATGGACGGTCCCCCCCAACGCCCAAGTGCCGTCGATTCAAAGGGTTCCCTACACTAAGCGGGAAATAACATTCAGGCATAACGACGTAAGACGGGCTCTTGTCGCTCGACATCAACAAAGCGTCTGGTCCGGACCTGATTCCTGCAATTGTACTGAAAATCCGGCACCTTCCCAGAAAACTGGAAATTTGCTCATGTCCAGTCCATCCCAAAAAAAGGATCTAAGACCGACCCTTACAACTACAGGCCTATAGCTCTGCTTTCTGTTATAAGTAAGGTGATGGAGAGGTGCATAAATCGCGAGCTTCTGGACTACCTCGAACGTCACGGCTTGATTAGCGACAGGCAGTATGGTTTCCGGCACCAGCAATCCACAGGGGTCCTCCTAGCTTTCGTCACGCAATTGTGGAGTAAACTAGTACAGTCTCATGGTGAAGCCCATGTCGTTGCTCTTGATATCGCGAAAGCGTTCAATCAGCTGTGGCACGCTGCCCTCTTATGCAAACTTCCATCCTATGGCCTCTCAGAAAAACTTTGCAGGTGGCTGACTTTCTCTCTGGCCGATTCTTCTCTTCATCCCACAATGTCAACGCGGGTGTTCCCCAGGGATCGATCTTGGCTCCGACACTGTTGCTGTTACATATCTACGATCTCCTTTCCTGCACGATCAACCCAATCCACAGCTTCGCTGATGACAGTACTCTAAATGCAGGAATTCAGAGTGACAAGCCGATCTCTGCCGCTGAGCTGGAAAAAAAAAGACTGGCGACGACTTCCTCGCTGACGAGAGACCTGGAGGTTTCCACTGCTTGGGGACGCAACAATCTTGTACAGTTTAATGCTTCCAAAACACAGTACTGTACATTGACGAACATCCTGTTTCGATGGATGTCCGAGTTCTGCCAAAGAGTCGTTCATTGCGGCTGGTCGCAGTTCAGATCACCGAGGACTTGATCTGGCATGAACACATCTCGTCAATAGCGACAGCTGCTGGGAAAAAGCTGGGCTATTTCTTTAGGGCTAAAAAGTACTTTTCTCCGCATGACCTTCTCATTCTATACAAGGCCCAGATAAGGCCCAACCTCGAGTATTGCTCACACGTTTGGGGTGCTGCCGCCCCAACTACACTATTTATGCTCCATACTGTCCAGAGGAGGGCTGTCTGACTGATCGATAACTCTTCTCTAACAGACAGTCTCAGAAACCTTTCGCACCGGCGGACCGTCGGCGATCTAGCGCTTTTCTACCGCTACACGAACGGGCTGTGCTCCTCAAAGCTCTCTTCCATGATGCCCCCGCGCGATGTGCCTGCCAGACAGACCCGCCTGACTTTGGCCTCCCATCCTAATCGTGTCGAACTTCGTACGTCCGGAACTGGCCGGTACGACCGCTCCTTTGTCCCGAGGGTGTCGAGATTGAGGAACAATCTACAAGAGGAAGCTTTTCTCAGTCTACTAACCTTAGGCAGTTGAAAAATTGGATCAACAAAATTTCTTTGGGATCCTTTATGGCAGCCGCGGTGTCCCGGCATTTAGGCTTCTGCCTGCGCGGCTGCTTCGGTATAAAAAAGAAGTATTACTTCCAACGAATTCACCATTTTCACTTTATTGTTCAGCAACTGAAATGTATGTTACAAAAATGCTTCCGACTCTAAATTATTTGCCTACCGATAGGTCTAGCAAATGTGATATTGCTTCAAACATTCAAAACGGCGACTATGAATAAAGTATTTTATATGATTCTTAACTAAGCTTCTGTCTAATGGTCTATTTTGAATGAAGGCCGAGAATTGTGGAAGCTTTTCTTACTAAACGGTAATCTCTTATATTAAAATTTTAGGTACGTAGCAGGACCGAGACCTGCGCCTTCCGGTGATCATTGTTGTTGCTGCGATCAAGGGACGCTTGTTGTTTTTTTATTGGTTGACGTGACCGAGTAAACGTACGGTTGTTCGGTTTTTTAACCAATGGCTTTTGAGTAAAGTGTTGCGGCGATCCAGGGTTGTTGCCAAAGAATTGCTGTCAGTCGTGCTCCAAGTTGAAACTATTATTCACTGCAAGAATGAGTCAAACGGAATTAGAATGTTATAGGTTACATTGTCTCAGTAGTCTATACTGTATTCAAATCCGATTTACACCTCGCTCCTATTGGCCAGCAAGCCATAAATGGCCTGGTAACGACAAGCGAATACAAGCGGCGGTCGACTGTTTGTTATAACACATAGTAAAAGGGGTTTGGATAGGGTTTGGATGGTATACATATCCATACCATAAAAATTGTCCTGGTAGCATTTTTTTCACTACCTCTCTTGCCAGAACTAATTATATGAAAAATTGAGACTCAACGAGCAGGTACTTAATTTGGAGCAGTTGAAACGGCAGTTGATGGTATGATGATATTTTCTTCAATTCCGTTCACAAAGAGCAACTCTGTTTCTCAAGAAGGGGGCAATTGGAAATCGATAAAATCATCGATATCCTAAAATTGCACAACAGGGAAAGTCTCGAATCGCATTTTTTTCGAGACATCCTACTGCAGTAAAGGTGAGAAATATGTTATAATATAATATCAAAGCTTCACGGTGAGAACTACATCTTGTAGCTATGTAACTTGGAGCATGAATGTTTGCCAAAACTGTATTTACTTCAGAACATGCGGAATATAATATATATTTTAATATATTATGAATAGTATATTTGTACTAATTTCTGTAATTCGTGTTATTTGATTTTGCACAAAAATATGACTGATGGTAATTTTATTCTTGAGCTAGTCACCAGACTAACACTTTTATATTGGACAAGCAAATAATTTTTGAAAACGTACTTTTTCATCTATTGATGTAATTTAGAAATAGGGTTGAAGTTCTCATGTTCATGTAAAGCCATAAAGTTAAAGCTATAGTATTATGCAAAATTTTGCGCTCAAACGTATTTCGCACTGTACGGCCATATTGAAATGATATAGAAATATTTTTTATACTTTTATATCAGAAGAAATTCAAAAGTTTGTAAAGTATACTCATACTATTATTAATAAGGGACCATAGAGCTTATATTTTTATGAAATTTAAACTGTAAGTTCTACAGCCATTGTTTGACAGTTTTTGTTCTGTATTATTACAATTAACCATTGTATTGAAAAATGAGTAATGCCGTAAGCTGTAGAAAAAATATAATTTCATTTGTAGCTATGGCACTGTCATCTTTTTCAATTCCTTATATAATGACTATTGCTTAAACTAAAGAAAGCGCTCACATGCTAGCATGGGTTCAGATCATGATAATTTCATACCATGTACCATGCACTGCAAGTACTGCTAGCTGAGGTATTATTGAATGACAATAAGAATGCGATTTTAAATTGTATTGATGGTCTTGCTCATATATGATTAAATGGACGCATGTTTTCATGAAACGTAACCTTCCAATATGTTTCATGTCATTTATGACATATTAAATAAATAAATTACATAAGTATGTTTGATAATTCCATGTAATTCTATTGATTTAACTTTGAAGAAAAAATAACTTGAATGGGAAGTCAGCTTGAAAATCTTGTTTACAGAAACTGTTGTCACATAGTAAAGTATCAACTCAATAGTGACTAAATCCTTCAAAGATTAATTACTAACGACGAACATTGCCATTTTGTAAGAAACTTTCATCTTTGTAATCTGAAGCAAAATATTAAGGTCCGTATATGAATTGTTACAATAAGCAATACATTTTTTTTACATCACATAAGCTGTTATGTATGCCATTGGTTAAAAAACTGAGTGACTCAAAAAAGTAATATATTGTTATGGCTAGGAATAACATATGCGGATATGTTGATTTGGTTAGTAAATAGTTTTTTAATGTATGGTCGTCTTATCAGGAGATATTTGTGTGAAATTTGAACTTTGATAATTTGTTATCAAATAAAACTATGCAATTCATACTGGGCGATAATCAGATGTATCATTTTTAAGTACTGATAATTTGCAATAACAAAAACATGAGGGGGCTAGATCATTT